ACATTCTAATCTTAGCCGAGACCACATGACGGCCAAGACGGCGGCGACGGCCTAGCGGCAACAAACCGGCGAATAAACAATGAGCGGAGAACTTGACGCGTATGTACGCGCCAGTTACGCAACGACGCGACGCACGTGCAGCGAGAGAGAAACAAGAAACAGTCTCGCGGAAACAAAAGATCGAGATCGTTTATCCGCGTGCTCGAGGACGAGGATGAGGACGCTGCGAAAAATACGAGACTTGCGAAACTGAAGAATGTGAGAGGAGGCCCTTGATCGTCTGCCCATTGAAATTATTGAAATTCGCGAGGCGTTACATTTGCAGCGCTACGAGCCCGACACTGCGACGCGACCTTTGCGCCAACGCCAATGTTCTCCCCTTTTTCGGCAAGAAAACAATGGTAGGGCCGAAGGGAGAGAAAGAAAAAGGAGGGAGCTTTTTCCCTCTCGCTTTTCGTGGCCTATATCGACCACATGCCATAGCCGTTTCTCGCCCTTGTCCTATTCCTCTCCCTCTCTATCGCTACCTAGAATCCTCTAGAGACGAATCTTCATCCAACGAAAGCAATTTTCTCTTTACCGAGAAAAAAAGCTCATTTGATTTACCTCAGCAGATAGTTAACGCAGACAACCGACAGTGGCTTCTGGAGTCTCGAACAATGGATGAGCGTCGCTTGGGTCACGACCCAGGCGTAACCGCCTCGTTTGTTCAGGAAACGATAGGCCTTTGTCTCGCACTGGCCCTTGCTAAACACTGCAAAAGTAAGAGAGGATAGAGTTACCTTCCGAGACAACTAATTGTCAATTTAAACGGGGGAAAAAAAGCTCGCGGCTATTAGCTTAATAACGTATCGAGCGGAAGTTATAAATTCCCAAATCGCCGGTACTGCTACTGATGCGAGAGCGCTTCAATCTTTTTCTTCCCCCTACTTTCTTAACTTTCTCACGGCCCACCTCCCCGCACGGACGCATTGCCACGCCCTGTGCGAACGAACGAATCGCAATTTCACGACGATGATCAAAAATCCATTTACGCGTTCTCGTTGTTAACGCTGAATAGGTAAATGGTCCTCGTTCTGTGTACAAGTACTTAGAGAAACATTGAATAGACAAAAGTCATTGGTCTAACAATTTTTTCATATCTATGATAGGATTGTCAGCCCCTTCGTTCGAGGAAAAACAATTATAAACATAAAATATGCGCTTATCATTGCAACAGTAATTTCTCATTGTTATTGCTTCTTCGATTGCTCTACTTATTATTATCGTCTCTATAGCAGGTTGACAAAACAATAAAAAAAAAGACTACTACCTGACAATTCTAAACAGAAGTTAAAGTGTCAAATGCTTCATTTTTCGACATTGACGGTAATAATAGAGACTGTTCAATGCTCGCGTTTGTTGTGAAAGCTTGACGGTTACGTATTGTCAAATTTTTTATTGGCGGTTTAATAAATGAAATGAAGCCAGGAAGAATATTGGACCAGAAAAATTGAACTTGCATGATTTAAAAGACTTGTCCAGAGATAGATTATCAAGAGCATGATGAAAATCGAAGACTGACTGGCCCATCAATTCTTTACTCTCCCAGCCGAGGAAATCAGCTAATCTGTAATAAAGTTGATGGAAAGAATTTTAGAAGAAAAGTAGAGAAATTTAAAGAACCGTCGTGGGCGAGAAGTGTAGATGGAACTTACTTGTCGTCGGCGTAGGTGAATTTCATATTAAGATTGTGCTTGGACAAGAAAGTAAATCTGCCGAGTGGGATTTCAATGTTGCTGGATGTGGTACCGGCGAAGCAACGACAACGAGGGAAACGTTGGGTTCCTTTTCCTTCGGTTCGTCCGGATTGTTCGACTCGGCCGATTGGCAGACTTGATGGCTTTGCTCGTTCGAGTGAACGATAACGCGGCCAGTACAGTGCAGCACCTACGACGAATTTAAAAATTAAGAAATATCCGAGACAATAGTCGACGGGGAGCAAGTATCTGACCTTGTAGGATGCGCTCTTGAGATTAACCTTGCGCCCCTTGCTCGTGAGCGTGCACTTGAGTCTGAGGAAGAAATTGCAGAGGCGATCTTGACTGGGCTCTGACGTCTTGGCGGTGAAAGATTCCCTGATCTCGTCGTGATCGCACGGGTGACTGTAGTCGTAAATGCTCTGCCCCATGAGATCCATCTGCAAGAGAGTCGAAAGGCCGCGCGACGCTGGTCAATCGATGCGCCTTGTAGATTCGGGAAAGTTTACCGCAGCCCGCGCCAACGAAACGAGAGCCGCGATAAAAGCACGTGCAGTAATTAAAGTGGCGGCATCTCGCTGCCGATCGTTTGATGGCCGCGCGAGCGATTATCTGCGCGGGCCGCATTGCAAGAATCGATAAGCATAATCGAGCAACGTGGAAGAAGGAAAAAAAGAACGAGCCGTACCTGCGCGATACCCAGGTAGTCCTTGACGTTCGGGGTGAGGTAGACCATGTCTCCGTTGTTGTCGAGCACGAGGACAAAGCCGTCGAGGGCCTGGAGTAGCAGTTCCTCCAGGTCGGACGACGGCTCGGACTTGGCGAGCTGCTTGGGCACTGCGAGCGACAGAGTGAGAGGGCAGGCGGCCGGGCGAGGCGCGAACAACGTACCTGCTGCGTGGACGAGGCTGCGCGTCTTGAGGTAGGCGATGACGAGCCGCATGACGCTGGCCTTGTCGAGGTGTTGGGGCTCGGAGGCGGGCGGGCACGGGCAGGCCTGCGGGCCGGGCAGCGCCCGGGCGAGCTCGGCGAAGATGTCCGTCTCGCGGCTGCGTCTCGAGCGCGCCGCGTCCCGTGACTTCTCCTTGCGCTTCTCGTTGCTCCTGCAACAGACGGAAGCACGCGGGTGTAGGCGGGACGAGCTTGCCGGCGGCCAGCGACGAGCGAGCGAGCGCCACGTACAGCAGGTGCTCGAGGGTGGCCCCGTCGTCGCCGATCGGCGCGTAGTACTCGGCAAGCTCGCGCCGGCAAGGCAGCTGCCTCCACGAGTGCAGCGGCTCGGGCGCGTACAGCGGGCAGTGCTGCGTGGCGGCGCAGCCGAGCCAGCGGCTGTCGCTGCAGTACGCGAACCCGAGCTGCTGCTGGGACTGGTGGGCGTCGAGGAGGGGGTTCAGCCGGCCGAGGTCCTCGACGTCGAGGGGCCAGTACGAGCCCGTCGCCGCCGCCGCCGCCGCTACCGCCGCGCTGCACGACATCTTCGCGACTGGCTCTCGAGCCGGCCGGCCCTCGGTGCCGAAGCCTTTCTTTCGGTTATCAGCTCTCGCGGCGTCGACCGAGCGCTCGCTCGTGCAAATCAATCGAAGGCATGCGGGCGCGCGACGCGACACTCGCCGTGGAACGCACGACGCTTATCTGTCGCGCTCACCAAATACGCGTGATCGAGCGTCCACATTATTCGATACGGCGGGAAAGCGCCGAGCGACCGAGCCGGCCAGAGATACCAGTGGAAAGTTTTTAGGCGTCCAAAATTACCAGTCGAAATTAGTCCTTTGAAGAAAATCGATAAACAAATTATGCAACTGGATACCTCATTGAACGAGCTACAACTTTTCTCGGTGTCGCGTGGTAGTATTTCCACAACTAGTCCCTTCAAAAATAAAATATGTTTTCGATGCTATGAAACGAACATCCAAATTCGAGTCGAGCTAAAAGGCTATAAAATTGATTAACGAACATTTTATTATTATGCCGATCGTTAGTTCATTTCGCGAACAAACGGTAGCCTTTGCCAATTTGCAAATAAATCGATCATCTAAGCGATTACAAATTGAAAAATTGATTCTGCTTCTGAATAAGGGCTCGCGGCCACACATGTGAAAAATATAAAAATCTATCATTGCCCCGCGTATCCTCTCCTCGATTCTCATTGTTAACTGCGATATTGTTATTCAAAATCCACATCTGGACTTCGATTCATTAACCTATCAATTTATTGTAGGTGTCTTTAGTTCGTCTCACAAACGACCGATGGTCTATTTATCGAATCTATTGAATTTGGGTGCTACATTGACTAGTGGTCGGGAGCCTTTATTTACAGGTAAAACTTTTTTTTTTAATTCGTAATTGCTTATACCTGCATCGATTTACCTGCAATTTTTCAGCATCCAAAGTATATTATATTTTTCAGAGGGATTAGCTGTACCTGTAACATCGCCGAAGGCGCGTTCGCAATAAAACCAGCACGCGTCACGAAGCTTCCGATGTATCTCGTGATTCGCTTACCAAATTTGTACCTGCTGAATTGTTCTCTCTTTCACGCGGCAAAACAAGCTACTAGTAGAAGCACGACGAATTTCATTCGCTGTTTCCTCGTGCATCAGTCACTTGTTTTGGCGTTAGCTAAGGGCCTTTCCACACTGAAAGAATACTCCACGTAGTTCACCATCTACATCCTACGTATTCAGTGGTCTGAGAAGTGCAGAAGACGGAAGCTATGGCAGCTTTTAGCTTCTTAAACCATGGAGTACGCGTAGGAGACCGACGAAGAACTGTCCTATTGTTCCAGGAGGTAGAAATTCAGACGGAACAAGAACATCATAGGAATTTTCCCTCAGCGTGAAAAAATCCTAGTGCATGTACGATTTCAGAGGTACTTCGGATTCGCTCGGAGACGAATCCTCGGCGGCGTATAGCGTGGACCGGATGAGGCAGCGAAGGAACCGCAAGCAGCTTATCGAGCTCGCGACCCTTCGACTCGTCGACTCGTCGCGCCGACCGCAATTGCGATTGACGACCGGGAGGCATTGACGAGTTCCACGCACGCGCGCCGCGCCGCCGCTAACTAATTGCCAGAGAGAAATGAACTCTACAAATAGATAATGAGTTTGATACTAGCTTCGGCTTACGTGCCAAGTGGGCAGAGTCTGTCTGCCGTTGATTGACAATCACGAGACGATAAAATAAATACTGACATTTTGGAAAATAAAAACCGCCGCGAACGAAGAAATTTGGAAAGTCTGGCGGCACCTGCGCGAGCGCGAACTGATTGGCCTATTTTTATCCGCGGTTAATCAAATGAGTGTCGTAACTGTGTATCTATCCGCGCAATTATCGTCGGCGCGCTTAGAGGCGCACATGTGTGGAGCGTAATCATTATCGGTCATCAACAACGAGAATTGCCCTCCGGTCGTCGAGTCCCCATGTACGCACACGCGACGATCGAATTCGAAATAAGCGGCAGCGCCGAGAGCGTCGAGGAAACGTTTGCGATTCGTTTCTCGGCGGAGCGCAATGAATCAGCGCCGCGAATTGCTTGCTCGGCGTGCATGTTGTTGTTGCAAGGGTATCCCGTGCGCGACAAGAAACAGGGAGTGAAACCAGTTTATCGCCCGACGGCAACTCGACGGCACGTGTGCCTCGAGGAAACTTGGTCGTGACTGCTGCTTTGTGTTATGAATTCCTGTATCTCTCTCTCTCTCTCTCCGTGGCTTTTGTCTTTTTTGGTCCCAACCGATTGAGTCCGTCCGGCAAATTTTTGAAAAAATCACAGAGCCTGAACGGCGCCGTCTATTTCGCGCTTTGTCGCCAAATATCAGTACCCGTATATGCTCACAGCGATCTAGAAAGGTACATTGACTTAAAGCTAATGGGTCGCCCAAAATAATATCAAGGCCAGCGCCACGTATGCTTTCCTCTGAATCAAGGTGTTTTTTTAACATTTTTTTTTTAACGAGATTATCATATATATTTTTCTTTAACTACCTCTCGCAGTCGTCACAGATGAGACGTTTCCAATATATTAATGACCATAAAATGCGTTCGTTTTCGAATATCTTGGCAGAGCCGATCTATCGAGTCATATCGCGTGATCAACAAAACAACGCTTCTTGAGTCGCTTTGTGCGAATCCTTAGAGGACAACCTTCCTATAACGAAGGATATCGCGAACTCTTTTCTACACAACAATGAAATAGTAAGTATGAAAGAGATTCCTTAAAAGTGGAGCGAACGGCTGATTTTCCAAACCAAGAATCGCCCTTGAGAAGTCATCGAAAAAAAACCGCGCAAGAACAATGATATTTTTTACTTGCAAAACAACGCACTCGTCGGTGAAGAATATCGCTAGGAACAGTTGAACCGCGATTCGTTAGTATTTTGTTCAAAATATCGGCCGGCATTGTGATTGTCGACCGATTGAAACGCGCGTGAGCCAGCCTATTTAGAACGAATAAATAACAATTAAAAGGCGGTCGCAATTATGAACATCGTGTATTAAAAACTCGAGCGCACGTGCACATCGAACAACAAATCGACGGTCGATGACTTTTTCCATTCCTGTCGACAGTGGCTTCAATTATCACTATATGAGAGTAGTCTGATGTGAACAAAGGAAGAAAATAAATTTGGGCTAATTTTCGTAAAAATTGGATGAAAATCGTGACAACGTCCTCGAGGTTATCGACCTTATGAAAAGTCACACCCATGCAGATACTCCCGTAAAAATGTCGAACGAGCCTCTCACGGCATATTTTTATTTAGCCCATACGAAAGAGAAGCTCGGCCCGCGCCGTGCCATCTTCTCATATGGACTTTAAAATAATCATGCACTCGAAAGGACTGATTATCCGTCCAGCATTCTTAACCGTCACTTGTGCCTTGATAAACTTTTGATCGCCGTTGACGCTACCGTCGAGCGAGTTTTCAATCTCAGCCCGAATGTCATTAGGATCAATCGAGAATATAGGACAAGGTTCGCATGCTCTCGAAAGATTAATAATCCATTAAAATTTAGTCAAATCTGTTGATTCCAGACGTCTCTCGCGAACAGCATATGCATTCGATGCGAATCACAAGACTCGATGACGATGCTCGCAAGTGCTTTAGCCATGACTCAATTCGAGAGAGAGAGAGCGAGAGAGAGAGATATGTTGAGGAACATTATCGAAAGGATTGTTCAATCGAGAGATTAACGAATCATCGAAACGCGTAATCGCGTCCAAACAAACGGATAAATGCATTTCGAAAACAAAATTTGAAAGAACAACACTTGAAGTGAAGTGCAGGGGCAGCGTGCCGGCGAGAGATTGGAGAATATTGTCAAGGTTGTGTTTGTTGCAACATGTAATGGGGACACGCGCATAAATCGTATCGTCTACACGAGCGCATGGTATTTAGTTTTAAGACGAAAAAGTCTTCTCTCAATGATTATTATTACATATATGTATATATAAGTTACAAGTCGTTGCCAGACACACATGATAATATACACACATATATTTGTTATGTGATTAGTACAATGAAAGATAAGATTGAAAAAACAATAGAACGGCCGGCAGTAAAACATGGGAAATGCAATATAGATGCTATTGAGTATTGAGTCAAGCGACAGCTTATTGTTTAAATAACTATCAATATGTTTAGCAAACGAGCGGAAAAATCAAATGAATATTAAAGAGGCAAAGCTGTTGATATGACTGGTGCGAAGACAATTCCGAGTAAGAGACGTTTGAGTCGGTAATTTGGAGAAACCGAAAAACAGAGAAAGAGATAAAATTAGAGAACGCGTGCGAGAGAGAGAGACTTATACATATTTATAGAGGAAAGAATAATCGAAGGCCTAAAATTATTCTTATAAACGAGGAAAACGTCCGAGTGGAATCCTAGGGCTCGAAAATCGTCGAGATTGAGAATATATGATGACGAGTCATGCAGCTAGCGCATGGACATTGGGCATGGCGCATGGTTATCGAAATGCATGCACGCGTCGCCGAGATGTATTGGGAGCCATGACTTGGCAGTCATAAAGCCAACGGGATCGAGTCAGAGAAAAAAAGATCAAGAGCCTCTCTGTCGTTACCTTCATTGTCCAAGGAACGGCTGATCTCTTTCTCTCTCCTCTCGCATTCTAGAAAATTCTCACCTTCTTTTTTCCTTCATGTTGACAATTCTGGTAGATAGGTAGGGATGAGATTGCTGCTTCCACTACACTTCTCGAATGGGCACTTTCTCTCTTGACACACAAAAACTAATGACCTTAGTACATAGTAGTACTAATAGTAGTTTGTAGTGCGTATGGGAGAATAGTCGCTTGCATAAACTACGTATACGAGAGTCCCAAGCACAATGTACACGCCGACAGTGACAGGCAAGGGCAATCTTTCCCGAGACATGCGAGACTCACGAGACTCCTCGTCGATGTCTTTTGGTCGTCGGGTATTTAGTGCCGCGCACTCAATATAGTAGCTCCGCACTGCGCTCTCTTAAAACTTGCTGCTGATGTTGCTGGCTTTCTCTCTCCGCTCCGGAGAGACTTCAGCTGCGGCGTATTATTGTCGCAATCGCGCTCGCCTGCGCGCTCTCTCGAGCCAGCCACACACGCGGTCGTTTTACAACCTAATGTAAGACTCTATTAGGATTGCAGTTGCCTTCTCAAGCACCAAGCTGTCATTGACAGCGAATTCCAAGGCATTTCCGCGTCTCTATAGCAGAAAACAACGATAATACGGTCAAAAAGCTGAGAGAGCAGCGTTCTGATGCGAACGCTGTATACGCTTACACTGTGTAAGTATTACTGACAAATTAACGTAGTAGACTTACACATACATACACACATACACACACACAGTCAGCTCGAGTCCTCTCGTTGGCTGGCCCTGTTTATGTGCGTCGAAAGCGTCTTTGTGTGTGTACGATTGCTGGCAATCATGGTGGCGGCACCGCTGCGCGTGGCTTGACGTAAAATACCTCGCTCACGCGCACCCATCCGAGCGAGAGTGAGAAAAAAGGGAGCCTTGAAAAATTTAGCCACTATTCCCGTCTTGTTCTTCGATCCCTTATTTATGGCCATTCATTTATTTCTATCAACAAAATAATGTCTCAGTCAGTTTTTTTCATTGTATGGTCTCAAGAATTTTTTTTACAAAAAAGCAAAATTTAAATGGTTTTTCAAATTTCGCCGTGTGACCCTCATTCGGATTTTGCAAAACAACAAGATAATATATTTATCTGCCATGGCGTCATCGAGCGCAAAAATGAGGTCGGCTATCTTATATATAAGTATTTGTACAAACTCCAGCCAGCTGCAACTCTTGCTGTAATTATCTTATTGCACATATATACAATTGATATATCATATATGTATAGCTGCATGTTAGTACTTGTGACGCCATCTATTGGCATATACCGTAAAATTGCTTTTTAAACTATATAATCTTCCATCTTCTTGAGTTACCTGCATTACACGTTACGTGCATTAATTATATAATATTTATTAACGATAGATTATCGTTTAGAATTCCAGAAATAAATATTCTATCGCGTGTAGAGAAATTAATGTTTGAACAGTATTGCGCAAAGTCGTCGCTCGTGATTGAAATTAATACAGCGTAAAATGAAGTCTGTGTGTGGCTTTTAAAAAATGAATGTTAAAAAACGAATGTGGAAGCTATTTGGAATGGAAGAAGCGTACAGGAGAGAGCGTACGGATTGATCGCTTCAGCAAGCTTGGCAACCTTGAGCGAGAGCTTTGAGTAGGAAAAAGGAAGGAGAGAGAGAGAGGACAGGGACGATTGTCGACTGCGAAATTGCGAATAGTTAGGTGCAGTAGCAGCTATGCGGGCGTTGGATTATAAGTTAACTACAGATGCACGAACGTACTCACACTGACAACGGAAATTGAAGACGTTCGTTTTAGGCTCGAGTGTTGCTAGGCCATTTTCGCTGCCGCAGATATTCCGAATCGACTGTACCGACTGAACTACAGTCGGCTGCTACGTTACGAGTTGTGCGGAGTTTTGCTTCAGTCAGTTCAGTTCGCGAGAAGCTCTTGGGTTGGACGCAACGTCGCCGAAAATTAATCGCTGTAGACATCAGTTAACGTGATTCTACATAATTAATCATGGCTATTTGTAAGTGTTCTCTTGGCTCCTGCATGCTTTGGTTTATTAATGCATTCGTTCGCGTAAATCCTAACTTATTTATCGAGCAATGAATTGTTTAAAAAGTACCGATTTCCGTGTGCGGTCCGCCATTAGTGACGCATATCTATCACGAATAACTCTACGTGACCTTCGCATTGCTGTTTCCCTTTTTTCACCTACTTGTCAATAAACACACAAGGTATACGTACTCCAAAATACTTTTACTACCGAAACAGCTCTTGTACTAGCAGTATAAATCCTTGGGGGAAATCCGTTACAACAGCGACACACACTTCTTTATTTTCGAGCACAGCTGCAATCTCAGGTTTTTACGTACAAAGGTTACGCGAGCTCTGTGAAAGAGATCGATCGAGAAAAGGGCGCCGGCAGCAGCAGTAGCAGCGCAGCACCCATGAATCAGTGTTGCTGTATTACGGGGTGCGACTTGGTGGCGCGCGCTGGATTTAATTTTTATTTCCGAGCGCATGCCAAAAATATGTACATAATTTTGTTTTCCGCTCTCTCTTTCTCTTGTCGGCGAAAGAAATCTATCGGCTTTCGCCGGTACATTCCCAACGCTTACGTGCGCGAACAAGCAGCTCCTCGAGGCTTACGAAAATAGCCACTTTGCGTGCTCGCTGATATAGGTGACAAGGTATTAGGCGGGGTTCGTGCACCGCGCGCGTTACGGTGCTCTATCGCTCGCATTAATGAAAGCGACCCCGGCCGATTTCGCAATCGCGAATTTCTTTTTTCGCCGATTACGCACATCGACTTGTATGCGTCGTGGCTGTATTCTTTTCTTTTTTCAAAGACAATTTGGTGGAGAATCCAATCAGCTTCTGCGCTCGTGCTTGCGAGAAAAGCGCAAATAATTAACGCGAGTGCAGCTCTCTACCCTCGGGCGATAAATAATGGCTCGAGCATGGAAGGCACGCTGCTTTTTTATCTGTCCGAGCAAATCACGTCAAGAATTTTCATCGATCGCATAGCAAACGCCGCGCGTTATATTTTTTCACGAGATCGCGCGCGTATTGATCCTTCGGAAAAGAGGTTCTCGCGGATCGCGGTAATCTTAGACGCGCATTTATATGTGCGTTGTCGAGCGCGATTTCGAGATCCGACGACGCAGTCTCGACTACTTAGTCCTAATAATATTATTGCCGTTAAGCTCAGCGATGATCTAATCTCTCTCTTGCCGCATCGCTCGCTCCTCCAAAGTTTCTAATGAACTTTTATTCCCTTGCGACCTCGTTGCTGGAACGCCTCGCGACTGCGGTGGGCATCGCATTCTATACAGCGATTCGCAAAACTACTCCAGTCGAGTTCACTTTTGATGCACTTACGTTCTAACGTGTCCTTGAGAGCTTTTAGATTCAGAATAGTAAGTACACTCAAGTTCACTTATATACGAGAGGTAAAGAGAGAGAGAGGGAGACCGCTAATTCCTAATGCATCGTCGCTAATTTCTGGACCGCGCGTAAACACGCGGATCATCGAATCGGCCGTAATAGATATAAATACATATCGTAACGAAGGCGGCTCTCTTCGTGGTTGACGCCCATACGTTCTACATAGCACTCGTACTGATCAATCGCACTTCGACAGCACTTACGACCGAGGACAAGTTGGAGTATCAGTTCTACCCGGTGACCGGTGGACAAATTCAATTCCGTGTCAAAGCTCCGCACGACGCTCACATCACGCTCACCACTGGACCTTTCGAGAACAATCCTATGTGGGAGGTAAGCTTCTTCGGTGTTCACGCTGAGCGCTCGAGCTAATTTTGCGCGCTCGCAGGTATTTATCGGCGGCTGGAAAAACTCGAAATCGGTGATCCGCAAGAACCGTACGAAACCCGACGTGACCGAGGTTAACACGTTCGATTTTCTCTCTTCTAACGAATACCGTGGCTTCTGGATCAGGTAAAGAAAATAATACGCCTGTAGCTTTTCAAGGTGTACGCGCGTACGTGCGCATTGTGATTTATTGTACATTGCGTTTCAGATGGAGCGGCGGATATCTGACCGTGGGTAAAGAGGGCGAATTTGAGCCTTTTATGAGTTACGTCGATCCTGATCCATTTGATATTGGCTACTTTGGTGTCTGCACGGCGGCTGGGGTGCTACTGGCGAGTGGCTTATCGAAGGTAATTCGGCGTTTGATTCTCTTCTACGTATAACACTGAGTGGATATTTTAAGACCAGAACAATTGTTCTTATCGTTAAAATCTCATGGACATTTAATTTCTCTTTGTTATATGACGTGATGCAGAAAGATGCGTCGGCGGACAAGATGGGTCTTGTACGTAAATTTGTCTGAAGTTTGATTAATCGTCTTTCGTTAATAGCGTTGCTGTGTGCAAGCTCGCTTATTAAAAAAGAAACACACATATACACTCACATTAACGTTTAACTGCGTATGTTTGAAAAAAAGTAGATAAGCTAAGCTTTTATTAAGTACATTTGGAGATTTGCAGCTAATATCGCAATTCCACTTATGTTCAGATCCAGGGCAGCCAGAACCATCGGCACCATCCGCATATCAGGTGGGCAGCAGTATTGGTACTGCCTGGCTGGATGCCGCGTCCGGTGCGATACCTCCCGATGCTGTGGTAGGTGGTGAAGACGACGAGCCATTCTACGTAGGCCGAGCTACACACGAAGGTGCAACATTGCCCGGGAAGGTCAAACCGAGCCACGGAGTTTGTTATGTTCCGTGGGGTGGCGCCGAGCACGCCAAGGACAATTACCAGGTAAAATTATTTTCATGCGACTTTTGCTCCGTCGTGCAGAAATCAAGTTACGGCAGCTGTAACAGGTAACAGCTGTAACCTCGCTTCGCAGGTGCTGTGCGGATGCAATCCGATTTGGGTGCCAGTGAGCGGCAACAATATCCCACCGAATGCGATCCCATCTGGCGAGAGCGAAGACGGGGAGACATTGTTTGTCGGGCGTGTCAACCATGAAGGTACTTTGACGATTGGCAAGATACAGCCCAGCCATGGCACTTGTTACATACCTTATGCTGGGCAGGAGTTATCTTTCACCGACTACGAAGTCCTCACAAGTTAAAGCTGCCGATAGCCTGCGTTTAAGTAAACTGCAATTGTCGCTGCATCCTTGTAACACTGTCTCAGCTCTTATTAGTTTGTTTGCTTTCATGTCGGCTTACGTTATATTCCAACCATACATACGCATACACATACACATACACACACACATACATATACATATACATACACATACACCTAGCTTCTTCCTTCCTATTATAATACTTCCCGTCGAGAAAACTTGTCAGGGGCACTGCTTCGAGTACTTGTTCATTCCAACATTGATTGTTCGGTTATTATATTTTATTTATATTCAAAGCACCACACGCCAAAGCCTTCAACTATCTATTTCATGGAGAAAAGCTATACACTACACCGACAATGTATTTCGCGCAAACTGTGATTCTTTCTAGATCTGAAATTTAAGGTTATATTACAGATATTATGTACTCAATATGCCTTAACCGTACTATTGTAACGCCTAAATTATTATGTACGTCAATTGATCACCAACCATAGCTGTACAATTTATTGAGTGATGGATTCTCGTGAAAGTCGCACTAATTATATGATACAGCGGTATGCATGTTTAATTATAATCAATTCAATCCGTCGACGAACGCGAATCTGAGATATTATATTATTATAAATATCGTTATGCATTTGGCTGGACTATGAATGCGTCTATTATATATACAAAGCCTTTTTATAAATTATATTTTTGATCATTGTACGCTTGCAATAAAAACTTATCTGGACTAAATTTTTCCTTTTTCAGTCAAGGCTCATTGCTTTTTTATATAAACAATGAGTATTACTGTTTTAATGGCGTATTACTTGAAAATTCCATTTTCCGTGGTATAATAAAAACCATTTTGCGTATATACGAATAAAAAGAATGCACGTCCAACGTGAATTGAAGGCGCGACAGAATGCGCCTCGAACTTCTGCACGTGTGTTCGCATTCTTTGAACGAGTAATTCGTCGATGTGTGTAATGAAGCAACATTGTAAGCGTCGTCTCGTTGCAATTTGTCGCTTTAGCGTATAACGAAACGCAAGTTTTCGAGCTTCGCTTTATTGGCAACAGGTGGGCGTTCGCGAGGCACATATACATACTCGGATCATAATAAATGCCAGAACCGTATGGGTATTGGAGAAAAATGTGTTTGCGTAGGTTACATGTCGCAGGCTTTATATTATTCGAATTGCCATCGAGGGCCAGAACTATTGCTGTGTTTGTTTAGGATATCTCAGAGCGAACTTACAAGTCGAATGTTATATTCAGAGTTTAGGACGCTCTTTGCAAATTCGGCAATATCGGTCAATGAAGAGATTCAATTTGCAGTCTATACTCGACAACTTGTAAGCTTTACGAGAAGGACCAATTAAACGCATTGATATTACGACAGATGGGAACAGCAACACATTACACAGAGCGCCGAGTAAATCGTGCGCACTGAGCAAGCGTAATTCGGAGAGCTCGATAGGTGCGACACTGCGACACACATACACAAAAATTGAGGTCTCGGAAAGTGGAAATACCGGCGGGATACAGACAAGTGAAAAGACCAGTAGGGGGCTGCGTTTATACTGTTCCTCTGTTCTCAGAAATTTGGTGCACGGTGCGTGCATTCAAACCAGAATTTGCTTCGCGTGTGGAAAGACGAGAGAGAGGAGGGCAACCGCGGTAGCGACAGAAGCACAAAGAGAGAGAGAGAGAGAGAGAGAGAGAGAGCGAGAAGGGGGGAGAAAGAGAGAGAAATCAGTCGCGGTTGAAATTTCAGCTGCGTCTCTCCCGAGAAAAAATAACGAGATCTTCCGTCGACGAACGCGAAAAATCTATGCGGTACAACTAAATAAACCAGCCTAAAGACGGATGAGTTATAAGCGCAGGGTGCGAATATTTGGAAAAGATTCGACCTCAACATCTGTCTTATAGTGGCATTCATTATATACCGTAAATATTATTCGATGCAGGTGCATCTAGCAGACTACACATAATTGTCAAGGCTTAAACAATGATCATCACATTCCCTTTGTCTCTTTGAAAGCTTTCAATCGTGTTCAAGCCATTACAAATCTTGCGAATGTTTATCAGCTTAGTAAAGATCGCTAAAAGCGAATCAAGCGCGAATGAGCGTTCTTTCTCGAGCAGCAGAGCGTGAACTGGAGATTCGGGAGGTCTGGCGCAGATGCGCAGAGAAACCGCGCCGCCCCTCCACGGGCGCTAATTAATCCATTCGACTGCAACCTGCCCCTTCGGCCTGCATATACATATATATATATATATATATATATATATATATGTGTGTGTGTGCGCGCGCGCGCGTGTGTGTGTGTGTGTGCGAGTGAATGTGCGTTATATCTATGTCTATATCGCGTGCGCACACACGGATATTGTCGAGACTCGACAAGGCTCTCGCTCCCTCTCACGGCCCACGAAGTCGTGCAGCTGAGTGGCGCGCCGGTGGTGGTGTGCGGCGAGCGGCGAACGGCTAGGAAGGCTGGCCGACGGCCTCTCGCGCGCACAGGCAGACACATACGACTCGCGGTGCGGTGCACGCAGCGAAAGCGAACGGCGCGAGAGCGGGCGGAATCGACGTCCCTCGCTGGCAGGCGGCGCGTACAGGGAGGAGAGGGGGAGTCGAGCGAGCGCGCAGCGACCTACCCGGCAGACGGTGTCGCCAGTCGTGCCTCGAGCTGCCTCTCGAGAGCTGCGCCTCGACGATACGCGATCGCGAGCGCACTCTCTGCCTCCATCTCTGTCCGTCTGTCTCTGCTTCGCGGTCAACGAGTGCGCGCTCGGCGTTCGCTGTGCCCCGTGGCCATGAAGCAGCAGCAGCGAGCGCCGCGACAACAGCAGCAGCAGACCGCAGCGCGAGTCGTCGGCAGCGCCAGCGCCAGAGCCTCGCCGACGAGGGCTAGGATGAGCAACTAAGTAAACATGGCCGCAGCCTGCTTCGAGCGGAAGCTCGGCGAGGTCCTGCTGGTGCAGGGCGGCGGCAGCGGGAAGCCCACGGCAGCGCTGCAGCCGGCGCTGCCCCCCGCACACCTCCACCAGCACCAGCACCAGCACCTGGCGCAGCCCCAGCCGCCGCGCCAGATACCCTACCACCTGCAGAACCAGTCGCTGCTGTTCCTTTCGCCGCAGCAGCAGGCCAAGCGCCTGGAGTTCGAGCGCGCGCTCAAGGCGGCGGGCGCGAGCGCGACGACGGCGCCTAGCGCCGCCAAGGACTACTCGCAGCCGCTGCACGTGGACTGCAGTGTGGAGTACGAGCTGCCGTCGCAGGCCAAGCCGCCGCCCGGCCTGCAGGGCGAGCCGCTGCTCATGATCCACCCGAGCTACTACCGGCGGGCCGAGCGCGAGCGCCGCACCACCTTCGTCAACAACCTGCCGGCCGCGGCGGCGGCGCCGACCTCGGGCCGCGGGCAGCGCGCCGCCGGCGCCGCCTCGTCCTCGACCTGCTCGACGTCGGCGGCCAAGAGCGGCCGCGCCGCGGCGGCCCGTGTGCGCAGCACCGTCGTGCCGCCGTCGCTGCCCACCGCCGCGGTTGCGCCCGGGCCGCCGCTCGTCGTGGATGACCCCGCGGCCACGGCGGCGGCCGCCGCCATCCTCAAGAGCTGCAGCGCCACCGCCGGCCTCTACTCCCACCAGTACTTCCAGCCGACGGCCGCGACGACGAGCCAGCAGCCGCAGCAGAAGCCGCACACCGCCTCGTACGGGCCCAGCCTGGCCAGGCAGTCGCAGCAGCAGCAGCAGCAGCAGCCACAGTCACAGCCACAGCCACAGCCACAGCCGCAGCCACAGCCGCAGCAACAGCAGCAACAGCAGCAACAGCAGCAGCAGCAGCAGCAGCAGCAGCAGCAGCAGCAGCCGCAGCCGCAGCCGCCGCCACCACTGCACCACCACCACTATTCGCAGAGTCTGCTGCATCCGTACAAGCGCGTCGCAGCCAGCGCGACAGGGCGCCGGTCAGCGTTCCGGCCTCAAATCCGCCTCGGTAGCGACGTCCTCCTCCGCTGTTTCGTCGACCGCCGCCACGCTGCCTGCCTACGGCCTTTACCCGCAGCGCTACCCGCACCAGCAGCTCCACACGCACCATCTCGCCGCTGCCGCCGCCGCCGCTGCCGCCGCCGCCAGCCATCCACAGCAGCCGCAGCCGATGCCGCCGCAGCAGCAGTTCGCCGTGCACGCGCTGCAGCGCCAGCCCTCGACGCTGCTCACTGCCAACCCGGCCTTCTTCGAGCCACCGCCGCTCTACCATCACCACGCTCTTCTACCTCAAAGCTAAGCAAAACACCGGCACCACACACGCGCCCTCGCTCGCTCGCTCCTGCCTCTCTTACTCCGCGACCCGAGCAACCGTCTTCTTCTTGGCGAAAAACGTGCCGCACGTCGATTGTACGCGGCGCGATGTTCCTATAGGTACCAGCTCTCTCTCTCTCTCTCTCTCTCACTCTCCTCTATTTACTTATTTATTTAATTACTCGGAGGCGCCACCAGAGAGATGAAATTTCAGCAGCTTCTATATATAAACGTGCACTCTGCTCTCTTTCTTGCTCTCTCTTTCGTTCTCTCTCTCTCTCTCTCTCTCTCTCTGTGCCGTCGATTGACAGCCCTCTTGCGATATCGACATTCGGTATGGCAGCCTCCTCGTTTAATAGCCTTTTTAGAGCCTCGCGAGTGTTGGAGACGAGCGCCAGAAGCCAAATCGTATGGATTCGCGCTATCGACCCTATACCGCCATGCCACGCGTAGAATCCGATTTCACGGGCGGCTTCTACTTGCAGCTCCATCAGCGATTCTCTCTCGCTCTCTCTCTCTCTTTCTCTCTTTCTCTCGCTCCCCCCTTTCTCTCTTTTCCTTTTTTTTTTGCACGGAGCGAGCTGTCGTTCGGACGAGCGAGACCCATATGCGGGCGCATCGCGCGCACTTTAATCAACGATGAGGATCACGCCTCCCTTTCGCCCACATTTCTCTCTCGCGTCTCTTGCTCGTCCCGTTGGCTTTCCTTTCGAACCGCACCGACACACACACACACACACACACACACACACACACACACACACACACACACACACACACACACACACACGGACACGGACACGGACACGGACACCGCGAACCTGATAACACCAAAACAGCACTGCAACCGCAAGCTCGCTGTAACAAAACGATCAATTTAGGCTATAGGTAACAACGCAAAGCGCTAACGACTCGAAACGCACGAAGCGCAACGACGACGATGCTCCGCTGCACTCGTACCGCACGTATATTGTAATGTTATTGATTCGGACGAACGAGCGGAGGACAGCTGTATCCCGCGAGGTCATAATCGAACTCAACGGTGAGACGACCATGCGGCTCGATATTTTACTCAGTGGACGAGCTCACGACGGTCAAACGCGCAAAGCCCCCCCTCCCCCCTCCCGACGATTGCACTCGTGCGTTCTTTTCTTTTGCTTTCGCGCTGAACACTGTGATCTTCGTCGGTTTTGTTTTCTGCTCCCAGCAGTTCGCATTATTTCTTTTCCAAGACTTATCCTTATTTTTCAGTAGAGCACACGCGCGACTGAAAAGAGCGTCTCGCGCGAAAATCGAGACGCGACGTTCCAATTTCGAGGTGAATTCGGTACGACGTAGCGATTGTAACGCATGTACCGATAAATTTGCGTGCGAACGAGGTGTACGTATGAGTGAGACGATGAAATGCGAGAAAATTAAAGGAGTAAGACGATGTTAATGACGAAACGCTCTTTGTACATTTTATACGTGTATATATTGTAGTTAGACTGTATGATAAAGAAGATAATGAAACATTATAACAAAGCGAGAAAGCAAAACAGAAAAAGATAACGAACACCCACATGCATGGGAGATCCTCCAAGAACTGATAAATTAAGGAGGATGCACGCACGAGAGGACCGAAGTAGCAGGTTCGTTTGATTCGAATTCTATAAGTTGAACGATATATATGTATATATATATATATATATATATATATATATATATATATATATATACATATATCGTAAGAGATTGTGGCGACCGAACGAAGCTGCGTGAAAACACTGTAGCGACTGAAAACGCGTGCGACTCGTGAGGTATATATGTTTTTTGCTGTCAGCCCATCAACTTCCGTGAAAGACAAATAATAAATATCATCTTGCATATTTACAATGATAATGTTATTGTCATCGTGCGTAAGGGCTTTTACATTTTTTTATTTAATTGATCCTCAACACACTTGACGGCTTTTTGTTACGCGTTCGAAACTGGCTGGACAAGGCGAAACGACTTCATCATTATACTTTGGCATGTTCACCGGCAAAAGTTGTACACGTGCGTTTGGCGGATCGATAGCTTATACTTTTCGAATGGGCTGTGTTACAAACGTCGAAATGTCCTCGACTATTTCTCTACGCTTTTTTATCGTTAATTCGTTTGTTTTGTTCGGGTGTAGCTATCGTTCTGTCCGAGCGCGTGCGCGCGAGGCAAAATATATGGAACTCAACGGCGCCTATCGCCGATCCGAGCGCGCCAATTGTAAATAACGACGATGTTCTATCGTTCGACTTCCTTTTCATTTCGATTTTTTTTTATTTACCTTTTCATTATTCCCGATTTCATGATTTGTTATTATTGCGTGCGTGCGTTCACGTGTACATGCACGCATAGACTGCGATTTTGCGATACTGAAAATGTTAAATATTTTTAAGAATTTTCAATAAAGCTACTTTTTAAAATGAATTGCACTGTGACTCCCGTGTTGATTGCACTGCACCCCACGACGACGTCAATTTTTCGATTTGCAGAGGAGACGACGAGTGAACGTACTATCATCAGATAAGTATATTCGGCGTCGTGGACAACACAATGGATAGATATGCGCATAAAGATTTTCCTCTTCGTGACCTATTGAATTCCCAGCGACATTAGAATGTCAAAATACGGCTGGTCGGTTAGGCAGTCGGTCGAGCCAGATTTCGCCGAGGCACTTTTTGATTTTCAATTTCAAATGACTCGACTCGCCGTTGCTATTGCCAAAGTTCTTTCGTATGAATTTGCTGGCTTGAAAGCACGAAAGAGCGCAAAGCAAGGCGAACGCGTCAGCATTAAATCAAGTATATGATCTTTCTCTACACATCACTCGCACTCAAATGCCTCTGTACCATGTCAGAAGTGCCAATGAGAACTATTTTTCACGAACTTGACTTCGTCTTATCTTGATTGTGCACGCATTTGATCGTAAGTTAATGAAAACACAATAGTCTAGGTCCTAGCTGCGAGATATGCGAATTGGAGTGTGAAAGAAAAAAAAGGACGCAAGAGTTATAGCTATCTCTACATATATAGAGCACTGGCTTGCATGTGACAACTCGATCGATAGTTGCGAACAAGCAATCAACCCTTCGGTTCACTCCGACTAATAGTTTTCTCTTCTGCAGAACTCAAAAGTATCGATCTTGGCAGTACACTTACTTGAACTAATCAAGTGCACCATCTACTACGATTAATTTTTTATTTGTTTCAATGGCAATCGATCCATGAACAATACGCTCGACTGCTCAGGCGCCACCGTTTTATAGATTAAAAAAATTTTATCAGCTTCTGTCCACAAGTCTTCATATACATATATACACGTTAGCAGCAGTAACCAGCAATAGAGAACAACGTATTGAAGACTAAATTTAAGATGAAATGCTATGAAAACAGAGTGACAGCTAAGCAATTCATTGTATTCCAAGCAGCAAGAATTATTGAAAAAATGTTGCTGCAACATACGTTTTGCAACATCTTCAACATTTCCGGCAACCAACAGAAATGTTGTCACAGCGTGCAAAATGATATTCTTACTTGTTTCCAGAACAATGTTACTACATCATTTTTAAGATGCTATTTATAATTTTTCATTTTATAAGGCAGTCTTCGCAATATTTTTACAATATTTTGATAACAAGTTTACGAAACATTGACCTAATCTCGCTATAACCTCTTCTCAATGTTTGACAAGGCATTTTATGCTATAGACCAAAACCTTGATGAAATTAACATTTTTGCAACCAGGTATAAAACGTTGACTCAACATCATTGTAACTATCCTAAAACAAATCAATTTTTGTCGTTAAAAACATTTTGACTACTGACCTAGAAATCGTTTATTTTAGCAGCGTTGCGACGTCGAGTCAACATTTTGCACCTGGTTGCAAAAATGTTGCATGAATGTTGGCCTCTAATAAAATGCTTTGTTTAAAATGAAAAATTGCTTGTAGCAAGATTGGGTCAATGTTTTATAAAATTGTTAAAAAAATGTAAAAATATTGCGCAAAAGCTGTGGCAGAAAATGAAAAATTATAACTAGCATTCCAGAAAACGTTTTGGTAATATTATTCTGGAAATAAAGGCAGACATTTTGAACATGCAGTGGCAACATATCTGCAACATTTTTTTTCGATTGAGGAAAATGTTCACCAATGTTGAAAAATGTTTACAGTTTGAAACAATTTTTGCTGCTTGGAAAATAAAATAACTAACAATCTTAGAGTTAAATATAAAACATGATTCAACCTAAACAAATATTTGTAAACGCAAGTGAAAACTTTTACGCAAAATGTAAGAAAGAAGATACTATAACAATTTGTTTTTAAATAAATCTGCTATTTAGGATACGTTTTCTATTTCTAAAATTTTCTATTTAATATAATTTCATATCTATTCTGTAAGTATATATAAAAATATTACTAAGTCGAATCAAAGCAATAATTAATATTATCTGAAAAAAATATATTCGAATGATATATAATTTGAGCAAATTTATAATGTAGAGTGAAGTGTATTTCAATATATTTAAAATTAATTCTTCAATAAAATCGAGTTTTTGAAATAAATCTCGTTCGAGGAATTTCCTTTTAGATTTTTTACAATGATTCTCTAATATTATTAATTACTCGTAAGTGTGTGATGCAATCAGCAGTGCACAGTTTAAAAATACACATGTTGTCCGGTCTGGATTTGTATGTAGGCGCAAGCGCTATTGCAATCAAAGTAAAGTTAAGAAGCCAAACCAAAGTAACCACACTGTCGCACTGGAGCAAATTAAACATGTTCTTTGACTGAAGGAAGATCTGAATGGCAGAATAATTTTAGCGAGGTGCGAATAGACATTTTCGTGCGATATGCACTACCTAGAGGTTTCCCTGTTAGTATCAACAATCTTATTGATCAATAATCGAATAAACTAAGTTCACTTTCTAACCTTACTTTTGCGGCGTTACATTTTCGTATCACGTGGTTTTTGTCAGTAACAAAAAAGAAACACAAACAAGAAAAGTGGAAACCTATTAGTAGCAAACCCAATATTACGAAATATATAGCAATGGTGACATAATGTCCCATTGATTGCTCATTTAGTGTGAAATATTTTGCAGGAGTTTGCCTAAAGAGTCTAATAGTAAACCCACTGCAACAGTGTTGAAAACACAATTAAATTTGACAATCAAGGAGCTGTTGGGTACTGAAGGAACACGTTATAAAGTTGATATTTTGAAGTATGAGCCAGTGAAAAAGAGATTCATATTGCGTTGCAATTCAGATAACTACGTTCGGCTAAGAGCTGCACTGACGTTGTCTAGTTCTGAAAATAATCAGTTCAGCTTTGACGTTCTTAGAGCATCTTCTAATCTTCAAAGTTTTACTGCCGACAGTAGAACTTACAAGCACTGAAATAATTTGTGATTTTGTTGTTATAGACAATCAAAATAGTGAGTGGTATTTGAATTGTTAAAATTATATCTGCATTTATTAAACTAATTGAATGATCCTTTTATTTTTATATTTGATATAGAAAATCACTCTCCAACAATCATGTCCATAGTAAGAAAAGAAGGTAAAGATACTATTATTTTTGCAACAAAAGAAGATCATTCCACTCCAAGTACGGTCACCTTACCAGATCCAGAACCAAGTCCAGGATTAATTCTTCCAAGTGGACAAATAAATTGGAATTGTCCATGCTTAGGTGGAATGGCAACTGGTCCTTGTGGAGTTGAATTTAGAGAAGCATTTTCTTGTTTCCATTATTCTGAGGCAGATCCCAAAGGCTCTGATTGTTTTGAAGCTTTTAAGATCATGCAAACTTGTATGATAAATTATCCAGCTCTTTATGCCAATAAAGAAACAGATTTAGATGAATTAGACAATGTAGATGATATTCCTCATGAAGATGATAGTAAGAAAGAACTTTTTGGCAGGAATACATCAGAAATAAAAAATGAGCCCAATACAAGTAGTAATAAACAAGTGGAATCTGCTAAAGTTCAATGAATAACTTTACCAATGATGGATAATTATTTTTTACCTAGTTTTATTACAGCAAATAACGCAAAATGTTATATCGATTGTTGTTTGTTGAGTGATTAATAAGTTCAATGTTTTCAAAATTCATCAAATTTGTATCAATTTAATTGAATTTTTCTCCAATTATTGATATGGTTTATAAGAGTTTTACTTTATGATTTTTAGTAGTTTTTTTCAAGTATGATGCAATGAACAATTTATCAAAACTGATCGTATCTATGTAAAAATTCAACAATGGAAATTACCTTGCTAATGTTGCACTATAATAATAAGATAGATGATAACTCTTACCACAATCTTAATTCTCTTATATTATTAATATAAAATATGTTTTTCTTTTGCATTTCGTGCAATAAAAATTATGAATATAAAAAAAATAGTTAAATAACAAATGCTATGTTGAATTTAATTGCCGTCGCGTTCTCGATGCACGAGTTAAAATTCTTTTAATAAGGTTAACGATAATTTAAATTTTGACTCATTAAGGCTTCAGAAGTAAAAAAAAATTTTAAACTACAGTTAGAATGGAATTCATTAAATAGAAAAATGTAATTACTATTAAATTAATAATGCATGGTCTTAAAATTGAAAGTAAATTAAGATTGATCATGATAATTTAAATCTTCGCTCCACTTTCTTTTAAAATCAATTCTAGCCTTCGATCAGCTGATTCTCAAATACAGTTGAAACGGTTATTTATAGATGGCGTTTATTTGTCTTTCGGTTACGAATGAAAGATGATTTGCTGTTTTCCTTTATAAATTAATCTCTAAGCTAATATATGAAAAGTTAAATAGACGTATGCCAAATTAGTACGAAAATAACGTATTTTTTCAAAGGATTAAAACGTTATTGATACGTTTAAATAATAAAAATATAGGGTGATCATGGACGCTACAACTATGAGTAAATATTGAATGCAGATTACAGAAGAACGAACCTATTGTTTACTGTGACGGTCAAAGCGTCATAGTCGTAAGCGTTAGATGTTAAGTTTGTGGATGGCGAGAGAAAGAGAAAGAAAGAAAGAGAGTAAGGCTGAGCAAGAGTGAAGAGCAATAGCATTTACAGGAGCACGCAGAGAAAAAAAGAACAAATCAAAGGACAAGAAAAGAGAGATAGTTGAATAAAGGAGCGAGACAAAGATTAGTCGGAGTGGCAAGCAAGAGTTGCTGTGGATAAAGGCTAGCGAAAGACGGGCGTTCCATTGGAGTTTTCTCTAATCGGATAGTAACGAGTGCACATAGAAAGAGAGAGAGAGAGCGCGAGAGAGAGAGAAAGCGACAGGCAAGAGAGAGAGAGAGAGAGAGAGAGATGGGAAAGCAGATGAGTCGAGAGTAGCAGAATGAGTATCACGGAGTGTGGAATGTGCAGCTGTTGCAAGGAACGCTGATGCTGCTGATGATTTTGGTGTGCTGACGACGGTGATGGTGCAGCTGGTGCCGGTGCATGACGAAACTCAAGAGTGTGGTGGTAAAGTCCACGCGAGAAGTGTTCTCGCTGGCCGCGATTGAGCCACGATCATCTGCTGCTGGGCAATGATGCCCCTGTCAGTCGCGACTCGACGACTGCAGGCTCGAGTTGGCTTTTCTCGAGTGTCGTTCAACTGCTCGCAGTTAGTCGCGTGTGGTCGTGACGTGAGGGCCCTTGTGCCCTCGTAATTCTAGTGATAGTGTGTGCGCGAGTGTGTCGGGTTTCGGACAACGTGATATGAACTTGAGCCCCCAGTTTCGCGGCGACGTTCGCCTTTTCAGCCGACTTGGCCCGTTCGCCAGCCGTCGCCGTCGAGGCCCACAGACTTGCAATCATGTGCGATGTGTGCGCCGATTTTCACGATCTTCTGCACTCTTGTAAGCATTCACTCTGTAAAGAACCCTTCTTCCATAATATTCCATCTTTATATTTTTACTTCTACACGTGCATTTTGCTTTATTCTGATTATGCAGGCATCTTTCAATGTTTAATCAAGGTTTTCTATACATTTTTACTTTCATCCCATAATTTTATTATTTATCCCATTATACACTATTTCCTTATTAGGCTTGCATTTTTTCTGCTGTTATATTCTGCAATAACGTACTCGCTGATTTAGTATTCTATATAAATATAATACCATTTTTAAATATCTAAATACAAATTTAAAAAAAAAGCTTTCCTTTTTCAAATGTTAAAACAATCAAATTTTGCAGTGATCAATCCTGTTGTAAGGTATTTTTATAACATTAGCAATAGCATAAGTTATTAGTCTCATTGTCACAAACTATGATATCTGCTTTTTTAACTCTAATTTATTGGTTTTAATTGTTCAGAGTGATGTTTTAATAGCTATAGCATAAAAAGAGGTTTGTTACAATGATGATTATTGACTATAACTAGTAGACTATGAATATTTAATATAATATATTTAGATTAATACGAATATTTGAGCCTTAGTAATGTACAACGATATTTACTTTTTTATTTTATCTTAATAAATTAATTGAGTAATTTTTTCTAATACAATTTCAGATGACGAGAGAAATTCTCAAGATGATGAGGTAGCAAATCTATGTATCATTGATGTCAATACAATTTTGAATTATGTAAATCAGTGGGTTCAAAGGTAAGTTATTGCTTTGAATTTGCATTTCAATGATAACATTTGGAAATGTTTATAATTAGCAATAAAAATAATATAATTTTCAGACAGTGCATGTGCTGTTATCGAGAATCAAAAACTTGTCACAGGTTCATCAGACTGATTCATAATGTTGTCCTCTGTACCTTACAACAATTACAGGAGATCCAACAAGAACAACAGGATGCACAAAAGAAAAAAGAAGAAACAGGTTACAGCAGTGACAATGTTAAAAAGGATAAGGACCAAAGTGAAGAAGAAAAATCACATAATGCAGAGACATCTAGATCAAAATTACACTGGACGCATCAAGATAGAGAAAAACTGTTTCACCTTCTGTCCAAGATATTCTTACTAAACTTTCCTCTTTATATAGCCATAAAGCATGGAGCTTTGACTAGTCCACTGGCTCCAGTTAAGGTAAGAATAATAATTTGAAATATAAGGAATGCAAAAATATAGACGAACGACCACTTGCAGGACGAAGGTGGGTACTGCGAGCCACACGATCCCGAGGTGCCGGCACCTTTAATCCATGCAGTATCGATGTTTTGTCATCACGGTGGATTCAATTTGATGTCTGCTTGCTTCGACATGGAAAGTACACTACCTGTGGGTCTGGCGCACTCGATGGTCGCTGTGATTTGTAATTTAAAACTTTGGTTGAATTACGGTAGCGTGATACAACTGTTTATACCGTTGCGCAGTCGCGTGATGAAATACATGTGTCGGCTCAGCGATAAGGAACTGAGAACTCAGGCTGTGAGGACGATGGCAGGTAAGTGATGATAAAATCTATCAGATTAAATAGAAGTCTAGTGGACGCATTTGATTATCATAACAATTGTCATCATTGCAGACTTTATGTGGTCAGCTGTAAAAGATCCGATAGACGCAGTACTGCCAAGCTTCGATCGGGATGGCTTGGATCTGGCCTTCAAGTACTTCACGAGTACGACGCTGACGATGCGGCTGGCCGGCATCGCTCAGATAAACTCGCACATAACGGCTTTCAATGAACTGTGCAACAGCGAAACCGTGGCGGAGATCGAGCAGGTCGGTCACGCTTTGGCGAACTGGCTCACCGACAACAATATCATCGCCCACATATTCGGTCCGAATCTGCACGTAGAAGTAATCAAGCAGAGCCACATTATCCTGAGCTTTTTGGCGATGGAGGGTCGCATTTCATCGCTCGACATGGACGTTATGTGGCAAGCCGCCCAACTCAAGCATTGCGCCCGTCCCGTCTACGATTTGTTGGCACCTCTCGTCAAGCACCTGGCGCCTGGAGCGGTGCTTCATCTCTACTCGCTACTCGGCAAGCTCGAGCCCAAAGAGCATACGGAGCAGAGTCTTTTCCTCGTTTCGGCTCTCATAAAGTTCATTTGGACGTCGAGTAGCAGTGGCAGCTATCATTTGGGTAGTCTGGCCCAAGGCTCAGCGTCGTCAACGCATGCGACTAGAGATCCGCTACAGCGTCAACAGCAGCAACAGCAGCAACTGGCCATGGACGAGGCGAGCACGAGTAGCGGTGATGGCCCAAGCGGCATGGAGCCGAGTAGCCCTTCCGACATTGAGGATGAGGGCAGTCAACCGGCGTCCGAAGGACCTTCACCGAGAAAACAACCCAGGGCCGACGATGATGCCGTCGACTACGAAGACGACGCTGAGGGCGACGACGATGAACCCGAAGATCCTGACAACGTTGAGACCGGTCGTGAGTTCTGTACACGATTGGAAAAGCTCAAAGAGGCACTTCAGAGAAAGGGCAAGAACTCTTCCGACGCCGATCACACGTCTGATGGACAAGATACCGATGAGGGCAAGCCCAGCGAACGATCTTTAAGGCGTGGCAAAAAGAGGCGAATGCTAAGAAAACGTAAAAAGCCGCGAAAACGTAAGGCGAGTGACGGCTCGATTAAACCGCCAGACGACAAGTCGCTCCTTGAAGACACGGTGAGTCAGCAGCAACCAGTCGATACGGCCAATGGCAGCAAAGTACTCGTCGTTGATGCGCTCGATCGTGTGAAACAAGAGGCGATTGCGATTAATCAACCTCCAGTAGGTTTGGCTACCGATCAACAGTTGCCTAGAAGCCGCTTACTCGCCCAAAAAGCCGCTTCGCAAAAGTTGTCCGCTACCAATGCAAAGTACATGCCGGTTCTCGTTGCGCACGACATCGGCCTCAACTCAGCTGATAGTTCTCACGATGAGGATGACAGCGATATCATCGCTGTGGTCAGAGCTGGTGAAGGTAAGTTTGCTCGTTTATTTGTATTTTGAAAAAGTTAAAGTTAGAAAGACATCAAATTTTACACTGCGAAAATGATGGAAAAATATTTACGCGTTTACTATTTTTATTTGAAAAATACTTTAACAATAAGTTGCAATTTCACACTAACGTTTATCCATATTCGCAATTATAGCCTGCCTCGATCACGAGCCAGGCGGTTCTCGCTTCCTGCCCAGCTGCATGGATGAAATGATGTCAGACGAAGAGGGTTCATACAGCAGTCGGATCAGCAACAAAAGCGAAAAGAATATGGCCGATTTTGAAGGCGAGGAGAGTGGCTGCGAAGAAGAACTGGCACAGTTAGCTGCTCAGCATTTGTCGGCTATCCACATGCAAGCTTATCATCCTCACCACGCAGCAGCAGCAGCGGCGGCAGCTGCAGCCGCCGCCGCGGCCGCTGCACATGCTCACGTGCACGCCCACGGTCACACGGCGACCTCTTCGATGAGCCATGGGGCATCACGTCACAGATCACAAGCCGCGTGTCGAGGCCAAGCTCGAGGACTCGGTCAATTTAACCTCGAGGCGGTTTGTTCACCTGGCCAAACTCTGCTCTGGGATTTGCTACAAGACGAAAAGATTGGTCAGCTGGGCGAGGGTTTGGCTCTTGAGGCGGAAAAGGCATTGTGCAATCTACTGTGCTACAATGTCGAACGTTCCATACCTATGAAATTCATCGAGGGTTGCTTGGACAATCTCGCGGCGAATCGTTCGGTCGTAGTGAGCCTGCGAATCTTGCCCAAGCTATTGGCGAGCTTTCAACAGTTTGGCACGATGGATGCTCACACGATTACCACGTGGGCAGACCGTGAGCGCGGCATGATGCGCCATTTTTTCAACAATCTACGTCACTACGCGAGCACCGGTCCACAGGGATTGCATTCTCATCAGGTCGAGGTGCAAGTGCGGCTACAATTTCTATCGTCGATCTTTTCGCCATTGGGTTCTCCCGAGTGCTTCCGCCTCAGCCTCGAGCAAGTTGACACACTGTGGTCGTGTCTTGCAGATGAATCTTCCGGTTCCGCTGACGAACTGTTCAGCTGGCTACTCAGTCAAGCCAAGTCCACGGAACAGCACGCTCTCGGCATGGACAGTCTAAAGCATCTTTGTATGCGTAAATTACCGAGTCTGCCACCGGAGACTATTAGTATGACAGGTCTTTCGCTGTTCCAACAACTGTGCCAACTGGCAAGACTCGCGGCAGTGCATCTAGAACGGCCTCTGCGCGAGCTCGACTCCATTGGTATGGACTTTCTTTGGAAGATCGCTTTGCGCGCCAAGTGTACCGAAGTCAGCATGGCAGCGATTCAGTACCTTAACTCTTACTACATGTCGCGACAACTCAGCCAAGAGATGGAGTTTGTCTCACAGTGTATGACTCACTTAGCCGCAGCCTCACGCAGTCTTGGTGCCGGCGACGATGAGCGAGAGGCAAGCTTGCGTTGTATCCAGCGCGCTCTTCTCTTACTGCGCACCCATCTCGAAGCCTTCAAGAAACGCTACGCTTATCATTTGCGACGCTGGGCTCTTGAGGGTCGCGCCGCCGGCATTGGTCACATTGGCTCCGGTTCCGGTCAGTCAGGCGAACGCAGCCAACAACTGCGCGTGTTCGTACAACCCGCGGGTATCTCCGAAAAAACCACCTTTACGCTGCTCAGTACTGACTATGTGGCGGACCTGCGAGCTGAAGTTTCCAAGTGGTGGGACGATACCCACGCATCACAGCGTCGTCGTCCGGCTGGTGACGCAGATGGCGCGACCTCTATAAGCGTCGGGGTACCACAGGGTGCCGTTCAAACTAAGCCTGGCTCGGTCCTAGGCTCGCTACTCACTGACGGACCAATCCGCATGATTACTCAAGGCCAGGAACTCACTATTGACTTCGACGAGAAGACTTTACAAGAACTCGGTTTCAAGGACGGCCAATTGGTCTTTATATCTTTGGGTGCTGGACGTTGTAGTGCCGTCGCTGCTGCTAGTGTGGCCGCCCGAGCTGCTGCTGCAAGTGGCAAGCGGGACCTCGAGTCACCGTCATTGCTGCCACCGCCTCCCAGAGATTCTTTACCTACACTTCTACTCTTAAGGCCACAGTACTTCGAGCAGCTGTTCACTCTTATGCGTACTCTTGCAGCCATAAAGACTCGCACCGAAAGTGGTCTCAGTGTGCCTCACCCTAAAGCTCAGGTAAGAGACCCTTTCTTTACTTGAATAAATATATTTCTAACATTTTTAAACATTTGTTTACACTTATTTTTCAAATACATTTATTGCAGGTGTTGTCCCGACGTGTATGGGACACACTAACCCTACTGCCAACAAGCCCGACATTATTGCAAGGCTTCCAGAACGTTGATGAGGCTTGCCTGCCAGAATTGCTGGACCCTTCCAATCCTCACAAACTCATGTACTCGTTGTACATCGTAGAGTCGCTGTTGAAGCGTTCAGCTCGCGTTGCTCGTAGTGGCGGCGAGACCACAACGACGACGACGATCTCAAACGTAACAAGCGCCGGTGAAGCATCGGATTCAACGACCGGTGATGATGCTACGAGCGACTGGTCGAGCACTTTTGTGCAACAGGGTGGCTTACGTCACCTTTTTTCCATCTTCATGTCTGGTTGCCTTGAGAACGGCGACGGCAGCGAATGGCAACAGGATTGCCTTGCTAGTTTGCTCAAGCAGATCTGTCAACTAGGTGTTGCTGGTGGCAGGCAAGCGACGAGACGCAACACAGCCGACAAGCTCGCAATCCCGAGGTTGAGCAAACAATTGTTGGCGCTTATGAAACCCGAGGAGGTACTACCGAGGATCGCGGGAATTCTCGAAGCAGCTTCACAGCCTCGGGATCCCAACCACTACAAGACTGGATTGTTCGGTCGTTCTCAACTCATTCACTACGCTTTGGCGCTTCTAGTTTGTTGGTTGCACTCCGAACCATCAATCTCGAGCGCGTTGTTTCCGACCGACTGCCGCTTCGGACGCGGCTGGCTGCGCAGACTTGTTCTTGAGGATCCCGAGCCAGCGGTACGCCGTGAAGTCTGTACTGCACTGTACAAACTTTGCCTAGGAAGTCCCGAGCCACGGGACAACGATCCATCCACCGACTCGTCGGAACGTGCTTCAGGCTGTTCCTCAGCCAACCTCATTGTGCCACTTCTCAGTGAACTTCTCGAGTATCTACCAATCGCCGAGGCGATGCATCCGCAACCAAGACCTAGAACCAAGCTGGAACAACAACATCAGCAGTTACATCCGCATAACCAACAAAGCCAACTATCAGTAACGGGAATGGGGCCAACAGGCGTGACCATCGAAACGGAGTCGTCGAAAGAGTCGTACGGTCCAGCTTGCCGAGACTATTTTTGGTTGGTGTGCCGGCTAGTTGACTCGCTACCCGAAGATGCAATCAGTGAAAGTACTAGTGATAAGAGTGGTGCCGGAACAATAGATCTGCAGGCTTTGGCCGAACGTGCTGTGACTTCCTGTCTAGAACGCGATTATCTGGAAACTCGTCACAACATCCTCGAAGACGATGGTCTAGTAGGCTTACTAAATCTCTGCTGCAACATTATGGCTCACAATCCACCGTGCAAGCAGGCCGAACTCGGTCGAGGCCTTCTCGAGCAAGCTTTCGACTTTCTATTCGCTCTGCCCACTCCAAGAGCAAAACATGTACCCAAGTGCAAGAGTCAAGCTTCTCGCTCGGCAGCGTTCGATTTATTGGTCGAGCTAACGAAGGGCGCTCTTTGCAACTACCGCGCGCTACATGAACGACTGCTCGAGCAGCACCGGCCGCGTCTCGGTTCGCAACCCTATTCCTGGGATTATTGGCCTCACGAAGACGGACGCTCGGATTGCGGTTACGTAGGTTTGACCAACCTTGGGGCAACCTGCTATATGGCAAGCTGCATGCAACATCTCTACATGATGCCACCTGCGCGACGAGCTATCCTACAGGCCGACTGTCAATCGGCGAACAAGCATCAGCTGACTCTACGCGAATTACAGCGCATGTTTGCCTATTTGCTCGAGAGTGAGCGCAAGGCCTACAACCCACGGCAATTTTGCCGTGTCTACACTATGAATCATGAACCGCTCAATACCGGTGAGCAGAAGGACATGGCCGAGTTTTTTATAGATCTTGTTAGTAAACTAGAGGAGATGACGCCAGATTTAAAGACTTTAGTGAAGCAACTATTTTGTGGCATTATCTCCAATAATGTGGTGTCTCTTGACTGTGAGCACGTAAGTCGCACTCTCGAGGAGTTTTACACGGTGCGCTGCCAGGTGGCCGACATGCGCAATCTTTATGAGAGCTTGGACGAGGTTACGGTGAAGGATACCCTTGAGGGCGATAACATGTACACCTGCTCGCAGTGCGGAAAGAAGGTACGCGCTGAGAAGCGAGCTTGCTTTAAACGTTTGCCCCGCATACTGTGCTTCAACACCATGCGATACACTTTCAATATGGGCACTATGCTCAAGGAGAAAGTCAACACCCACTTTAGTTTTCCTCTGCGACTCGACATGTCCGGTTACATGGAGGACAAACTCGTGCCGCCTCGTCACGCACCCGCCGACACCGAGAACGTTCAGAACGTTCAGGTTGACGATGAAATTTGTGAGAAGCAGGACAAAGAACAAGGCGAGGAACGACCGAGCACAACGAGCAACGCTCAAGAATCACGAGAGAACGAAGCCGAGCACTACCAGTATGAGCTGATCGGAGTCACCGTCCATACGGGTACCGCCGACGGAGGACATTATTACAGTTTCATTCGCGAGCGTTCAGCTGAAGACGAACACCACCACGAACAGGACAGATGGTTCCTCTTCAACGACGCCGAGGTCAAGCCTTTCGATCCCAATCAGATCGCTGCAGAGTGTTTCGGCGGCGAGATGACCAGCAAGACCTACGACTCTGTTACCGATAAATTCATGGATTTCAGCTTCGAAAAGTCTAACTCGGCTTACATGTTGTTCTACGAGCGCTGCCGACGAAACGAGGAGAAATTAGAGGAGCAAACCGACGAGCCACCTACGGCAGGTACATCCACGCCAAACACCGAGTTGCAGCTGAGTAAAGAGCTTGAGGAATGGATTTGGCAGGACAACATGCACTTCCTACAGGACAAGAACATCTTCGAGCACACGTACTTCAGCTTCATGTGGCAGATCTGCGGCTACGTGCCGCAAAGCTTATTGTATACTGAGCCGGAGATAGGCGAGCTCGCGGCGGAGTTATCGGCCTCATTCTTCCTTGAGACGTTTATACACGCAAAAGAGAAACCGACGATGGTTCAGTGGGTGGAGTTGCTGACCAAGCAGTTCAACAACTCGGTGAGCGCCGGCATCAAGTTCCTCGAGCGAATGGCTCAGGATTCGTGGTGGCCCGTTCAGATTCTAGTCAAGTGTCCCAACCAGATGGTCAGGCAGATGTTCCAGAGGCTGTGCATTCACGTGATTCAGAGGTTGCGTCTCGCTCAAGTGCCCTTGTATATGACCCCTGACGAGGAGGAAGAGGCCGGGTCTAGCGTCACCTCGAGCTCGTGCGTGACGCGATTCATGCGCTCGTTACTGTCGCTAATGGAGCACGCCAAGCAACATCTTAAGCATCTCACCGAGTACTTCGGCTTGCTCTACGAGTTCAGCAAGCTAGGCGAGGAAGAGACTGTTTTCCTTATCAAGACTCAAGCGATCTCGAGCATGGTCAATTTCTACCTGGGCCATAGAAACCACGATTTCGCCGACGCGATTAGCGAGGAAGAGGAGGAGGAGGAAGTGGTCGCGATCAGTGGTGGAGCCGGAGGCAGCACTGGGGCGGAGAAAATGAGACCGGCTTCGCTCGATAAGATGATCACACTCGTCGCCCTCTTGGTCGAACGCAGCCGACTGCCTGACCACAGACTCAACCTGTCGGCCTCGGACTTCAACGCGGTTGCTGGAGGCAAAGGCTTCCCGTTCCTCTATCAACAGATTCGCGACATGATCAACCTTCAGCAGACGCGCAATCTCATCCAGTCGTTGTGTCGCTGGAACGACCGCTTGGCCATCCACGTAGTCAGCATGATATTCCAGGCGATCAGCAAACACACGGATCTTTGCCAGCCGTTCTTCAAGGTGCTCACGCTACTTAGCGAGGGTTCGAGTCCCGCGGGTCTACCCTGCATGACTCAATTAATTCTCAGCCGTATTTGGGAGGTAGCGAGGATCGCTCCTCACGGCGCTTTGGAGTGGCTGGCGCTCGCGGTCACGCGCAGCAAACTCGCTCATGCCTGGGTGTTGCAAGGGCTCGATACCTGGCTGCAGCATTTTCTTCTCGAACACACCAATCATCGCGTACGCTCGGCCGCCGCTTTCCTTCTCGTGTCGCTCGTGCCGTCGGCTCACTTCCGCCAAGGTTATCGTTCGGCTCATCGTCTTGGTCTTGGCTGTCAGGCTTCTACCGCCAGAGAATTGCAACTGTCGACCGACGCCACACTCGTTCTCCATCAAATTTACACGGCGTTACTACGCCTTCTCCAGTCGGCCCGACACTACACCGAAATCAATACCCACGGCACCATGAGCCTTACCGCTTACTTCGCCTTGATGACCTACTGCATCGTATCCAAGACTGAGAAACTCATGGTAAATTAATTGCAATTAATTGCAAAGCCCAATCGCAACTTCACAGTTCTGTACTTTTAAATCTTTCATGATCATCCGAGATTTCTTTTGTGAATTTAGATTATTGAAATTTTATTTCTATTTTGCAGTTTGGACCCTACCTCAACGATCTTTGGACATTGTTCCATCCGAAGCTGTCTGAACCGAGCATTCCAGTTCATCACAACAAGCAAGCACTCCTGCTCTTCTGGTACCATGTGAGCAACGACTGTCCTGAAAACGTTGCACTCATACTCCACAATCCTCATATCACCAAGAATATTGCTTTCAACTACATATTGTAAGTCATGCGTGGTTTGTTTGAGTCGAGTCGGTTTGACTGAAAAACTTCGTTTCGTCTCTTACAGAGCTGACCATGAGGATCAAGACGTCGTCCTTTTCAATCGCGTCATGCTGCCGGCCTACTACGGCTTACTGAGACTATGTTGTCAACAGTCACGTGCTTTTACTCGACAATTAGCAGCGCATCAGAACATACAGTGGGCCTTCAAGAACATCACTCCGCACCCCACGCAATATTCAACGGTAACATTTATTATTTGTTTTTTATTCTTTACTTATGATTTCATTAGAATTTTGATATCAATGAATTATAGCGTCGTCAATTTTAATAACGAAATAATGAAGTGTTTGCCACAATCAAAAATACTGAAGTACGTGCTACGAGATATTAACAATTGTGTCTATTCTTTCAGGCTGTGGATGAGTTGTTTAAACTGATGCAACTGTTAGTCGCTCGACATCCCGATCAAACCGAACAAGAAGAGGCCGAGATAGCTTCGTTCCGACGAGGCACGCTGTCATCTTACCTGCAAGGCCTTGATGGACGCTCTTGTTGGGCGACCCTCATATCAGCATTCAGGATTCTCATAGAATCGGATGAGGACCGACTGTATGTGGTGTATAATGGTGGGCTGAGTATGGCACTGGAAGCGTTCCATATGCTACATATTATGTATCACGAGGCGACCGCCTGCCACGTTGCCGGCGACCTGGCCGAGCTCATTGCAATAATTGTTGAGTTAGTGCGTTGTGTACGAACGGCTCGAGGTGTCGGTAGTGGTAGCGGTGAAGCAAGTGGTCCCGAGGCACGAAGTCTCCTGGTTAACTGTAAGGAATGGCCAGATGTGTTACGTAAGTTGGCCACACTACTCAACACCTACAATCCAGCAGACATGCGCAACCTGGCAATCGACTTGCTGAAAGAACTGGTCATGCTGGTGCCGAATGAGGCCATTCTCATTTTGGCACCTCTGCTTTCGCACTGTCATGCTGCGTTACAGGAGTCGCATGCGAGTGTACCTCCGGGCCCGTATCTGCCTAGACGCTCTACGGCCCCTAGTAAGATGCCCTCACGTCCGGCGAGGCCGATGGTTCAAATGGCTGTACCTCACTCTCAACTGGAGGCGGCCAAAGGTCAGGATCCGAATTACGATAGCGCTCTGCTTGAATTTTTCTTGCCATACCACGAGCTCATCGACGTGATGTGTCGGCTTGCCATTAATAACGATTGCATGACGGAGATCCTCGTCAATCTCTCAGCTATGCTTGGTTTCGAAGGTGAGATTTTACTTGGTCTACATCTTTTTCCATGTTTCTTTCATTTTTCTGATGCTTTTTTCTAAATTTTTACATTTTTTAAGGTGTTCCACTGCATTTGGCCCTATTTCCGCGACTTTGGCTCGACGTGCACGCTGCCAGTCACGTCGATCGTAAGCATATCGCTGCTCTACTTCGCTGCTCCTATACCATCGACTATGTGGACGCGGTCCTACTAGACGAAAGATCCTCGTTGGCGGTACCAGCGATACACGCCTTTCTCAAAACTTTCTTTCCAAAGTTGGCTAGCCACGTGCTTACCGAGCAGACCTGCTCCATTATTGACAATCTCGTTGGTACACTCACCTCAATGGTCGACGTGGTCGACGTCCAGGCATCCGCACACAAGCTTATTGGCGACTTGAGAGCGCTGGCTTTGGTTTATAGTTGTGGAACGGATATCAAGCCCCCTCCAACTCTTCATGCTGCTCTCGAAACTCTTCTCGCGCGCACGCGAGCTGCCAGATCTCGAATCAAGGAGTCGAAGCAACAAGACCTCGAGACTCCTGCCAAGAAGCGCAAGTTTGACGTACAAACCCACGTCGAAATGGATGACGAAGAAAACGATAATAATGGAGGAGCGGAGGAACGAGAGGATAATGATGAAGATGATAACGACGATGATGACGACGACGATGACGACGAAGACGACGATGATGACGAAGATGAGGAGGAAGAAGAGGGTAGCGCCTCTAGTCTTGGTGGTATCGAAGAAACCAAAGATCGCACTGATCGCTTGCCTTTGGAGACATCAGCAACAACAACGAAGATGACAACCACTATCACAACGACTGCAACGGCTAGTGCGACCACGACCACCACCTCGGCTAGCTCGGATGGGTCGACAACCACGCCGACAACTGTGACGATGGCTACAACGACAACGACGATAACGACGACGACGATGAGTGCTACTAAAATTACGAGTGATGCGACCTCCTCGGTGTCAGAGCCTACCATTGAAAACGTCCAAGAAGTCAAAAAGCAAGATACCGAGGAGGAAGAGGAAGGCGAAAAACCTCTCAAAAACACGGATGCAGACAAAACTGACCAAGCCGATTCAAAGTCAAGCTCGAGTCTGATTAGCGCCAGCAGTACGACGAGCACTTGGAACAGTCACTTCTGCCGATCGATGAATAATGTCTCTTGGCTAGAGATGCTAGAAAAAACTATAACCAATTTACAAATCATCGTGCAGTTTCAATCCAAAAACTAAAGCAAAACAAAATTCGAGAAACAATTTCGCGCGGTATTTAATTAATTAGCGATTTGAACTTATATCGAGCAGAGGCTCGGCAGCAATCGAGATTTTCAACAATGAACAATGAAGAAAATTGGTTGTGAAAACTTGGCTGCGTATTATACGACGCGGACTTTGGCCCAGTTGACACGAATCATGATTCATCTGCGCTCTATGTCAATAACTAGGTAAACTTTAGCCCGCGTGCATACGCGTGCGTCGGCACCATCGCGCTTCTGTAAAAAGATATCACGTGTATAGTTCACTATTCGTTACTTGTCGAGTGTACTCCTCATATGCTACATCTCATTTAATCAGATGGTGAAATAGCAGTGTGATCAATTTGATTATGTATGTTCGCGAGCGAGTATATGTAAAAAAATAATTTTATCTATAAGATTAAAAAAAGAACGATTTAAATCGACTCTAATTATACTTAAAAATTTATCATTGGATGGAGAAGCTTTGTAGCTCCAACATACCGCTTATACATGGCATTGCAGTCTTTTTTACGACCAGCGCAATATTTTACTTATCTCACAATACCGCAGTTAACTGTAATTGCGGTTTCATTTTCACGCCCTTTTACTAATAAACGAACTCTTTCTTTTCATGATTTTTAATAGCTTTGTCCAATACATTGAAAAGCAGTCGTCAATGCGTCTTTCTAATCGCATGCGCCTACAATTCTTACTTTTTTTTACCAACTGTGTTTGTACGAAAATAAAGTAAACGTTAAATGCTCGTTTTTCTGATAGATTCTTTTTTTTAATGCTGATAGATGGTAAAAGTGAATTATAAAATTGTCATATTATAATTCTCTCTTCCATCGGAAGAAAAGCTTGAAGAAATATATTTTTCAAATGACTTTTTTTTGTTATTATTTATTATTAGAATTTTAATAAGGTTCTTAAATTGATGCACATTGTGGCTCTTATATTTCATTTTTAAATGTTTTTGAGTGAAAAATCATTGGGAACTGATTATTCTCCTTTGTACAATAGTAAATGTAGATTGACAGTAGATATCTTGTTCGATAAATCATTGCTTGAAGATTATGTGGACATGTATCACCTGTAATGATTGCGTCTGACTGTCAAATATACTGTGCAATGCATCGAGTCAACTTAAGAATTCTAGAGTATATAATCATTTAAATTGTGAATATTAAGTTTTAACAAGAACAATTACGTAAAGTAAATAGGCATTCTGCCATGTAAATACACTAATATTTCGAAGATTAATTTGGCAAATTCATTTGAAAAATATGTTTCTCTATAATCGTCAAATAAAGTAAAATTATTAGCTTGCGTTACAGCTGCTCCTTTTTAAAAAGAAAAAAATTTACTCCATAAGAGTAATATTGTATCGATAACAAGTGAAGTAGTGCCACAGACATTGTATTGCAAAGAAGAAAAAAGTTTTTGTTTATTAATTTAAATGAATGATTTTGTCAAAGTAATATAACGCTATTATAATATTTTCTGCTGGAGAATACGTAAATATTCTCTGCACTTTGAAATTGAACTGAATAAAGTACATTTTCATAATTTTTTTCAAATCTTGTTGCATTATTGCATTCCTATTATCTCGTAATTATCGTTGAAGAGATCTTGTAATTTAAAAAAATATTCAAACGAGTTTCACTCGGTAGGCAAAGTAGAAAACGGTTAAGATGTGTAAATGTGTATTGCATGTACACACCCCAGATGATCGTTCACGTGTATTTGAGGGATTGAATCACAAACACGCACTCTACCATCAGACACATCAGACCAGCTGGTGATGGCTCTCGATCTTGGAATAGTATACAGTGTGAAAGTTTCATACTAATAGTAACAAACAAATCCATCGACTTATTCATAACTTTTATGTTTTTTCGTTTCGTAATCGAAAATTAAATGATTTTAATATCTGTGTGATATTTGATTCGACGGTGCCCATTCTGCAGCTATAGTTTTTAGTTCAAAATTTACAGTGAAAATAAAAATACGAAAAAATGGGTAGTACTGACAAGGCTGTGATCACTGGTTTCATATGCAGACTCTGCAGCAAAATGAATCGATTTGTGATTCATATTTATGGAGAGGAAGGCGAAAGGATGAAGTTGTCTGAGAAAATCAACAGTTATCTTCCAATAAATGTGAGCATTTTTTTGTTCAATTGTTAGTAATATTTTTTTTAAGTTTGGCAATCTAAAACGACCATTTTTTATTAATTTCATAAAATAATATAATTATCTATCCAGTTTAGTAATAACTCTAATTTGACTACCATATTACATGTTTATTGAAAAAAAAACTATTTTTCTCATTTAATTTCATGATAAAATATACTAATATGATTATAATTTAGATATTTGCAAGAGAAATCATAAAATTACTATAACTTACACTTTCACTGTGTTACCTTGAACCACATAATTCATTACTACTCATTATAGGTGGATCCTAATGACCAACTGCCGAAAACTGCATGTTTGGAATGCATTGAAAAGTTGGAAGCACATCATGAATTAATGAAGCAATTTTTATTTGCTAGGCGGAAACTTAGTAATGAAAAGAAATCTACATCAATATCTTCCTCTACTAATTCATCAGCAGCCATCGACGCAACAGCTACATCAAGTAGTCCACCTCCATGTTGACATCAATTTAATATTATATACATTTTTAATGTGTTGAATAGATTTTGATTAATGGCTTGAGAGACTTATCATCTAAACAGTAATTGATCTACATCAGTGATGTTGTAATTTACCATTATTGTACTTTTTAAAACTGATTCTTAAGCTAATTTTTCTATAATACCTGTCGACCCCAAAGATTGGATTATGGAATGGTATTACAGATTGAATAGATGTGCTGCAATCAATTTACAAATCAAATATATAGCATAATAAATTGTTACAAATGACATTTGAAAATGATTGTTTTATGAAAAATCAATTTACAGATAAATATATTATTGAGTTTGAGCTGAATTGAACTTTGAATTTTTAATTTTTTTTAACAGAGACTAATCAATAGAGAACTTGTAAGAAAAAGCCTTTTAGTCAAACATGCATATTTTATATAAAGACTTCATTTGTACAATTATATGTACAGATTTAGAGTGAGAGTTAAAATCTTGTATAATTTTAAACTCACAAGATTTTGTTATTTTCACTATATATTGTTGTACAGACAAACCATTTTATAAATGAATTTAATTACCTTCAATATTTACAAAACTTTTCAATGCTCTTCTACAGTTTGTAATGCTATTGTAGGCCTAATTAGATATTATTTTAAAAAATTAAGCAATTAATTACATACAAATGTGTGTACATTAATTGAAACATTATTAGGTGTGAACTTCTGGAAAAGTTCTATGAACTAAGAAGCCTATCAATAATTTACATAAGTATAATTTATTTATTATAGGTAGAACTGACAAGGAAAGATAATTTGTCATTGTTTCAATAAAATAATATACAGTACTTCTTATTAACTCGAGACACTCATTGATATCTACAGCCGACCATAATATACAGTATATGGAGAAAATCAACCATTACATCCTTTCAACTATTTGACTTAACCAGAGATATAGATTGGTACTCTAACAAAATATATCTTCGATGAATTTTACTAATTATTACGAAAGATTCTGTTCAGACAGTTTTTAAAGAAATATTTTGAAAGCTATAATAGTTTTTAGATTTTATTAATTTTAATATGTGATTGAATGCCATTTTAATCACTATAAATGAGTTTTAGATTTCATATTTTATTCTAAAAAGTTTTCTTGGAGTACTGTTCATCTTTGCTTACTAATTTTCTTTGTTTACTATATTTATTTTAGTGAACTATATATGTTGATCAGGTCTTAAGCTCCAATCCATCTTTTGTGAATTTATGAGTAAAAAATGAAATGATTTGTTTTCTAATTTGAGATTTTATTTTTAGCCTTCATAACCAACAAACAAAAGAAATAATAATTAATATTATTGTTACTCTTATAAGTAGTATAATAAACTGTACACTTTGTTCTTTGTCACTTTACATAACACAAAGAGAAGTTGAAATCGTCAGCTATAGTTGCAATTTCATTAATAGTTAAATATAATCTTTAAAAGCTTTTATAAATCTAATTTTATTTATTAAAGAAACTATGTTTATAATTGAAATTATATTTTATGATTAATTCAATGCTTTTGTGTATACCTTGCTATGATTGCAACATTTTCTAAATAAAAGGAATGTTTATTTATCCAGAAATGTGGATGATTTGGAACAGATATTTGCTTTGAATAAATCATGTATTCTCTCAAAAGTAAAGTGATTATGATGATTACTAAATATTGATGATAAATTATATTGTGAATATAATTTGATTTGATATAATATTATTTCCTTGCTTTATTATTTTTCTCTTTATTTATTGTAATATCATATATGGATTAATTAGGAAAATAATTTGTTTCTATCTTGAAAGAATCTGTTTATAATTTCAACCTAAATTATACCTGAAACATGACTCAACAAAGTTCCTTTTTTTCCACAAAGGAAAAAAAAATTCATTTTCATTTTATTTCTTCAATGTATTTGTTAATTATTTTTCGGTAAATTTTACGTTACTTTTGATTGCTTTATTTGGATAAAATCATTTTACACTATGAATTTTTGAAGGAAGTAAAATTTAGTTTTTAAGATTCAAGGCAATTGGCCCTGACGACCTTTGTTCTCATGCTACATATATTACATACACATTCGATAGCATATGTATAACTATAACAAAACATACCTATAATGGTATCGTATAAGAGGTTATATGTACTACAATTTTACTGAGAAAATTCACTTCGTTGAACACAAGTCAAAAAGACACAACTATTTTACAATTAAAAGAACTTTTGTGAAAAGCAGACTAATCGTAAAATTTATGAACTTGAGGAAGTAGAGATAAAATAATTTTTTCAATAAAATTTTTTTATGTTAATTTTATTTTACTTTAATCTTTATATAATTACAAGTTAAAGTTTTTTCACCCACATAAAGCTTTTATTCACTTATTGCATTATATTATTGCGTTTCATGACAAAAAAAGGTTTTTTTATTACAATAAGTATATATAGAATTACAAAAAATAAGCATGAAAATTAAAATCTAGTACTCGATACTCAAAGATTGAGACTGTATAATACTATCTTAAGTATGTATATGTACAAATTATAGAAATTTTATAAGTTAACTCGAGTTGTAAACTTGTAATTTCATATACAAACTTAAACATATCAAAGTATATATTAATTCATAGAAAATGTGACGATGGTATTTTTAAACATATTTTTGCATTTTTGCAGCTGTATATGTGGCTTGCTCTTCAACAAAAAAATCAAATTTAAAATGTATCATTCGCTTAAATTTATATTAGTCAAATTCAATGACAATCAATTCAGTTTTTACTTATTGAAGAAAGACACATGCCATATATAAAAATTAAAATCCTTCTTTACAAGTAAATTAATATATAATTTCTTTGTACAAATCATTTACAATATCAAAGTATCTAAATGTCCTCTATTATAAAATAGAAAAACGCTTTTTCATTACACATTTTTGTTGATTGATTTCATTTAGTGAAAAAATCAATTTTACTCTCTATGGAGAGTAGTATCAATCAGATTAGTACATACAAAAGTTCTTTTGATACAATTCTCTTGATTTAATAAACAATATAATATGTATCTTTTAATCTAATTGGGATAATATTACCTTACCTCGATGAAAAAATTGCAGAGACAATTATTTTCAAGTAAAAATGAGTGAAGAGTTTGTGATTTCTCAACAGATACTTTGCTATGAAATCATTTGCAATTCTCACGTACAAAGGTCTTTTTGTATACATAGCAACATAAACCATTGTTATCACTCTCATCACAAACATGCTTGTTGCATTTCAGCTTTAGCTGCTTTTTGAGCTGAAACAATAAACGATTATTGTGGTAAGTCAAGAAAACTAAATAAATAAGAACTATACATTGTAAAGAGAAGAAAACAGTAATTTACCTTCACGTTTTCTTCGTTTAATTTTTTTTCGACGTCTTTCGATAGCTGCGAGTTCCACTTTACAGTTGCCGTAAGCTTTTCTGAGATCAGTTATCCTTTGCATCAGTACTTGAATTCTTTGGTTGCTATCTAAATTAGGATCTGTAAAAAAATAAAACTTAGCATACTGTCAAAAAATAAAAACGAATAAAAGTATGGCGAGTAAGAACTACGAAATTACCCAAATCCGTAAGAAAGTTATATCTCATGGGTCTATTTGAATTGGTGGAGAAACTGGCGATACTGTTACTGTTCATGCCAGTGATTACATTTGATCCTATCGTAACAGCGTTAGATGTATTGACTGGCATTGCCGAAGTACTATTGTTATATTGCGTAGAGCTTTCACTGGTGTCATCACTGTCACTGCCAATGGTTTGTCCACGTGTATGTCGCGTAGCTTGTCTGGGTGATTTTTTTCCCGAAACATTACTTGGGCCTGGAGACGACGAGGTGGCTGCAGAGGTATCCTGATCTTTTCGTTTTTTACGCTTTTTCGGCGAAATATTTTCGGAATCCGGTATAGCTCCTCTCTTGGATACCGTGGATTTGGAGGAATGTGGCTGCGTCTCGACTGAAAATTCAGGGCTAAGTAACGGTAATCTGCCATCCTCGATTTTCACTGCAGCGGGGGCTCCAACTGTCTTGCTGCTAGTCCCGGCGCTTTCGTTCTCCGCTTCCGAGCTGTTGGTCTTGCCATTATTGTCTTCGGACGATGAAAGCGTGGAACCACCGGTTCTTTCGTCCCGTGGTGAACCAGATACATTAGAGATGGTCGAATCGGGTGTTGTTGGTGGAGTGTTATCCGTGACCGGCGCTGCTTCGCTACTCTGTCTGCGCTGCACTGCTAGCCCAGCCACGACTTGCAAAGCTGCTACGACCGGCGCGACTTGCGATTGCATCGGTGCCGGTAGTGTTGATTGTGCTTGTGACTGCTGCTGCTGCTGATATCCTAGAAGTTGACCTTGAGGCTGGCGGAGAGGTAAAGTACTGCTCACTTGGGTAGACATGGGGATAATGCTATTGGAACTTTGGGAAACAGCTACGCTACTACCAGCGGCCGACACTACTGTAAAACTTGACGCTTGTTGCTGGTTAAGGGGTATTTGTGTTCCGGCAATGCTACTTCCGCTTACTTTATTTGCTGTGAAAGAAAGAAAATTAGTTGGCTATTTGTCACATAGGATTTTTTCACAGCGATAATGAAAGAAGCTGCTTTGTCAAAAATTTTGTTTGTAATTAAAAATAACTTTCATAAAGAAACAGGCATCATTTACTGACCGATCTCACTTTGAAGTAGATTTTGAGCGCTGATTGAAGTTTTAGGCTCGTGTTCAGGTAAATCGTTACTAGGAGTCGGCGATCCAGGTATTTCTTCCTCGCACAGAAGCGAATTCAAATTTTCTCCGTCCTCTTCTATCCTTGCAATTTTGGCTTGGATCACGGAAGCGACTAAACCAATGCCGACTGATTTTTCCTGTGGGCCACGGTTAGTACTAGCGTTATAGCAGGTGTTAACAGTCTCAACAGGTGGCTTGGCGACTTTTGCTTCAAGATTGAAATCAATGCATTTATCATCTGCTGCATCCTCACTATCGATAATTGTAAGTCGCCTTTCAGAGTCACTCGAATCGCTTGAATCAACGGAATCACGATCAATGCTCGGCTTCATCTTGTTTGGAACTACCTCCCTTCTAAGACCTATGTAATCCTTATTAGCTTCGCCGATGGAGGTCGTCGGTGCGGTTACTACCGTCGCTGCTTTAGTTTTCTTCCAGGATTCTTCTGTTTTTGCCGTTTGCTCGATCTTTTTCTGATTAGCGTAGGTTTTTACAACGGAGGGTATCAATGTTTTGGCAGTCTCCTCCTCCCTCTTGTTAATCACCTCTAGCAAAGGATCGTGATGTGGCTCGAAGTCTTGTAGAGGATCTTTTATCGGAATTATTTGCTCGGGTTGCTTTCTCTTGTCAATCGACTCGTGTTTGGTTTTACTTTCATCCTTATCTTTAACCTTTTTGATACTTGGAGCTGGTTCGGTCTTTTTGATCATTTCTTTTACCACCTTTCGTACTACAGTTTCATTCGGCGGCTCTTCATCACGTTTCGCGTCCTTGACTTTGGCACGGAATACCGAGGCGGCAGCTAGCGAAAGTTTCTCTTCAATACTAGCAGTCGCAGGAAGACGCGCACTGATAGGAGCTGGCACTGGCAGAGAATGTGGAACGACGGGGGTGAAATCAAGAACTTTCATCTCCTGTTTTGGCTCTGCTTTGTTCGCTGTACCTGATTGCTCAACGCGCTTCTTATCTGTTTCTACTGCTGTTATTTTGGACCTATTGCTTTCGTCAACTTCGTGGCCCGGCGTCAAACTCGAGAAGGAAGACAATTTTTTCGGTTCAGCAGACTTGTTGATGGTGCGATCTTGCACACTCTCAGTCTCGCTTGATAAGGCCGCCTTGGCTTTTGGGCCGGAGTAATGGGATAAATATTTTACTGGTGTTAGCTTTGGAGGTCCAACATCTTCGTCGCTCTCGCTGTCATCGTAATTTCTTTTCGGCATGCGCTTCGATAATGGTTTTTTCTTTGTCTCGATGATCTCACTGCCTGGAACTCCACTCGGCTTTTGTCTCTTTTTCACGCCCTTTGCTGCTAAGTCCTCGTCTTTCTTCATCTTGACATCCTTAATTTCAGGTGCCATGCGACTGGTTTCCGGAATTGAATCGGGCTTACGCACAGGTTTGGTGGGAGTGTAGCTGGAAAAGAATTTATCAAGTTCCTTGCTCGAGTCTTCCTCGTCGTCTTCCGCTTCGTCCAGTTTCTTCCCGAAAACTTTACGCGGTCTTTTCTTGGCATCAGTGTTATCAGAGCTCGATATTTCGCTGGCTTTACTTATGGCAGGACTGCTCGAAAGCAAGTTTTTGGTTGGTCGTTTCTTTGGAGTTCCCTTGGCATCTCCCTCGTCCAAAGTAATGATTTTTCTTGCTTTAACGTCATTTTCGATGTCTGGCTCGTCTATTAAAATGTCGTCAACGATTCTTTTGACCTTTGCGTTATACGCGATAACACTACCTGCGCAGATACTGTTACTAAAAGTTACCGGTGCATACTTGGCGGAATCTTCCGAGTCAGGCTCGTCGTCGACGTCTTCGCTTTTCTTGAATATTTTACGTGATTTCTTTTTACTTTCGCTACTCTCTGTAGCTTGAGCAGTTTGTTCCAGTTTTGTATCGACCTTTACTGAAGTTGTAGGAGTTACGCCCTTTTGTCGTTTCTTTGGGCTCTTTAGTTCTTCGTCTAGTGCACGCTTTCTCATTTTGTCTTTGTCTTTTTCCTTATCTTTTTCACTGCCGGATGAGTCTCGTTTGTTTCTCACCTCAAACTCGAATGGCTCAGGCTCTTTAAACTCATAGATATCCTCAGTGTTGTCAGCTTGGCTTGCCTCGAGTTTGATGGTCTGCTCACACTTAACAGAGTTAGCGTCAATCTGCCCTGGAAGAATCTGCAATTAAATAGTAAACGTAAGTGACAACTTTTACGAGCGTATTACGCTATCTGAATAAACTTAACCTTTTGTTCGACGCTCTCTCGAGTTTCAGGCTCAGACTTCTCTAGTTTGATCGGAACCACGGGTTGCTGCTGCTGATCAGCTGCCGTTATAGCTTCTTGTTGGTTACTCGTAATTTCGAGTTTAACGGCCTTATCGAATCCCTTGAGTTCCGATCTGATCTCGTTAAGGTCGAAATCGCGACCCTTGGGTTGGTCGTCGGTGTCGGTATCGGGCTCGGACTTGATCATCGCATCGTCGTTGACTTTTGCGGCAGATTTAGTTTCACCAGGAGGTTTCCTTAGTCTTCTACTAGGGCCTCGACGACTGCTCTGCGGCTGCATATCTGCTTCCTCCGAGTCTTTATCGGGGTCTTCGTGGTCACTAGTTTCCTCGATCTTCATGCGGCTCTCAGCACGACGTCTAGCCTCCCGCCGTCCTCGCTCTTGTGGTGGCGGCGGTGGAGGTGCCTGTTGTTGTTGTGGTCGAGAACGCGAGCGCGACTCGCGTGGCTGAGCCTCGGCTGTGCTCACGTCAGACTCAGCCGCGGACTCACTGTCCTCGCTGTCCTCGGATTCGTGCCCGCCGCTGGGAGTGGCGTTGACGGGCTCAGCGTGACCAGATGCACGGCGCTGACTACGTGCGAGTTGTCTAGCACTAGTACGACTGCTCGCTGCTGTGCTCGCCGGGCTCTTAGTTCGGGAAACTGGCGTACTCGCACGATCTTCCGAATCTTTGCTGGAAGGAGCAACGCTCACAGCGCGTCTTCGTCCACTCAATGAAGTGCTAGGGGTCGCTGCTTTATTTACGTTGCCACTACTACTGACTCTAACGCTCGTTCCAGGGGTAGGCGGTCGGGCTTGTGCCTTAGCGCGCTTTATTCTTCCTTGGCTTTGGGTGAAATTTTGCGCGATTCGCGAACATTTGATCCATTCGTCGTATCTAGTATTCCAACCGGTGTAGTGCACCAAATAAACGGCCTCCACGCCGTCCTTTTCTATGTCAATCACTTTGGCCTCATAGGTCATTTTAGAATCATAGTATACTTTCAGTCGGTCACCCAACTCTACGGGACCTTTATACGTTGGTGCATATTCTGTTGTTTGTCTGTCTTCTGCTTGGGATGCTCTCATTGCTCTTTCCGCTGTTGCCGCACCAGCGGCCGCAGACGCTACACTCTCTACTTCCTTCTTTTTGCGACCACGCTTCTTCATTTCCTCTTCCGTTAATTTACGCATCTTGCTCGTGACGGGTTTCTTGTCGGTCTCTCTCGATGGCGTCTTTGTTTCTCGGCTATCGTTGGGTGGCAACGAACTTAATTTTACAGTTTGCTGTTGCTGTGGCGGCTGTTGTTGCTGTTGTTGCTGTTGCTGTTGAGGTTGCGAAGGCTGCTGTTGTGATGATGGCAGTGGTCGCTGATTTACGACATCGTCCTTTGATTTTGATCTCGTCTTCGTGCTTTCCTCGTCTTTAAGGCCACTCTTATCTTCCTTTTTATCTGGTCTTTTTGTTTCAAGCTTTTTCTTTTCGGCTAACGGCTGCTGCTTTTTCCGGAATGGCTCTTCCTTGGCTTTGGCTGTTACTTTTGACTTGGTGCCGATGCCACTTGACGGAGTTAGTCTCGAAGAGCTCTTCAGCGACTTTTCGCTGCACGAAGATTCCTCCTCGGCATCGATATTAATGTCACTGTCTTGCCCGCTGGCACTTTCGTCGATTGGCTCGTCCTTTCGCTTAACTTTACTGGTCAATGCTTCTTCGTCCTGTTTTATAATAATCTCTTTCTTTATTTCTCGCTTGTCCCTTTTCACATCGTCCTCCGCCGACATGACACTTCTTTTATCTTCTTCTTCTTTTTCAATCCTGATGAGTGGCTTATCTTGCGTGGGTACTGGCGTATTGCGATCTTTATCACGAATAAGACTGCGACCGGGTCGTTGTTTTCTCATGCTACCTCTGGGGTGATTCACCATTGTACAGCCCAGTTTCCTATAGAAATCTTCAAACGAGTGAAGAAACTTTTTATACGCTTGTTTTACTAGATTGTGTGTCGAGGCGTTATTTTGCATCGAAAATCCCAAACGTCGCGTTATAAGTTTCCATTGGTTTTGATTGGTTACACGGTTGTAACCACCCAATTTATATACAGCGCGGAATAATCTGTATAAGTCAATGTCTTCGTTTCCAATCATTGGGCAATTATTTATTGGTGTGCCTCGATCATCCATGAATTTATATAACTGAGCTACGAAATGATCTTTCTCTTCGCGCGGTTCATCGTCCGAACTCTGAAACATGAAAATTAAATTTTTAGGTTAAAAATGTAAGCTACTTGACAGATAGTTTTACTCAAATGTGCAAAGAATTACATCTGAATCTAATTCTGCATCAGAGTCACTATTGCCACTTGAAACAGCAGTTCCAAATAACGAATCTCTATCCCAATGAGGAGGTAACTCATTTTTTTCCAAAAACAATAAAGCTTTCTCAACAGCTACTTTCAAAGTACTATTTTCTATTTTATTGACCAAGTCTTTTGTGAATTCTGTGGCCTCTTTCTTCGGCACAGTATAGCTAATAATAAAAAAAGGATTTAATTAATACAAAATCATAATTATGATAAAAAGCACAATAGTCTTAAAAAGGTATAATAAAAACTCACTATCTAGCATCTTTAAAAGACCTCACGAGATATTCATCACGAACTCGAATTCTTACAGTATCTTGAGCAGTCGGTGCTACAACTAACCCAGGGAACCAGTTATCTTTTTTTTTCTTATCTCCAAGTTCTACACAAACTACTCTGCCAATTTCAGGTTCTGTTTCTGGACCTTCTTTACCCCCAGAAGTAGAACCTGAATCATTGCTACCCCTTGGTATATCATCATCTTCGTCGCTACTGTCATCCCTATTGAGCACCACGAAAAAAAAGAATCAAATTAAACCATATATATAATAAGAAGTAGAGTTATTAAACTTACTGAGTTTGTCTAGACCTTCTACCACGTCTCCCACCTATGACAGGATTCCCAAAGTGCTCTGGATGTGTAAGAGGCAGCTGATCTAGAGTTTCACTCTCTGCAAAATGTCTACCACTCTTCAAGCAGAGAGCTGTTCTCCTCAAGGTAGTAATGTCTCCATCATCGAACACAACGGTATACTGACTGCAGTCTTGAATCTTGGTAATGGTAGCATCCACATATTCCTTCCTGTCATTGTGCTTGGCTTCTACAGATGCTCCAACTCTCAAGGTCCCTTTAATCTGATCATCAGTGACTGTGGAAGTACCCAGGCCTTGTTTATAGGTCACTCGACATTTAACGCTGCGGACGACTTTTCGAATTTTGGCCTCGCAAAAGGCTCCTTTGTATTTAGCACTGACTTCCGTGCCAACGGACAGGTAAGGTGGATCGTCTCCCTATCGGAGCAAATATTCACGTGAATAAAAACAAGAAAGGAAGTATAGGAGCGCTAAAGGAAAAGGATATTTAGTGATTCTTTTCTTATAGCTACATACCAACATGCTACTAGCGTAGATTGTGCCAGTTCATCATAAAATGTAGCCTGCGTTGCCCGAGAACTCATGTACTCCAGGAGACAGTAGTCAAGAGAGAAAAAAGGAGAGAGAGAAAGAGACAGTGAATAAAGCGAAGCGGTGGCCGTATATGGTATTCGTGTAGCTTTGGCGCTCGTCAACGAATATCTTTTAAGCTTCCCATATTTCGCCACGCATTCATGACAAACAAAACAGCAGGCTTAGTAGCCAGCCTTGTTGTACTATGTAACCATGCATCACACACGCGTGGACTCGGGATAAGTATAATGCCTTGCCAAATATTGCTACAATTCATACGACATTAAAGCCGATCACCACTTGTCCAAAGAACTGTCTACCACGCGACTCACTCTACTCTTTCTATTATTTGTCTATAGAGTAGCGGTCTTTGTTTTTTTGGATTAATTTCGTTCTTCGTTCCACGAGCAACTGGCAGCGCGCTTCTATCTACACCTACATACATATACATACGATACTTCGGCGGATGCGTGCGCATTTTTGTAAACGCCGCCATATGTGCTTATATACATGCATGAGCTTTATATGTGTGCTGCAGCGTGGTGCTATATGTATATTGAACAATACGTCTTTCTCTCTCTTTCTTCTGTCTGACGGCGCTGTTGCCACTTGCTGCGCTCGACTCTCTCTCTCTCTCTCTCTCTCTGCTATATATACTGTCTTATGTACAATATACATACATACTTTTTGTTTTTGTTTACTATTTCAATTTATTACCTCAAGTTGATTGCTTCGTTTTATGAACGCGCGTTCATCAATTTTGTTGAATTTTTTTCCGTAGCGTAAATAGCATTGTAATGTTCATATGCTGTGACCGTTTAATATGGAATACGTCATTGTCAGATGTTTATTTACAAATTGATAAGTGAGCTAAGACGGCCGGCAATGCGCTGCTGTAGTATTTTTGTATTTTTTTCCTTTTATTTTCTATTATGTCAAAGCCGTGTTACATTACAGTAAAAGAGATTGTTATATATATGCATATATATAAGTTAGTATGCTTAAATCATTTCTTTTTGTTTTAATTTCTTCATTTAATGGATAAGAAAAGTTTATACTTATTTTTATAAAATTATTTGAATGCTGACATTTTTTAAATTGTTTCCAAATAAAATACTTTTTTATCGCAGTTCAATGCATGGAATATTTATATTTTTATGAATTATAATTATAAATTTAAATTATCTACCGTGATTTGCAACTTGTGATGCAAACCATGTCACAATTCCGTCTGTATCTCGTGTTGATAAGCAAGGCAAGTCATGCTAAGGCCGCTAAGCACGTGTAATATGTCCTACTAGTCCTTCCCTTGCGTAGCTTCTGCTACGTGTTTACAACCACGTGATAAAAAATTCATTGTAAACATTTGATTCGATAATAGCAGATTAAAAAGCAATTGATATTTGAAAAATATAGTACTGATACTGCTATAAAAAGTCAATGTTGTCGCGATTGTCAAAGTGTCTACAATTCTTGGAGTCACTTTAAGTAAAGTAACGATTAGAAGCTACGATTTTGCTGTGAACATTCGCATTAAATGTTGTAAACAATCGAGGCTACGACGTTGCGAAAAAGAGAGGTCATTCAGTCAGAGGTACTTTTCATTTTATCATAATAAAATAGATATATATATATATATATAAAAGGAATTACTAAATTCTTTTAACCTTGGTATGTTACATTCTATTGATAACCGAACAGCTGGAGTTTACGTAGATATTAAAATATTTATTTTTCCATTTCCAGATGGGAAATTTGAAATAAATGTACTGTTATTTTTTTAAAATAAGCTCTACTTTATCACAGCTAATTATAATGAGCGATCAGAATATCAAAGTAGAACCAAATGGGTTCTGTACCTTATCTGTGGCATATTCTGGCACTGAAGACAATGTAAATAATTTGGATCACTCAGGGAAACAAATAAATGATCTTTATATAAAGCGAAATGTTTCATCTGGAAAATTACCACAAGAGAGTAAACCAGAAGGAAGAGTACTAGTATTGTACACTGGAGGAACTATTGGAATGGTTAGAAATAAAGAAGGAGGTATAAATACTTATATTAGCTCCAATCCCTAAAAATAACCTGAAGTGTTTATTGTCACTTACATTAATTTTCTGTAGCTCTTGTGCCAAAACCTAATACCTTAGTTAAAAATTTAAGAAAATATCCCAATTTGCATGACAAGCAGTATGCAGAGGATAGGTTTGGACCTATGGGACCTCTAGTATTACCGTAAGTACCTCTAGACAATGAATAATAGGTGTCTAGATATGGCATTATATTTTATAAACATATTGGTAAGAATCTATTTTTTCAATAATTTTTAGAGCCACTGACATTGATCACAGAAGAATTATTTACAATGTTCTTGAATACGATCCAATATGTGATTCAAGCAACATGAGGATGGATGATTGGATCTGTATAGCACATGACATCAAAGTAAATAAAAGTGAAAAAAAGTATACAGGAACAAGTTAAAAGTTTAAATAAATTTACAGGAGTCGTACGAGCATTTTGACGGTTTTGTCGTTCTTCACGGTACCGACACTATGAGCTACACTGCGTCAGCACTGTCCTTTATGCTGGAAGCACTTGGCAAAATAGTGATATTGACAGGTTCGCAGCTACCCATATTTGATAGAAGAAGTGACGGGCTTGATAATTTTCTGACTTCTCTGGTTATCGCGGGGAACTACAGTATTCCAGAGGTGTGTGTATTTTTCGGCACGAAGCTTTTGCGCGGAAACCGTACGACAAAATCATCGGTCACCGCTTTCGATGCTTTCCACTCGCCCAACGCACCACCGTTAGCAGTCACTGGCATCGAAGTAGATGGTAATTTCTAACTGCAATAAACCTAAACAGAGCCAACATTATAACGCGTGGATACTGGTTTGCAGTTGATTACTCGTCGATTTTTCGACCTTGCAATTTGGAAAGGTTCGAGGTTCATGCTCAACTCAATGAAAAAGTAGGTTTGCTCCGATTATTTCCCAGTATCACCGCCGACTTGGTAAGAGCTTTTCTGAGAGAGCCTATCGAGGGAGTGGTGCTACAGACATATGGAGCTGGTAATGTACCATCGAATCGACAAGATATTATCGCTGAGTTCAAGTCAGCGGCTGATCGTGGTGTCGTGATTGTCAATATAACACAATGTCCTGAGGGCAGTGTTTCAACGCTCTACGACACCGGAAAGATTCTATTAGAAGCTGGTAAGTAACATAACAAATATTACCCGTAAAATAGTATCGGAAGCAGAACTCCGATTCGTGTCCGACTTCGTGTATAGGCGTGATATCGGGCTTCGACATGACTCCCGAGGCAGCGCTGACCAAACTGGCGTACGTGCTGTCGAAAACCGAATGGGACACAAAGACGAAGCGCAACATGATGGAGACGAATTTGCGAGGTGAGCTGAGTCTCGGACGTTCAATGAGCATGCAAGACTGGGACCTGGTTGACGCGATTGGTCACTCACTGCACATCAGTTCTCCTCGGGACTTTAAAGAACTCGGCTCGATTTTGTTTCCTGCCATGATGAACGCAGCCGTCCTTGCCAAGGATACTGCCAAGCTCGAGTCCCTCAAGAGATATGTGAGTCTTCGTCTTGAGCAGCTCTCTACGTCGTATACATGTATAAAGATTTGATCGATTTGAATTTCCAGGGTGCCGATGTGTCGCAGCCAAACGCCGACGGCAGAACCGCGTTGCACATAGCTTGCTGCGAAGGTGATGTTAATATCGTACGCCATCTGCTCAAACTAGGAGCGAACGTGCACATGAAGGATCGTTTCAACCGGACTCCCCTTACCGATGCCATCGAGCACGATAGAAACGAGGTACGCACTTACTTTGCAGTAATTAATTATTTACGTCCGAGCGCACAATCGTATAATATCTGTTTTGCAGATAATCAAGCTGTTGATGCAGTGCGGAGCGCACCTGCACGAGCGCGGCCAACAGATTGGTGCGCGTATGTGCGCTGCCGCTGCAGCTGGTAATCTCACACGGCTTCGATCCTATCATGCCGTTGGTGCGGATCTGTCACAGGCCGATATATCTGGACGCACAGCCTTGCATCTGGCCTGTCTTCATGGCCACCCGCAGCTCGTGCAGTTCCTTTTGGAGAACGGCGTCGAGGCACGCTGTCGCGATTTGCTCGGACAGTCGGCTCTCGATATCGCTAGCAACGAAGCCTGTCGTAATCTCCTTGTCGATCATCTCGACTTCAGAACCTCGTCTTCATCTTGATCTGATCTGCAACAAAGCTTTCTCGTGTTGCCGCGGCTGGTTTGCGACTTCACGCCTTCTAACTTGGTTGCTCTCTCGAGCGTGCATAATGATGATGACGATAATCACGATGATGACGACGTATTAGAGACGCGTAGCAAAGCACTCTTACCTTTTCATTCGGCTGTGCAACTTCTCGTCGTCGCTGTCGTCTGACTACGAGTGAAATTCAATGCCCGTCGCTTGTTACGTGATCTTGCAATGACGACTTTTCAGCTATTTAGAAAGTTTCGTAAGTTTCTAAAGTGCTTATATATAGACTTTTATTTTTTCTTCTCAAGCATTAATATATTCATTTTGTTTTATTTTCGTTGATAGATCGTTATGACATACTTGTATGTTTTGTAGGTAGAGAGTGGGAAAAAACGAGAGGGTTATTAGCAAAACTAGATTTGTTTATTAAGACTGTTATCGAAACGAAATGACAGTGAAAGGTTCTTTAGGCTTCCAACAGTATCGCTCGTCATAAGCCTATCATTTTTAAGATATTGAGAAGAATCTTCTGATCGAATGCACACTCGCTGAATGCTGTTGTGCAATCCTCAGCCGACGAAACCCGTCGACCTTTTGCTGCAGCATCTTTTATCACCGTGGAATTGACTGTTTTCTTCAATAAACTGTGACTGTGGTATTATTTGTAAAATTAATAGCGAAAACGAATTTGATGCGTTTGGTTAGCGATATGCTAGAATTGATCGATATTTATTAGGTGAGAGTTGAGAATCGTGCATTAATACGAAAATTTTCGATATAAAATGATAAAAAGACTCGTGATATTTTGAAGCCTACCTGGAGAAAGCATCGACAATGAGGTTGAAGCTGGTAGGTTCGTGGGCACGTTTGGTCGTGGCGACAGCCGAGCACACGAGGCGCCCTATGCAAGGCGCTAATTTGCTATTTGTCTCGTTGAGAATCTCGTTGAGCGAATCTCCGAGGTATGATGTTAGATCGAGGCCTCGATCCAATCCTGCGTTTTTGATCGAAAGCATTTGGATAAATCTATAGAATGTTGTTGTACCGTTGTGCGAGCAATGCGTTTCGCTCAAGATTATATGTCGGCGTTTGTTGCTGTCAGCGTTACGAGAATAAAGATAAAAGCCAAATTAAAATCACGAATTGTTACTTTTGTGCTCCTTGGCGAGGTGAGGGTAGTAATTGTAAAACTGGGACGACTGGTTCGGCAATTCCGTAAAGAGCAACGGTATTACAAAAGTGATGAGGGCCATGAGCGTGCCGAAAAACACGATGGACTTGTAGTTGACCTTGACGATGGGCATGGGCACGCCAGTCTTGTTATTCCTATTTTCCAGGGGAAACGAGAGGAATGGTATTTTCACTTCCAAATCTATCTGAAATTGTACAGGTGGTTGTAGTTTCGATGCAACCGCGATGTCGATCGCGACTCGACTCACGTCAATTTTGCCAGCTTTGTGATCGAACGAGATGAAGCGCGGTGGGCGCAAGTTGCGCTCGCCTTTACGTTGAAGATCAAAGAGAGCGCTATCCTTATCGGCTGTCATCGGTAACACTTCGCTCTCCGAAATCACTGGCATAACGAGGAGAAGCAGCCAAATCCGAGCTACACTCGTCATCGGCAATCCATTTCCCCTCGTCCTTCCTCCGATTGTCAGACAGACGGCGCGCTGAAAGAATGGCGAACGACATCTAGCATTTAATAAGTGCCCTCTCGCAATCCAAAAGTCACACGAGGTCAAGTAAAATTAACGCCGGTGGGCGTCAAGTCAATTACGATTGTGCGCGAAATGGTTGTGATGTCGATTGGCAAACCTGGATAGAGCCGCGTTGCCGTGAGGAGATCTCCATCTTGTCACTCGGTTATTTGAACGAAAACTCAACGGTGCGCCAGCTCCGCCGGGTTGATATGTAGCCCGCGGACGTGAAACCCTTCCTTCGCACCCAGCGTAGAAAGGCACGCGTATACATTTTTCAGGCTCGCCATTTTTCAGGAAAACTCATTAACTGCACTCTCGCTAGATTAATAATCGCGCGCGCGGTTGACGGCTCGGAGTTAACACTCCGGAACTTCGTTGGGTGTCTTAGAGTTCCGACGGCGCATCCCGATGCGCGCGAATCCGGAAGTTCCGCCAGTTTCGCAATCGGCAGAGCTTTGCTTGGTCGGTCTTCGGCCAGCCTTGAACAGTAGGAACGAGAAGGCAGCAGGCCTGTGCAGAAGGGGCAAGCAGGAGGAGAAGAAGAAGTTGCGAGATGAAAATTGCGGCTCGTCCCGCGGGGACAATAGCGGCATTGTTCTGCCAGCAGTGGCGGAGGCCGAAAGCGCGGAAATTTCACGTCGCGCAATCGCGCAAGGACACGCGCGAGGCTCCGTCGCAGGATCACGGGGGGGTCTCGCGGACAATCGGCCGTTTTCCGGCACGCGCGCGCGCGTCGCGGAGGTGTCGCGCATCGGCGACGCGGGTGACGAGCTCAACGAAAGCGAAACCGCGGAGAGGCGGCCGCCGCGACAATTATCCTCGCACCGATGTGCCAGAAGATGAGGAGCGCGTTTTCTCGCGGACGCGTATAAGAGGCCGCGCGCCCGCGGCGGCGTGGTCACTTGGACGAACCGTCTCAGCGCGTCAACATGCACCGCCAGGCGCTCGCACTGCTCGTGGCTCTGCTGGCCGTCGGCGCGGCGCGCGCCGTGCCCAAGTACGAGGACGGGGGGTGAGTACGACCGAGCTTCCCGCGGCGGGAGGACAAGCCAGCGACGATTTTCACGCGCTGGCGCGCTTGTCAGTTTCAAGCCGAGCGCGATCGTCGACTACGCGGACAAGGCAGCCAAGAGCCAGGACCCGGCGACCCGGCCAGGGCCGCCGCCGGTGGACAAGCGCGCCGAGGAGACGGCGCGCTTCGGCTTCAACGGCGTCGGCGACAGCGGCGTGAGTATACCGTGGCGGCGGGCCCGCGCCCCGAGGCGGACGCTCTGACGCGCGCGTTCTGTGTTTGCGCATGTGGACGCGCTGCTTGGCAGGGCTACGGGGTGGCCAGCTACGCGCCCGCGAGGATCGACCTGGGGGGCCTGCTGCTCGGCGCGGTCATCGGCATCGGCACCATCCTCGTCATCCCCAAGCTGCTCTACGTGCTGTCCGGCTCGTACGGAGCCTACGCCAGAAGTAAGTCCGGCGGCCGCGGCCCGGGCGTTGGGGGGGGGGGGGGCGCCTTCGTTGCGCGCGCTGCAGCGTTTCGACCGCGTGTTGCAGGCGACGAGGGCGGAGTGGCGCAGCTGATGAGCAGACTGGACGACGCGCTCGCCGGCCACGGCATCGACACCACGAGCTGCACGCAGCGGCTGCTCTGCTCGTACGCGAAGCAGGCGGCCGAGGCCGTGGGCCAGGGGCGCGCCGGCGAGCGGCTCGACTCCTCGGAACCGGCCACGCCGCGGCCCTCGCAGCTGGACAGGCTCGTCGACGCCATCTCCTCCAACCAGATGCTGAACGCCGCGCTCGCCGGCACCGCCGTGCAGGAGGCCATCAGCGCCGGGCGCAGCGGCCACAACTGCCAGAGGCTCTACCGCCAGTGCGCCTTCTCCGCCGACGGCGCGCTCGCCGCCCTCGCCAAGCTCGCCACTGCTCAGTCCAAGAGCACCACGCCTAGGCCCTCCTCCTGATCGCCGGCCTCGTTCGTCCTTGCCCCTTCTCTCCCTCTCATTATTTCATGTACCGTTTATAAACCACGCTAAACTCGATCTTGTGTAGGTAGGAATGAAACGAGCAGAATGCATAATACAACAACGACCGTCTTTTTACGTGAAAAACAAAGGTGCGATCAATTTATTGTTCCCTTCCAATATATACATATGTATACCACTACTACTATTATAACAGTATGTCTGTGTGCGCTTTCGTCTCTACACTCGAGCGTCGATCGATCACTTGTCAAATTCTCTTGTCCAAAATATCATTTACTTGCGAGCGTCGAAAATATATACATACATACGTCACGTATAAATATACAGCTGTAAAACATGTCATCGGCTCGTTACTCCCTCACGCGCGTAAAAATATAAATTTCTCCTTTGCATGCGCTATGTACAGACGAGATTTTAGAGCTACAAGTAATCGGCAAATGCCACGGACAAGTGTCGGCTATGGCGCGAAACATACAGCTGACGGTATAAGACTCCCAGTCGGAAGAAAACAAGTTGTCCAAACGAGCGTTCCGCCGCGAACGGGCGAGGTGCGCGGGTGCGTGTGCGCCTCGAGCCGCGACGAGCCGCGGCCCTACTGCATGTAGTGCTTCTTGGGCAGCAGTAGCACGACGCCCGCGGCGACGCAGACGTGCCAGAGGCTGTGCACCACGTAGTAGTTGCGCCTGGTCTGCAGGAAGGCGTAGCAGCCGAGGCCGGCGGAGACGACGAGCAGGCCAAGGGGCAGGTAGACCAGCCGGTAGATCCTGGCTGGGTACTGCAGGCTGCCTGCGGGCCGGCGCAGAGAACACGCGCGTCAGAGGACGGAGGACCGACGGTCGAGGCGGAGACTCACCTTTGCGGCGACACTTGAGCGCCCAGCAGGCGAGCACGAGGGCGCAGCCGGACGCGGCCGGCAGGAGAAACACCCAGAGCGCGGTGCGGTCCACCTCGGCGCCCAGGGCCAGCACGAGCGCGCCGAGTAGGTCGCAGAAGCCGCTGGCGCGCGGCCCGAGTGAGGCCATCGCCACGAGCGTCACCCACACGGACAGCAGCGCGTAGTAGAAGTCGCAGAACTGCAGCACGCTCAGCCGCAGCAGGCAGAAGCTGTGGCCCTGCGAGCAGCGCGATGCGGGGTGAGGATGGCCGAGCGGGGATGGGGGGAGGGGGGGGGCTCACCTCCTGGCCGGCCTCGCAGGCGTGGTAGAAGCTGGAGAAAATGCAGACGGCCGCGTAGACGGGCGCCTCGGCGTAGTGTCCGCGGCGGATGGCCGCGTAGACGGCACCCACGAAGCCCAGGTTGCTGAGCGTGAGCGCGAGCAGCTGGCCGAGCAGCTGGCCGCGGCCGATCAGCTTGGCGTCGTCGGCACAGTCGAAGCCGCGCCAGCCGCCGAAGCAGTGGCAGGCCGAGTAGACGAAGCCGCCGCTCATGTAGTTGACGCAGCGCCCGTGAGCCCCGCCGCAGCCGCCTTCGACGCACGGCGACGAGCCGATGGCCGCCTCCAGCGTGGCCAGCTCGCACTCCTCGAAGCAGTCGCACTGCTCGCCGCAGGCCGTCGCCGAGTCGGACAGGTTGGTGCCGCTGGCGCAGCGCTCGAAGCAGCCGCAGTCGGGCCGCAAGCAGAAGGCCCGCGCGGTCAGCTGCCAGACGCCGGGCTCGGGGAAGGGCGCGTGGACGAAGCCCGGCGAGCTCCGGTTCGCCGCCAGCAGGTCGCACGCTCGGCCGTGGACCTCGGCGCCACCCTCGTCCCCGTCGTCGTCCTCGTCGTCGTCCCCGTCGTCATCGCCGTCGGTGTCGGGCTCCTCGTCGCAGCGACCATGCGGGCCCACCCGCGAGACTCGGCCGAGCGACAGGCAGCCGACCACGACCACCCTCGTGCTCTCGTTGTGCCGGTCGGCCTCGGCCAGCCGCAGGCCCACCGACAGTGTGCCGCCCACGTCGTAAACCGGGCCCACGCGGAAGCGCAGGACCCGCGGTCGTCTCGCCGTCACGTTGAAGGCCGTGGGTTTACTGGCGTTGGCCTGCTCGCCGAGGTGCTCGTAGTCGAACAGGAAGAAGTCGGGCAGCGACTTTCTCACGAGGCGGACCTCGCTGAGCCGCGGCTCGGGCTCCGGGCCGGGCTGCAGCGAGAGGCTGACCTCGGTCTCCGGGCCGCGTTCCAGCCGTAGCGTGACGTAGTGCAGCGCGGCGTCCCGCGGGCGCAGCCGCAGGCGCAGCGGGCGCGTCGCGCCGCGCAGCAGCCGGCCGATCAGGTGGCCCGTCGGGGTGCTCACGTGCACGGCCAGCGCGCACTCGGCGCCGCAGCTCGACGCGAGCAACAGCTCGGCCCACTCGGTGGCCTCCGGCACGCGGAACTGCACCACCGCCGAGTCGCTGCCGTTGGCACCCCGCGACAGGAGCAGGCGGCGTTCGCCTGGCGCAGGCGCCAGCAGCAGTGCCGCGCGCTCCACCGCCAGCTCCACGTCCAGCACGGTGTCGCAGCTCGCGCCCAGGCCTGCGAACGCGAAGCGCGCCTCCCGTCAGTCGGGGCCCAGAGGGCGGGGGGGGGGGGCGTTGGGTGCCTACCTTGCTGCTTGATCCGTGCGTCCTCGGGGTCCTGGTAGGCCCTGTAGGCGATCGCGTACCAGTCGCCCGGCGGCGGCGCCACGATGTTCACCACGTGCTCGTCCCCGTTGCTCAGCACCTCGAGACTGTAGTTGCGCGGTCGGCTGTGCCCGCCCAGCAGCCTCGCCTCGATCCTCGAGCCGTCGGGTCGCACCAGCGGCAAGCTGCCCGGCTTTAGGCTAATCGACACGTCGCGCGGCTCACAGACGCCGATGCCGCCGTCCTTTGCCTCCTTCGCCGTGAACCTGCGAGCACAATAGGTGCACCGCGGCTATAGTTCCGCCACTTTGCGAGACTGTGGCGCGCGCGGCCGAATACCCACTTGAAGGCCACCGACACCAAGTTCTCCGGCACGTGGAAGTGCGCGACGCTGATGTCCTGGTAGGCGCTGAAGTCAGCGAGCACGTTGTCGGGTCGCCGCGCGAGCCTCTGCGACCAGCCCGCCTCGGCGCGCCACGGCGCAGAGCACAGCAACACCGTCAGCGCCAGTAGCTGCATTGCTCGACTGCCAGCCGGCCTCGGCTCAATTGGACGGCATCTGCGCCGGTCCAGCGATAACTCGATTAGCGAGCGTTCGCCGCGGCGCAACTCGGGCAACGGCCGCGCCAAATGCTCGCGCGCTAACTCGTCAAACGTTCCGCCTGGCGTTCGCGCGCGGACTGTATAGCTCGCCTATTGAATTTCCCTGCGCCCGGCCGCTGGCTTAAACTATTTATCAGCGCCAATTGTCGGCTATTATTGCAGTGGCGAGCTTGCGCGACAACGGAAAAGAAAGGCGCGAGCGGGTGGCCCGTGAAACGGTGGTGCGCCGCAGCCGCGGCCGATTGACCCCTACCTATCTGCCGACGAACACGCGGCTGCTGCTGTCGAAGCCAAGGAAGAATCACGCGACACCGCGTCGCGTCGATACGGGAACATCGATGCGAATGATGCTGCGCGACGCGGAAGCTCTGGTCTGCGTGCAACGTTACGTAATCTGCTTCCTGCTCTCGAATAGTATTTGAGCATTCGTACGCTGTCGAATAGACGACGCGTGTACGCATGGTCGCGCTATCGGTACGAGCCGAGCTTTATCTCTCGACGAAATAGTACAAACAACGAGGCTACGAACGGCCTTGGATTGTCTTAGTTTTGAGTTGACGATGAGAGATCCGGACGGCCGAGAAGAGAGAAGGTGCTATCGCGACTTCCTGCTTGGCCGCGAGGCGCCGCACAATCGATACGGGCGGCCCGGAGCCGAGCCAAAGGCCGCAGTGCATGCACGCGAGCTGGCTGGCTGGCTGGCTGGCTGGCTTGAGCGATCGATCGCGGCGGATTCGCGTTCGCACGGCGGCGACGTGCGAAAGGCAACGCAGGAACGCGCCGACGATCGAGGACGATCCAACGTCTTACCAACGCGCTATGCGGGCGGTCCGCTGCTGGCGAAGCACGTGGCAGCTGCAGCTCGTCGCTCGTGCACTCTCTCGCTCGCAATGACGGCCGGCCACGCAGCGGAAACCTCCCGACGCAATCGGACCGGCCGACCCCGACACGCGCGCACACACACGTCCGCGCGCGCTATAGGCCAGTTGTCGCGTCCGCCGTCGCGCCGGCGGCCCTCGGCGCGCGCCTCGCGCTGTTGACGCTCTCACCCGACCTGCCGAAAAGCGCGCGCGAGCCTCTCCCGCGCGCGTCGCGCCGCCGTCCTAAGCTCCTTGCCTCCTTCCTCCCTGCCGCGGCCCTCCGCCACTTCATTGGCTACTTCCTGTGACTCGCTCGTCGAGCTTGCGTACTGCCGACGCCGCTCTTTCGCGCACCACCTGCCCGACACCTCTGTTCCTCATGCGATACGGGCTAGCGCTCTTATCTCATCGTAATCAACGCCAATTCTCCAACCATTGCGTCATTCTCCAATTTAACGTTTAGGCTCTACGCATACCCACTCGAGATTTTTCAGAGCGCTGAGCCGTCATTGGTTGCGATAACCTTTTTATCAGCCGTTTACGGATTGAACGTTGCGGCTGGAATAACGATGAGGTATATCTACCAGGGTTAAGTAATAATTGAGCGTTTGATTTGCTTTAGACTTCGCTTTCACGGCGAGTATGATTTAATGTAAAAATGACGATGTTTATAAATCTAGGCGTGAAAAAATAAATAGGACTTATAATCAGTTATAATTAGCAAGCCAACAGAAAGCTTTCAGAATTCCCAAGTGTCTAACCAGCGAAGCGAGTACAACGTGCTATTGGGATCGTTTGCAGCGGGACCCTCCATGCCGTAGGCCAATGGAGAAAACAAATAGAAGCTGCAAAAAACAACGGCAAAGAAAAAATATCCAGCAATTTCGGCAAAGCAAAATAATAGCCATATTATTTTCGTTGTAAAAGCTCACCTGTAAGCAATTCCAGACACGGCGATCCCGAGAATAGCGTGCTTAGTGGTCTTAGCAGCAATTTTATCGTCGAATAAGATTGATAAACTTTCGAGAATATAATGAAGCGTTATCCCAGTTAGCATAGAGCTGTATAACAAGGCCGGAAAGTAATGATGGAAGTACAGAACTCGCGTCATCGCCCAGAACGGTGCGTAATGCACTAACCAGCCGATAAATAGCCAGCTTCCGGCTGTCGTGATGGTTTTCCTTTGTTGCACCGATTCTGTGTCTTCTTCGCAGCCTCGTTTTTCACGCACCGCTGCGTTAATATAAACAAGCGCAAAAATTACCAGAAATAACAGATTTCCCCACCATATGATTGGGTTGCCGAGTAGATAGATTCGCTGGTTGCTCCCAGAGAAAAATTGGCCCTGAAATATCGTTAAATTTTTATTGATTCGTTTGTTCCTTTCAATGGATAACTTGTTAGATAAAGTATTACAGTACTCTGTAATTGATTGGCCACTGCCAAGGTCTTGAGAAAACTTCGCCTTCTTTAACTTTCAACTCAGAGTTCCCTTGCAACATTACGGCGTGAGATTCGAAAAATCGCTTTAGGAAGTCGGGTGCGTACACTTGAAAACTTACATTCGGTACTGCACATATTTGAACATTTTATTACAATATAGCAAGGCTACTTAAATATTGATATTGAATTTTTCAAATATCTTACATTTTGGAAAGTGATTGTCTTCAATATTCCATAAAGAATTTTTATCTCTTATGTTAGGATTACAAGATACTTCTTGTTGACTGTAAGCCCTGAATAAGAAAAACGTTAATATTAGATAATCATGAGGATTAATCTTAATCTAGTCAATAAATGTGATCGTACCATTTCGGCAGAGTCTTTCCACTGCACGTGAGAACGCAATGTTGTAAATAATGTACAAACTTTAATTTGCTTGTCATGGTTTCCACAATATCTCTCTCATTTCCATGATGTATCACCACTTTCCAAACGTCATTTGCATCGCCGGTACCGTTCTGTCAAAATATTTATCATAGATGTGTATTTTTACAGATGTGTTTTTAAAAATAATTTTGGTAAATGCTTATTTTACCTCTCCATAACCAGTAACCTGATAATGCTTTTTGGATATTGGTGCAACCTCCTTATGAGAATGTAAGTTTCGTCGAGTAATAACGTGCTCTAAACGAATAAGATCGCCGTGTCTTACTAGTTCAGGCTCTGTAGGAATCTCGTCTGTGTCGTATTTCTTTACTATCCATAGATTGTTATCATCTTTATGAGAATACGTTGTAATCTAAAATTATTATAAGAAGTTATCAAAACAACATACATGTGTAGACCATGAGAAAATAAATTAACTATGCCTGTTGCTGACGTGCTCCAACACTTTCTGGATAAAGGTGCCAATGTGAATGCAAATATCCTCCTCCAGTACGATGATTTTTCAATGTAAATTTTGCACCATATGCCAAATGTCTAGGCATTGTAGCATTATGCAGGGAGTTGCCCTCTAACAATGATTGGAATTCAGAACTATAAAATCCATCACCACTCCCACTAAAAATATAATAAAAGAGATTGTGTTTTTGTACACATATATATAATTCATAAATAGCTTCAAATACTTTTCATGTTAAAATTATCTACCTTTTATTCAAAATGCTTAGATGGATGTAAAAAAATAATGCATATAGAAATATAGGTAATATTATGAGGCAGAAAATCCTAGCTACTAGATGTTTAATAACAGTTACCTGAAAATTATATTGGTATTTAGTTTTCTACTTTTAACAAGTTCTAAGTTACAAAAACTTTATAAGAAGTAAAGTTACCACAGACTGATTTAAATTTCCTAACTCTCTCCATAATTCATAAATTGTATAGAATCCAACTAAGGTCACAACAAATAATCCAACAAATTTCACGCTCATTGTACAAGCTAAAGACACACCTGTAAATATTAACCATGTCCACCAAGAAAATGAAAAAGGTTGTTCATGTAATGAACCAACACGAGCCATTCCATAAGTTGCACACATCATAAAACATAATAATATAGGATCTAGTAAGATGTACTGATTTAGAGTCAAAAGCCCAACATCTACAAGTTAAAGTAGTAAATAACACTGCAATAAGCATTTTATATACTGTATAATTTTCATTTTCTACACACCAAACAATATCAGTCCAGATGAAAATGTTGCTGCTCTTGATGACTTTGTCAATTCCCATACAGTCAAAAAAGACAATGGGACAATCATTGCACCCAAAAATGTACAAAACTGAAAAAAAATTTATATTAACTGGAAATTAATATGAACAAAAGTATTCATAACAATTAATACTAACCATTCTCATACCAATATAATTTACATTTCCATATTTGTCTCCTGGTTTTTCAAAAGGAAATGTCCCATCATACCCTGTTAAGTACCCTGATAAAGCTATGAGCATCTAAATTCATCCAAATAATATCATTTTTTATTTATGTGTATATACCTACAGAAATAACTGAATGAAAATAATACAGTATACTTTAATATTACCTTGCCCAATGGTGGATGAACATCAAAGAAAAATGTTCTATTGATATACCAACTACCCATTTTTCCAAAGTGAGTTTCATCCCAACTTGAGATAAAGTAAAATATTGAAGTAAATAATGTTTATACATCAATAAAGGCTTATTGAATTATTTAGAATATTTACCATACATGAGGTGGTTCTGTTACTTTATAAAACCTTGTAGCAAAAGTAAGTACTAAAATAGTTCCAAAGAGTAACCACCAGTTTCTAAAAACAAATATAAAATAATGTGTAAAAAATAGTTATTGAAATATAAAAAAAATTAATCAATAGCAGAATTGATAAAAAAATAACTTACAAATTTTCATTATTGCAAGATTCAGTCTTGATTACTTCATTTTTTCTAATATATTTTACAGTTTGAGATTTAGTTTGAGTGGTTATATGCTCTTTCTCTTTTGCCATAGTTGTAGCTCTAGCAATGTTGTTTTCAAATAATTACCATTATTAAAAAGGTTAACTAACGAATGTCTATCAGTCGTGGAATAAAAAGAAATCCTAATCCAAAACTATAGATAGAATGTGGTCTACAAAGACTTTACAATCTAACATTGTTCTACTACAATTTATAATATACTAAATTTTTTTCTCCAGGTTATTACAAAAATTTTTAATGAAATATTTGTTACCTCATTACTATAGCAATGTTATATTTCAACGATAAGTTCTATTACAAATCCAGATGCTGGTCCATATTAGTGAAAGGAGACACGTCTGCCTCGCGTTTGATAGAAAGTCGGCAACAAGGCTAACTGTACATTTTAAAATACGACTTAGTCGTTTAGTTCATTATCAAAGCTTACGTATTTTCATGCAAACAATTAAAACTGTATGGTGAAAGTTTAGTAGTTGAAAATAAGCTTTTCAGCACCATTTTACTTCTGGGTCTTTGTTTCATTTTTCCCCACGTAAACAATAACACACTGCAATGACGTGAGTGGTTAGCATACACGTATACGTGTATGTATGTGCAATAATATAACACAACATAATACATGTGAGGGACCGGTATGGTATGCGCACGCACATTGTTATCCCTATAGTTCACCTCACTGCCGTCAGTGCATGTTAGTCTCACTGTTTCTCTCCTTGGTGGTTTGCCTTTGAATGCCTTTGAAATCAAAAAGATAAGGGGCGGCACCAGTACTAACAGCAGCTCTGTACACAAAGGAACAACGGTAAATCTTCAAATTTTTAATCTTTTCATCGAAATTATGCGTTAATGTTGCACTAATTTGAGTTTTTATCGATCACGCTATAATAATTTAATTCAACAATTCAATGTCATTAACTGGTAATAGCCTTTCACATTGTTTTGCTTACCGGTAAATTTCTCGCACTATCCTGTCCATAAGGTATTTGTCTCCATCGTTTCTGACATTTGACACCTACTTGTTACGGTTATTTAGTTAAGTTCAGTTTGTAAGAGATGCTTACAAGCGGTGAAAGAATTTGAGGGTGTTCTTGTTTTTTTGCATATTATAATTTCATTTCAAACATTTTATTTTTTTTAACTAAAAATAAAAAAAATCAACTGCTAGAACCCTCTGAAGAACTCGCTTTCTTTGTTTCGAACATGTGTTTTTTAATTGCGTGATCCATTTTTTTTTAAACATAAAATTGTAAACGAACGCTTACTTCTTGTATGTGTTATGTATAATATGTTATTTAAAACATTTCATAGAAATAGTAGCTATTTTTCATGTAATCATATTTTAATGAAATTTATGATTTGTAGAAGCACAATGGATCTTATGGATTTATTTAGGCCAAATAAGGAAATCAAAAGAGGTCCTTTAAGACCTAGAAAATCAAACTATGCACCAAGTGAATGTTCAGCTGCTTCAATAGCTTCTTCTATTAAACCATTAGTAAAAGAAAACAAAGAAAATGGAACTGATTATGTTCAAAAATACGTGGAGGAAGAGAAAAGAAAAGCACTAGAGGTTTATGAATGATAATTTCATTTATTTAATTCATTTATTTATGATAAATATAATATTAATTATTAATTATTTCAATGCAGGCAATAATTGATTGTAACAAAAATGAGCATAATTTTGATATGTTGTCAATTGGTACAGTTCCTACGCATATAGGAACTGAAGTTGATGCAGAAGAATTAAATAAATTTTACAGTACTTTTAATTTTGAACATCGGCCTAAAGATAGTCTTCCAATAAATCAAAGTAAAGATGAAATTGTAGGGAATATTCAAACTCATGCTATTACCATAATTGAAGGTGTCACTGGTTGTGGTAAATCAACACAAGTTCCACAATTCATTTTAGATGACTGCCACAACCGCAGACAATTTTGCAATATAATTGGTAAGCTATATAAACGATGTCTTTTACAAATTAGTTAATTTGAATATATGTAAATGTTTATTGACTTATTTTTTCTTTTTACATCAGTAACTCAACCCAGAAGAATAGCAGCATTGAGCATTGCAGACAGAGTATCAAAGGAAAGAAATTGGCCATTAGGATCACTTGTTGGTGTTCAAGTTGGAATGTATAAAAATATATCTAAAGACACAAGATTAACTTACTGTACAACGGGAGTTCTATTGCGAAAATTGATATCAGCTAAAAATATGTTGGAATTCACACATATAATATTAGATGAAGTTCATGAACGTGACCAAGAAATGGACTTTCTTTTATTGGTTATAAGGAAACTACAAAGGAGTAATTCAAGAAATGTTAAAATTATTTTGATGTCAGCAACATTTAATGCAAAAAAGTTCTCAGAGTACTTTTCTATACCTACTGTCAGTGGATTTGTTGCAGCACCTATGATAAGTATTCCAAAAAAGCGCAACTTCACAGTTCAAAATCATTATTTGTGTCAGTTGGAAGTTCTAGGAACTGTAAGTAATCAAATATTTCTATACCAGTACAAATAGTAGAATATTAAGACTTGCTATGATTTGTGTGTAAATTTTAAAACGATATAAATAAATTATTTTACAATCACTTTAATGTTAATAGAAACAACTTTTCTATGTTAGCTACCTGAAGTTGTACCATCTGATCCAAGAGTTTCAGAAAAGATGATGTTGTTCTGTATGAGATTAGTAGATGTTTTTGATGACATCGACAAAGGAACTGAATATGACGATGACGATTTAGAAGTTGATGGTGAAAAACCGCGTCATGCAACTCTAATATTTTTGCCTGGCATATGGGAAATTGAAGAAATGCATAATCTTATGAATAATGAAGCCGAAGCTTCAAAATGGGACATAGTTATTCTACATTCTAGCATCACTCATGAAGAACAGAAAAAAATATTCGATGCGCCGCCAAAAGGATATCGTCGAATCATTTTGTCTACAAATATTGCTGAGAGTAGTATCACAATAAATGATGTTAAATATGGTAAGTTTAGATTAACAAAGCATTTATAAAATATTTTAATTCAGACCTTTTTTCTTTTAGTTATTGATTTTTGTTTAACGAAACAGTTGATTACGGATCCTGGTACTAATTTCCAATGTTTAGAGTTGACTTGGGCAAGCAAGGCTAACTGTGAACAACGTTCAGGTCGTGCCGGACGTCTGATGGATGGTAGAGCTTATCGTCTTATTTCAAAATATTTTTACGATGTAAGTATAAACAGTTTACTTTAACAATGTATTTAATGGCTTTTAAGAATGTACGATTATTCGTTTACAGCAATTGCCTGAAGAAGGAGATCCTGAAATTATGCGCGCACCTCTAGAAAATGTTGTATTGCAAACGAAACTTCTTGACATGGGTGAGCCGAGAGCAGTTCTCGCTTTAGCCATTGATCCACCGGATTTGAAAAATTTAGAGCGTACTATATTGCTGCTGAAGGAGGCTGGTGGTCTACTAGATAAACCTGATACTCACAACAAATTCGACGGTGAATTGACGGATCTTGGACGAGTAATGGCTGCTCTGCCAATTGACATTCACATCGCTAAACTCATAGCTCTGGGCCATGTATTCAACGTGCTCCGAGATGCAATAATAATGGGCGCGTGTATGTCGTTGAAAAGTATGTTCAGTAACCCATTCCGTAATCGGATGGAAGCTTACAGTGCAAAAGTTCATTGGGCTGATGGCACGACTAGTGACAGCTTAGCTTTTCTTAGTGCTTATCATGTGTGGCAGCGTGAGATCGCAGCTAATCGTTTCAGAAGGAAGAGCCGTCAAGAGCTCTCTTGGGCTCAACGAAACTACATACAGATCAAGGTGATGCACGAGGTAGACTACCTAGTAGGCGAACTTAGTAAGAGACTCGAGCGCCTAGGAATCAAGGAGACAGTGGGACCAAACAAATTGGTCGTCGACGATGTTGATCGTGGTTTAATTTTGAAAATTGTCCTCGCCGGCGCTTTCTATCCAAACTACTTTGTGAGGAATCAGTCGCCAGTCATCGATCCAGATGAGACGCAAGGAACTCGTGCTCTTGGAGGTTTGGATCCATCCAGAACTGTATTCCTACAAGGCTGGAAACCTGATCAGCCGGGAAAGCTCTATGCTAAACGCATTCAAGAGGTCTTTAGAGGTGTATGCGAAACCACTTACAAGCAGACGCTTGTTGAATTCGATGGATCGATGCGGGTTTACATAATGTTTAATGACGATAAAATTTATGGCGACAGTCAGAAACAAACCGACATACCAGGCAACGTTTCACTATCAGTTTACAAGGCCCTCAAACTCCGAAAAATGGGAACTGAAATAAAAATCGACGTTTTAGATTCAGCGAGCTCTCAGCAGGTAAACGATGATTCTAGTCGTTCTTTGTTTCTTTTTTTCAGCTCCGTTTCTACAAGCGTTAATTCTATGTATTTCAGAGAGCTCGTGAGCTGGAAATCGATACAAATGCCTGCAGTATGTTCTTTAACGAGGAAAATTACGAAACAATGAAGAGAATTTTGCCAAAGGCATTGCCTCAGCTTCCTGGTCTTGATGAGAACAACATTCAAATAAAAATCTCCTACTTCATAAATCCAAGTCAATTTTGGGTTCGCATTGCAGACGACAAAGACTTAGAGCACAAGTACGACACGATACGTAAATTCTTAAATGATTCAAAAAACATAACACTAACAAGATTTGAGGATGAACCAAGCGTCGGCGCTTTGGTAGCCGCTCGCTGGAAGAAGGACAACAAAATCTATCGAGTCGTTATTGAGAGTTTTGACAAGAAATCTAGCGAATTGCTTGCCAAGGTGCTGTACATCGACCACGGTTTTCGTGATACTGTTCGAGTTAAAGAATTGATGAGAATTCAACCGGATCATTTAGCGGCTACAACTCGAGCTTTGGCATTTGAGTGCTGCTTATCCGAAATCGAGCCATCTAAAAAGAAAGATCCCAAGGGTTGGAGTAGGGAGGCTTGTCAGATATTCTGCAGTACAGTAAAAGAGGCGAAACAGATCTACGGCAGCATATATTCCGTCGTCGACAGTATTGTGCACTTGCAACTGTCTACTAACCTTGACGACAATTCACTACTCGATGTCAATAAACGTCTAGTGGATTTGAATTTGGCTGAGGTCGCCGAGGAAAATTACTTATCAAAGTATAATCATAAATTGCGCGAACAGATTATAGATTATGAAGCAAAACATCGAGAATACCTTGAATATTTGCAGTATGACAAGAATTTCTTGATCAGTACTTATCCGGATCCTCCTCCTTTAGAAGATTGTAGGTGTGTCGTCACGCTTAAGGGACCTAATTCTCCACTCGAGATCGCTCTGTCGAGTCTTGCTATAGTGACTTCGGCCACGAAAGTTAATATCGAGGGAAATTCCGTCAATTCTATTCTAATCGATACAAATCCTGAAGATCCACATGAGCGTCTTCTCGTTGCCGCTCTGGTCAGCCAAAACCAAAGCGGCACACAACTAACACTACGCAACACAACTCTTATGCCCAACATACCTGGTTTAACGGCACTCATGTGTTTGATCTTTGCTCCTAAGATCGAGCTGAGACGAAGCACTCGAGGCAACCAGTACGTTGGTGCTCTTTGTGGTCTCGGTTTTGATTCCAGAACTGGCCTGTCGTTAATGCCAGAACACGATATGGAAGTTTATTTTGACACTGAGTTTACTATTGAAGATTTGCAGAAAGTTAGTTATCTACACTTCTGTCCTTGAAAAACTTTTTTATGACTGTTTTTTAAATTTTATTTGTAGATCAACAGGCTCCGACATTGGATGAATATGGGCATCTGTGTACAGACCGATCAGATCGACGACCTCGCCGAGCAAGCAGTTCAGTGTCAACGCAAAGTTTACGATCTATTAAACTTATTGATTTATCGTCAAACCAAGTCGCAAAGTCCAGAAAAAATTTCGAATTTTGACAAATGGGGGCTCTACGACGAGTGCTTATTTTTACAGCCAACCAAAGCTGTAATCAAAGAAGATAGTATTTATCCATTGCATAGTGCTCTGCAATTAAATAAAGTAGATGAAGTAGCCGAAGAAATGATAGCTCATGCTCGAGCATTGCGATCACTAGCAGTATCGTAAGTATTCAGCTTGTGCTTTTCAATTTGTATTATTCTTTTTCTTAACTTTAAACAATAATAATCTTTTCCAGGGATTCCAGACTGAGTAGAACTGAAGAAAATATGACCATATATTGTAAAATATGTGAAGAAGAAGTGCTTGGCCGTGAAGCTCTCAGGCTCCACTTGTACAGAAGCTCTCATAGAGACTCAGAAAAAAAGTATGGTTTCAAGATATAAAATCAACTGATTAGTCAATACTATAATGTTCCTATGTTTTCTTTCGCGAAAATATCTCATTTTACACGATGGTAGCTGACGATTGTTCGAATTAATGAACGAAATATTTGATATGGTATTTTTGATACTAATACTGTTTAATTTGAAAAAAAAATAGAATTATATTTTTTTTTAAAGCCAAGTTAATCATTAGTAGTTAATAGTGCGTTATCAGCAATTTTGATGATTGTTTCGTTTTAAGAACCAAAGTCTGTTTTTACTTTTAAGGCCTGGTTCATTAATAGTAGCTGGCAGTTTTTAAGACAAAAATATAAGATTAATTTTTTATCTAAAAAAATCATTAAAATAAAAGAAGTAAATTATAAAAATGATTATTATAGTTTCTTTAATTTTATTTCTTAAATAATTATACTTTCTACATTTCATATTTTTATACAGATGTACACGCGTATCATACTATATATAATATATTGTACTCTAGCTATCAATAAATTGGTAGTTAAGTAAAAGATTTACAATAAACTAATTAAAAATCTTCCGTTTTAAAAATACCACCTCAGAATAATGTTAATCAGTGCAGCAAAATAAAAAAAAATGTTTTTTTTTACAATAAATAACTAATCCCGCTGTAAATAACGTGGTCCTGGTTGAGTATACAAAAGCCGTCCTGGTACAGTAGCACCGGTTACGTTCACGTAGGTACCCGGCGGTGGAGGTGGGTACGGCCCTTGAGGGGGTTGTGGCGCTCTCACTGGATAACCAGTTGTTATACCTCCCGTCTTAGCACCCTAAATAGGTTAAATATTTGTATAGAAATATTCTCCTGTCAAAAATTCACATAACAAAGAATCACGTGAAGCTTACCTGCGGTGGTTGGATTGGTATAGTTCCTCCATGAACTGCTACGTGACTTCCTGGTCTTGGGTAGAATTTATCTTCTGAGTAAGTGGCTACATTTGAAATGACGATATAAAAATGTTAGATAAGTACGTACTACCAGTTATGGAAAATTAATTGAAGCAGCATTAAAATATATACCTGTTTGGATAGTAGGTAGAGGAGCTCGCGTAGCAGTCAGGTACACAGATTTACTTGGTTCTGGTACTCGCTGTATTGGTTGTGATGTTGATGGTCCGAAGTCGTATTGTGCTGCTGTTGGTCCGTAATAACTGGATCCAGGATTATGAAATTGATTTGCTGGTTCTGTAAAGATACACAAAAATTAATTTATTGTATAGTTCTTTGGAATAATTGGTTAAATATACCATTTAGTTTATAAAAACGATTTTTGAAAATTTGAGCTAACTTACTATTCCATAGCACCACTCGAGAATCGCCAGACCTCCTGACAGCATCTTCAGATTCTAAAAAAATATAGATAACATAATATTTTTGCACAATGGATAGCTTAAATATAATAAATCCCGGATGAAATCTAAAAATAGATCTGCTCATTATTAGTTGTAGTAGTGACTCCTAGATGATTTATAAATACACAATTATTCACATATAATTTATGCATTTACTTACTTTGAGATGGCATATAACTTGCAATAGATGGAGGGGGTTTGTACCCATATCCAGGATGATATGAAACTGAAGCTGATGGGGGTGGAGATGGGCTATGTGATCGTTTCAAAGGTCCCTATGATATTAGCAATAGAATTTATAATTAATATTCATCTAAAATGTCTTAATATTAAATTATCAGTAAGTTTTGTGAAAAGAACAAAACAGTAAATAAGATCTTTGTTCTTACACTGGGAATTAAGGTGTGAGGAGGTGTGGCTGTAGTAACTTTGTAAAGAGGACTCCTTGTTGGGAGTGGAAGATACAAATGAGGATGCAAACCAGCTGCTGGATCTACATAACTATTAACTTGTTGAATTGGTTCAGAGCACACACTGGAAAAAAGTAGGCAAGTAATATAGAACAGTGTCCTTGATTGTCAAGTACTACAAAAAATACCCACTTTGTTTCCTTGATAAGTCTTCTTCTATTATCATCTTCGTGTAAAACTTTCTTTAATTGAACAAACAATTGGTGCTTTTCTTTTTTCAACAATTCTAATTCATGTTCCAATTCCAAAACTTGATCACGGGTTTCACCTATTGTCATGGTATTCTGTAATTGTTGAGTTTCCCATTCTTTTATCTGACGCTGTGTTTCTGCATCAGCCTCTTGCTCTAAATTATTATAAACAACAGATTAGGATACTAACTATATTATAGAATAAAATGTTAATAAAGCAGTGCTGTTTTTACCTTGCTTTTTTTTCTGTCTCTCCTTGATAATATGAGTTTTAAGAGCCTGATACATCTCTTCGCTCCGCTGAGGAGCTCCGACAGTTACAGCTGGCATTGCTTTCTCAATGTTGTATTTAATTCAGTGATCAACGATATTATTATATTTCAAATTAATAAAATTAACTGCCTTTGTCTAGTGTTCTTTAAGTATTTTTCAAACTACATTTCTTATGACATTTCTATATTTAACCACAAAAAACAATGATTTTAAATAATGTTATGGAAGATTCTTTTGATAGTAGTTGCAAGAATCGTAAATAACATTTATAAGAGCAATTAATTAAAATAACGTAAATTATTTTAGAGTTGATGGAAGTTATAATCTTACAATATTGTTAGCTTGGGTTTTGACGTGTTTTTGGTTGTTGTGGTATTGATGCCTGAGCAGCTCATCGCTGTGCCTGAGACGACTCTGCTCTCCTAGATGGTTCTAAATACTAATCTACATTGTTGCCAGTAATATTTAAATTAAATAAATAAAATTACGGACTGTCGACAAATTTTAATTGCTCAATTATTGCATTTCATTTTAATATTTTGAAATCGACAACCATATGTCGGTCTAACGTTGGACTCTTGTGATTCCAACCCAAATAATTCATATTTTCTTTGGAAAACATTGGCAACACCGCAATCTTAGCCAAGAAATAATTATGCACGGTAATGTAAATGATCAGCATTCTAGTTCTCGTAGCCTATGATAGGTAATCTTGATAGCGATAAGCAAACTACTTATTTAAATTTCTAAGATAATCATAGTTTTCGCTTTCTGGCGTGCTGTTCACCTGAATAGTTGAGTCACTGCCACGAAACGAAACTGACGTAGAATTATAGTTCGTAAAAATGAAAATTGTAATATTTGGTGCTACAGGAAATACCGGCTTGTGCTCTTTGGAGCATGCAGTTACCGAAGGTTCGTAAATTACTAAGTAATTTTCAATTTTTTCCCTCGTGAAAAATTACGTTAATAGCCTATTGGCTAACGTACTCCAGTATTTTTCCGACTAATAATATAATTTCTAATTACTAAACGAATTCCAATTTTTAGAATTACTTGGTTGTAATAAAAAATGATTTCGGCCTACAAAATGAATAATAATTTTGATTTGATTTTTTTAAAGGGTTGAAGACTACAGCTTTTGTAAGAGATAAAGAAAAGGTTCCTATCCATCTTAGAGACAAAATTAATATTGTTGTTGGAGATGTCACCAACGCTGAACAAGTTTCAAATGCTGTAGCTGGCATGGATGGAGTTGTTGTAGCACTTGGGACAAGAAATAATTTAAGTATATATTTTGTTAATAATTAATATTTCTTAATTTAAATAATAAAAATATACATATAAAGGCTTAATTTTGATTTGATGCAGAACCAACTACAGATCTGTCAACTGGTATGAAAAATATCCTAGATGCCATGAAACAACATGATGTACACTTAGTTTCTATATGCTTGTCAGGTATTAAAACTTGTAATTTAACAGTTGCATGAACTTCAAAAGGAAAAAGAAAGAATTATCAATATTTTGTTTATTTATATAATTTTGTTGTTAATTTATCTTTTTTACAAATAATTTTAGCATTTCTATTCTACAAACCTGAAAATGTTCCTGCAATATTCCAAGCCTTGAATGAAGATCATCAAAGAATGTTTGACTTAATCAAAGAATCACAATTGAAATGGATAGCTGTTTTACCACCACATATAGCAGGTACTTTTCAAATATTTTCTTATCATCATTCAAATATTCACTCTCATACAAATTACATTTGTAGATGAGCCCTTGTCACGATACACAGTGAAATATGATGAGTCACCAGGTCGAGCTATATCTAAGTACAGTTTAGGAAAATTTTTGGTTGAAAGCTTGAAAGCCCCAGAGCATTATCAAAAAATCTGTGGCATTGCTGATACTGCATCATTAAAATAATATATTTTGTAAAAAATTCTATATGAAAAGTTATATATAAAGTTATATAAAAGTTGTATATCATGAAATGGGATAGTTTTTGTATAAAAATATTTGAACTTTGATAAAAATTTCAACATTTATCAAATATGAATAAGAAAACACATCATTTTATCAAAATATATAATTATAATTTGAAATAAATTCTTTTTGTAAATCCAAACATCTACTCTAAGCAACTACCATATATAGATAGTAAAACTAATTTTGAATAATATTGACTAGTAGTTTACAGTAATGAAATAGTATCAGAATCATAATATTTTTTCAATATTAAAATTCTAGTGTTTTTTTCATAGAAGTATGTGTAGATAATGTGAACGAAATATGTGCTGGTGGTGGTCTCAAGTTATTAGGCATTGGTGGTGGTGGTGGACCACTGGTCATTATTTTCTGTTCTAAATTTAAATTGTTTTCTGTTATTTGTTGAGAAGTGTTATTCTTTGTAAAATTCAGAAATTGTTTAATTTTCTCGCAAATAACATAACCATTCTTCAAATAGAATTTTTCTTGTCCTTTTGTCATCAAATATACATGTCTGATTCCAATTTTGTAAACATAATCTTCTACTGCTTGCAATAACAATGATCCTAGTCCTTGAAATCGGTAGGCAAGATGAATGATAACTGGAAATAAATTTTTTATGCTTATTTTTTCAAAAAGCATACTTACAACAAGCACGCAATTATTTTTTAATTCTAATTAATTCTACTTACATGATTCTATTATCACACTGTTAGTTACATTATCAAGTAGTGATACTTTACAGTGACCAATTAATTCATTTTTTTTATCGAGTAAAAGAAGAGAAGTTGGGAAATTATCACAGGAAACATTCAAACTTCTTAATCTAAGTTAAAATATGAAAAGAATTTTGTCAAGTATTCTTTCAATATTAGCAAAAATGTTATCTATAAAAAACATATACCGTGCAGTTTCACTTCTTTTCCATTCAGAATTCAATAATTTACAGCACTGTTGTAATAAGTCAGGTCTCCTATGTAAAGGGACCAATTCATAGTGGGAATCTTTAGTTTTATCTCTGAAAGGTAGGTAATTGTATTAAAGGAAAATGATTACACCAATTTTAATCATTTTTATTTTATATGGAAAGTTTAACTATTTCAATGTAAACAAAAGATGGATGTTCAACATTCAGGAGTAGAAATGTAACAAATTTTTAACTAATGTTTTAGTTTGTGGCTATGAAAAAATTGATTATCTAATAAAAATTCTATAATAAAAAAGGTAACACTATGGAATAAATAAATTTAGATTTGATCATTTTATTTCAAAAATTAATGTCTAGTCACTCAGAGGGGACATATAATCTTTTGGATAGAAATTGGAAAACCATTACATAGTTCACACAAGTAAAAAAAAACTTACAGAAGCCTATATAGCAGAACTTTCCCAGTTATATGTACAGAACAACTCAATTTTTAGGCCATTTCATGAAGATTGCAAATCTCAAGTAATTTTTGCATTAATTGTACTCTTCAAAGAAAAATGAATAATTACTTAGGGTTTGTATGGTTTATTAGTTTGCTGATTTATAAGTCTAGTTCATCATTACGAAGGGTACAATTTATAATTCATAGTTGGTGATTTGAACGCAATGTGTTCTATTTATATCTGACCAACCAGTTCTTTCGCATCCCGTTAAGTCGTCAGATGACTAATTTTTACATACGTAGAGTGTAAGAAAGAGACGAGTAGACGATAGAAATGAATTTATATAGCACTCGACACTGAGTATTTTTTTAATGCACGTGATCATGTAGTCAAATGTCAAAGCTATTCGCGCGGAACATTACGCAGCACCGCCACTTTCAAATAAGGTATTTAACTTTGAATTTCATGTTTGAATTCGTGTATTTATAGCACATCCGCTAATAAATTCAAATTTCTATTAATAATAATCAGCACTATATGACTGACCTACATATATCTCCGTGTATCTGAATGGAAATTTATTAGATATTTTTTTCTCTTTCATGAATGGATGGTGAAATATCTAAAAACGATTACGTATATTTACCTTTTGGTTTTTGAAGGACTCATTGGTTGAAAAATAAATCACCTCTAAAAATGGTAATAAATTTAATGAAGTATAATTAAGTAACTTTTGGTGTAAAGCATTGACACTTGGAGTTGACGATTAGTGAGAAATGTTACCGCTATTTATTTTTCTGTGATAATTATAAAAAAATCGACGCAAAAGATGTTAAATCGAATCTACATTTGAAATAAGTGTCGCGTGATATTTTAACACTGGAAATAAAAAATAAACAGCTGGCTGAAACCAACGATTATACTTTCACCCTCATTCTCATACTCTGATCCGATCTCTGTCAGTCTCTCACGCACACTCATTGGAATCGTCGGGCGATAGGTAGCGCCACAGAGCTGTCGCTTCTGCAAACAACGATGGTCTCATATGGTTCTCATGCGTCTGTCATCTCTCATCTGTTTGTTCCATTGATTCAATTGTGCATTGTTGACTGCGGGTTCAGCTTCGGCGAATGGCTGTCAGGCCAGCTGCACTTTAGATGTTAACTAGAAGTTTACTAAGCGCGCGTAGACTTGGTAGACTTAGCCAATTGACGTAATAATTAACCTATAACATATGATTCATAATATATTTAAAACATATTTCTCAACAGTGATTGTTTTTTATTTTACATGTACCAATATATATTTTATATGTACCAATATAAAACGTAATATATTATATAATAAAATTAACAACAAATTTTATATCATTAACATTTTAATATAAATGAAAAAAATTATAAATACAACTCTTTATATACATAATTTTTTATTCTATTTTTATTAGAACAATTAATATATAACTTTAAAGAATCCCATGACCGTACAAGAGATAAAACAACGTATAAATGTCCATGACTAAAAACATAATTTATTTATGAATAAAATCTTCGGATAATTGATTTTTAAAATGACTAAAATGGTGGTGCTCACTCGACACTGTGAAACTCTGGAACGCGAAATCTAAAATGGCAGCGGCCACTCAAACACAGTCGGTCCACCAATATGGCGCCACTCTAAGGCCTTGCTCCTTTTTATGTTCGGACAAAACAAACAATCTGGTGTTCATTTATGAAATAAATGTCTTCTTTTTTATTTAAAATACTGTATTCCCGAAAAGTGTATGTAGCTCTTAGAAAAAATATTAGAAGCGTCGTTCCACAATGATTCCCGGACGATTGCCCATACCAGGTAAGAAACAATTTGCCTTTATAATTTTTTAAAACGCACGTCGTTGAGTTTGAATTGCAGTCAGTTATTAAATGTTATATAATCTTTCTTAGTTAACGCTATTTTCATAATTGAATTATTAAATATTATATATTTCAAGTAATATATATCACACTAACCTATGCATATCTTTCAGAGTATTATATTTTGATTTGGTTTAAAAAGTGATATTCAAAAGATGTTGTCTCTTTTAAGTTTACATGGAATTTATTTTACATTATCAAAAAAAGTCAAAAATTTAATAAACAATGTCATTATTTTAGAAAACCCCTTGGGACTTTCATGGCATGACAGTGCCTGGATTCCAATACTCAATCCAAATAATATAATGGACTATTTTTCTGAAAGGTCAAATCCATTTTATGACAGAACTTGTAATAATGAAATGGTAAAGATGCAGCGTCTTAGTTTGGATCAGCTTCAGTTAGTATTATCAGTAACTGTATATAATGAACCAATAGCAAATATTAATTTGTATTTTTCTCTGTAGAAACATGACAGGTTTAGAATATATTCTTTTACATGTGCAAGAGCCAATATTATATGTGATACGCAAACAGCATCGCCACTGTTCTACTCAAGCAACTCCCATAGCTGATTATTATATCATTGCGGGTGTTGTTTATCAAGCTCCTGATCTGGCGTCTGTAGTGAATTCTAGACTTGTAAGTGTAGCAAAATTGTAATATTAGGAGATTAATTTGAATAAATCGAATTTGTTTTATAGTTGTCAGCAGTACATCATCTACAATCAGCTTTTGAGGAAACTAGTGCATGTGCAAGGTATCATCCTAGTAAAGGATATTCATGGGACTTTAAAAATGGCAAAACTGCAGCAGCAAAGAAAGAAACCCCTGTGAGAGAAGAACCTAGCACGCTATTTCAACGACAAAGGGTTGATATTCTGTTAAGAGAACTAGTGCGAAAATATCCTTTGCCCATGCCAAAACCTGTTCAAGCTGTTGCAGAACCCCGTATGTAATTTAATTACCTTTTTTACTTTAAATACTTGTGATTTAAAAAATGACAGTTGCATTTTAAATTTACAGCTGTAAGCATTAAACAAGAGTCACAAACAGATAAGAAAGACATGAAACCACCACCAGAAAAAAAACCAAGACTTCATTGATACAGTTTTCATTTTTAGCTCGCCAATGTAAATATTTTTTAGGAATTTAACTGTCCAGTAAAATATATGTTATTTTATAAGATAAAATCAGTGAAAAATGCAAAGACTGCTTTTATAAGTAAGTTTGCTCGAACACTGTGAAATTTGACAAAATATAAATATTTATACCTACAATTATTTGATCATTCTTCTTTTTTTACCATAAGCGCAATCGGGATGGTCATTGTCGGCTATAAATCGTTTTGCTTTTTGATTGGATGTCTTACTATTTTTGAATTTTAAAAAAGTTTTCAATATTTCGTCACATTCTTTGGGTTTGGGGCATTTGGATTGAGTTAACGGTACCCATTTTGAGCTGAAATTTGCCAAGCAAGAATTCTTGTTGCATAAATATCTGAACAATGTTGAATTCATTATTAGGTTACTTGAAATTTGGTCGAAAGATAGAGCAGAATAATAACAACAGTGAAGTTGACTGATGGTTTTCGCAACATCGATTTTAGTCGTGTTTTGTCGTTGACTAATTTATACGTTTGGTAGCATTAATATTTTTTAAGAATAAATTAAAAAATATGTTCGTAAAAAGCAAGTATGACATCGGTTAATTGTTTATGCGATGAGAAGTCGTCGGACAACGTGACTTGTGACGATTCGTGCCCGAGCATGATAGCCAGCGATATCAACGATTTTATTCAGCAATTATTATGCTACAAGTGTAAGGTGGTTGACTTGGTAAACGAGCAAATACAAAAGTCGAAATGCCAGCAAGTAAGCGAGGAGTACTAAAACATCGTCGAATGCATCGTTTGCTTGGTCGACCAGGTAAATGCATGCAGTGTAATTGCAGACGCACTTTTAGAACTGCTTGCTGTCGGAAATGTGCGAAAGCAAATCCGATTGCGATGTGGAATCAACGCAAAGAGGCAAGAGGGCAATAACAGAGAGCAAAGACACGGCGACTGAGACGGAAAGTGAATCAAGGAGTCCGATGCAGAATTCACCTGGAAACAAACTGTTACACGGGATCCTCCTGGCTTTGCTATCTATAATAGCAATTTGGCTGATTTACTTGAGAATATTGGGTAATCGGGTTTGCGCCAAGTCTGATTTATGCATTCCCGTACCATTTGCCATTCGCTCTCCAAAGCCGAGACTGTTTTAACCAATAAGGGACGCAAATCAAGACGCGAGAATAAAGTCAAAAAATTGACTGGTGAGCACTACAATGAAATACAACTGGGTGCTAAAGCTGGCTTACTTAACATTTATTCACAGTTTTTTTTTATTATTACGCTTTATACACCTCTCCGTTACAAAAAGTTGTTCTCATTTTTCGCCATCTTCGCATATTCTCGTGGTAAAATTGTACACTCGCGTTAGAAATACGCTGCTGAAAAGCTGCAAGGAAAGTCGAGATAATTGGTATATGAAAAAACATTGGTACAGCGCAACGTTATACAACGGCATACAAAGTACAGCTACATGCGTCGCCCACGACGTACTTTTAGAACGATACGGAAAGACAGTTTGCGTTCTCATCGAGGTGGCTTTCTGTCGGAATTTTGGCAAACAAGGAAAAAACTCGCTGGACGTGTAACTCGAACGGCTGTTCGCGTTTCGCGTTGGCAGTTGATTCGATCGCGAATGTTTTCTTTTTTTCTTTTTTTTCCTTCATTTTTTTTTACTCGGATCTTCCAAAGCAACGTTATTCAGTCTTTTCGTTCGCAAATGCGTATATGTATATGCAAATAGAGCCTCGACGAATGCTAGAAGAGAAGGCGAGCTTTTACCGAAAGCTCGAGTCAGGCCGAGTTTCGAATCGCGAAACAATGGGGACGCGCGGAGATCCCTTGCGGAAGGGGCGTTTTGTTGGCGCGAAACCAAGGGCAAGCAGATCGCCGTAAAGTTCGGAACGAAAGCGAGCGCAGCGCCCAAGGACAGACTGCGACAGCGGACCGCAGAGGAAAGGAGTCGGACGTTGCTCGTCGACCCAGCGCGTCCCTCGCGGCTGTGCAGTGGAAAACAAACGCGGGACAGAAACGACCGGTCAGTCTTGCGCTAACTTGCTAGCGGCGGTATACCGATCGACGAAACGATTACGAAGTACCCTCGGCTACACAAGTGAAAAGTCTCTCGCAGATACACGTTCTCGCTTCCCCTCGGTGTACACGCGAGTCCAATATCAAATACACAGATTTACGGTTTTCGTTTATATAATTAGAGTTTACGAGTATCGCACAGCGTCGCATTCGCACCTCGCACGCACGCACATACATAGGGAGAGGGACGAGGGAGCGAGAGAGTCCGTTGTGCCCCGCTTTCGCCAGATCCGCGGGTCGCGGCAACAGCGGGGACGCGGAGTTCGCCTCGGTAGGTACCGGTAGGTCTGGCGCGCGCGACGGTCTTTCGCCCAGGCGGCGAGGTGCGTGCGTACGTGCAGCTTGCGCGCGGGGCGGGGTGGGGGTCGAGAGGAGGAGGGCCAGGACCGGTTAGACGCAGCTCTCGGGTCCCGGGATGGAGTTGGCGATGATGATCTCCTTCATGAGGTTGCGGTCGGCCTTGAAGCTGATGGGCTCCCAGGACTTGGCGGAGAAGGGGTTCAGCTGTGGACAGAGACAGAGAGAGGAGGCGGTCGCTCGAGCGAGTTGGCCGGAGGCGCGGCGCGCTCGGGCGGCATACTCACGGTGCAGCGGTTGCTCTGCAGGCCGGGCTTGTGCACGTCGTAGGGCGCGAACAGCGTGTCGGGTCTGACGGGCAGGAAGAGCTGCGGCTCCCGCGGCTTCATCTTGTCCTGGTCGACTGCGGAAGCAAGCAGAGCGCTAGTGGGCGGGTCAGGGACGCGCGGGCCAGACCTACCTTGCGGCGACTGGATGATGTCGGGCTGGTTGGCCAACGCCGCGTAGTCGGCCTGGCCGAGGCTGGGCTGCTTCAGCGTGTACTCCACGAAGTAGGTGTGGTCCGGGTGATGGTGATGGTGGTGGTGGTGGCGGTGCTGTTGCTGCTGCAGCTGCAGCTGCTGCTGCTGCTGCTGTTGCTGCTGCTGCTGGTGGTGATGGTGGTGCTGGTGGGTGAGGTCGAGCATGGAGTTGTTGCGCGAGGTCGGCGGGCTGATGATGGGCTGCTTCATGTAGGGCTCGACGTGCACGGGCGAGGTGCTGCCGCGGCGCCGGTAGACGAGCAGCAGCACGGCCAGCGCGGCGCCGGCCAGGCCGAGCAGGCAGCCCGCGACCAGCAGCACGAGGCCCGCGAGGCCGCCGGCGCCCGGCCCGTCCGCGGCCCCGTCCCCGGCGACGCCGCGCGCGCGCAGCCCCAGCTCGCTGAGGCGCAGCTCGTCCAGCGCCAGGGGCTCGCTGCGGCCCTTGGCGTTGCCGGCGTAGAGCAGCAGCTGCAGCTGGTCGGCGGGCAGCAGGCGGCGCAGGGCCAGCCGGAAGAGCGGCGCCGCCTCGGGCCCGGGCCCGGCCAGGCTGGACTGGTTGAGCCGCAGCCGGCCCGAGGGCAGCTCGTAGGCCTCCAGCCAGAAGTGCTGGCGCAGGCCGCCGTCGTAGCCGGGCGCGCACTCGACCTCGAGCGCCGGCTCGTCGGCGCCGGCGGCGGCGGCGGCGGCGGCTGCCTCGTCCGCCTCGGCCGCCTGCTCGGCCTCTTCCGGCGCGGCCGCGCCGTCCACCTCCTCGGGCCGGGCCGGCGCCGGCGGCGTCCAGGCGCGCGCGCTGCAGTTGCTCGGCGGGCCGGGCCTCGTGGCCGGCACCACCTGGTAGAGGCAGGCCTGCGCCTGCTTGCCGATGGCGTTGCGCGCCCAGCAGCTGAGCGCGCCGTAGTCGCGCTCCGACAGCGGCGTGTACAGCAGCTCGCTGCTGCTGAGCCGGCGGCCGCCGCCGCCGCCGGCCGCGGCGGGCTCGCTGTCGTTGCCGCCGCCCCGGTCGAGCCGCGCGCCGGCCGGCGCCACCTCGAAGTTCTCGCCGCTGTTGCTGAACTCCCAGACGAAGTCGACCGCACCGGCGGGGTCGGCCTCCACCTCGCAGCGCAGCCGCACCGACTCCTCGAGCGAGGCGCCCACCAGCTGCACCTCCTTGCGCGCGCACCTCGGCGCGACTGCGAACAGAGCGCGCGGGTAGTGGCGGGCGCCGAGCGGGGCCGCGGGCGGCCGGGCGGACTTACATTGCACTCGGAGGGCCACCTGCGAGCTGCTGGTCTGGCCGCGGTCGTTGCTCGCCAAGCAGCTGTAGTTGCCGGCGTTGGCGCGCTCGATGCGCTGCAGCACCAGGCTCTGCGTGCTCATGATCACGCCGGCCGGCTGGTTGTGCGCCAGCGGCGCGCCCTGCGGGTGGAACGCTCGATTAGCCGGTCGCCGCGCGCGCGCGCTCGCCGAGGGACTCACGTTGTGCCGCCAGCTGATCTTGTGGTGCTCGGGGTTGGCGCGCACCTTGCACTCGAAGTAGACGTCGTCGCCCTCCTTGATGTTGGCCGCGTCGAGCGTGTTGCCCAGCTCCAGCTGCACTATCGGCGGGACTGCAAGGCAGAGCGCGCGGTTAAGACGGGCTCTCGGCGCCGGCCCGGGGCCTCGTACTCACAGACGACGTTCATCTGGAACGAGTCCTCGAGCTGGTAGTCGGCCAGCAGCGGGTTCTCGCCGCGACACTTGAGGACCTTGCCGTTGTCCTCGGGCTGCGGCGAGAACGTCAGGCTGCTCACCAGCAGCATCGGGCTGCCGTCGCTCGCCTCCTCAGCCACCTGAGCCTCGGTGAAGGCCGCGTGTCCCGCGAACCAGCTGATCTGCGCTTTCGGATGCGAGCCCTCCACTTGACACTCGATGCAGTACTCCTTGTCCGCCTCCATCGTCAGCGGCTTGTTCGTTATCTTGACCGACACGGGCTTCACTGCAACGTCATCGGCACGCGCGTCGGTCAGTCGTCGACCGGTCGGTCGGTCGGCCGGCCGGCCGGCCGCTCTGCGAGCGATTCGCTTCGAGGAAGCTCGGCGCTCTCCGGTCGGCATCGATCCGCGCTCGATATTTTCGCGATTGATTATCGATTCGATTGCGCCGCAGCGAAATGAAAAATGTATCAATCGCATTGTCCGCTCGGCTCTCGGGAGCTCCAAGCTTTTTCGGAGCGCTTCCTCGATCCCCCGGCCAATCCGTTTCACCAGTCCACCGTGCGTAATGAAAGTTTGATGCGTAGTCGGTATTGAATTCCTCGCGTGACTTGCTTCTCATCGATATTGCGGAATTCATCGTTCCGAATGAAATTGACTGATTGGCACGCCGACGAAATATAAGAGCCCGCGCGGCTCGGTGCGAGAGGCGTTCGAAGATACAAGCCGGCGGGTCGTTAACGAGGACTCTGCTTTTACGAGTTCGATAATCTCGAGGAACGGAGCCCGAGGGGGAGGACAAGTGCGTGCTGGGGGGCCGAAAGAAAGGCTCGACGGATGAATAAGCGATAGGTGGCACGCGGGGAGCGATCCCCCGGAATCCATTAAGCGCCGTGGTCGTTACATTGATGCTCTCGCCGACAAAGATTCCTTTGAGCGAGGCGAGGCGAGGCGAGGCGAGGCGAGGCGAGGCGAGGCAAGGCGAGGCGAGGCGATAGCGAAATCGAAATATACGCGTGTCCCGAATGGCGATGGGCGGGCTGGGGGAGGAGGCCAATTCGGGACGCGACACGCGACGCACGAGACGCGACACAGGACTCACGGTAGACGTCCAGCAGCACGGACTTCTCCAGCGGGGGCACGAGGTTGGTGTTGGACGCCCGGCACTTGTAGGTGGTGTTGAGGTGGTCGCGGCGGAGCTGGTGCACGAGCAGCTTGCCGACGACGATGTTGTTGGCGGGCTCCTCGCTGAGGCTCGCAGCCACTTCCTTGTCGTTGGCCAGCCAGCCGAGCTGCGGCGCGGGCTTGCCGCCGCGCACCTCGCAGGTCAGCAGCAGCTGGGCGCCCACCTGGTACGGGCCGAGCACCGACTTGACCTGCGCCCCCGAGCTGTCGTAGATGAGCAGCTGATGCGGCGGCACTGCAGAACCGAGAGGCGCGGGTCAGTCGGCCGAGCAGCCGGGGCGCGCGGCCGAGCGGCGCACGTACCGATGACGGTGAGGTTGACCTGGAAGTTGCGCGTGGGCGAGTTGCGGAAGTCCACCCGGCAGCGGTAGATGCCCTCGTCGTTGAGCTGCACGGCCTCGAGGGCCAGCGCGGCCGGGCGCGCCTGCGGCATGAAGTAGGCCCTCGGCCCCATGGCGTTGTCGTCCGACCAGTTGAGCGCCTTACTGAACGCGCGGCCGCGCACGTCGAAGCTGCCGCGCCAGCCAGCGAGAAGCAGAGAGCGCGCGTGAGGGGCGCCAGCGGCGGGGCGGCGGGCCGGCGGGCCGGCGGAGCGGCGCGGCGCGGCACGGCGGCGGCTTACCTGTAGATGGGCTTGACCGAAGACTCGCGGAACCACAGCACCATGTAGACCCGGTCGTCGCGCGTGGACGGCTCGATGTCACAGGGCAGCGAGGCCGTGCGCCCCAGGACCGCGCTCACATCGATCGTCGTCACTGCGCGCAGCAAGCACGTTAGGCCTCGCGCCGGCGCCGGGCGGCGTTCGCGACTCGCTTACCCGAATCCTCGTCGTCCTTGTCCCAGTTGCCCGTGGCGCGGGCCGGGCGCGCCAGCAGCGGCGCCAGCAGCAGCGGCGCCAGCAGCAGCAGCGGCAGCAGCGGCAGCAGCGGCAGCGGGCGGCTGCCGGCGGCCGGCCGCGTCGGTGTCGGCGGGCTCGTCGCGACGGCCATGCTCCGCCGCCGCTCGACTGCCCGCTCGACTGGTCGCTCGACTGCGCGGGCTGGCGCGGCGCCCGGCGCTCGTCCCTCGTCCCCCTCGTCGACCAGTGGTCGTCGCTCGGAGCAGCGGCTTGCGGCAGGCGCCTCCGCCAGGCTGGGGCATGCTCCTCTCGCGCGCGCGGGCTGCTCAGGCGCCGCAGCCGTCGGCGCTCGCGCCCGCGGTCCGCGCGCCGCCGCGGCTGCTCCTCGGCGAGGCCAGCCCGGCGCGTCGTCCACGCGCCCGCCGCCTGCTCGTCCTGGACACGGAGGCTCGCACAGCCGGAGCGACGGGGAGCGCTCTGCCACTTGCTCGGGCGCCGCGCGGCGATCGATTCCCAGCGCGCACCGACTGGCCGCTCGAGCGAGTGCGCGCGAGCTCCCCCCGGCGCTGGCCGCGGCGCCGCGCGCAGCGCCCGCCGCGCAGCCGACACTCCGTCGGCGTACGCGCGCGCGCTCCCTCCCTCTCTGCCGCCCTCCCTCCCGGTCGACCCGTTCGCTCCGCCGAGCCGCGGCGATTGTCGTCTCTGCGCCCGGGTTCCGTCTGCCAAGGCTGGATCAGCGGCTCCTGTCCGGGGGCGGCCGCTCGCTCGCTCGCTCGCTCGCTCGCCGATCGTCCGCCTGGCCGAGGGACGCGCCGAGCTTGCGAGCCCCCGCGTCGCTCGGCCCCGACGAGCCGATCGGACGCTGATACGCGCGAATCGTCCGCGATTAGGCTAAATTTATGCGCGCGCGCGCGCACGGACCAAGCGGCCTTTGATAATCGCGGCGGCCGCGATGTGGCTTCGCGTGCATTCGACGCGGCGGACGGGGCGCTCGGACGATGGAGCGACCTCGGTGCGACGCCGAAATTACGCTCCGCGCACTTATTCTCGGAAAGGGAATCGTGAAATATTGGCGAGAAAGCCGCTCGAGTTTTCGTTGGATGGATGCGGCTGATGCGACTGTTCATTTGCAATCGTAATAGCCGAATGAAACTTTGACGTCACTGCAGATCGAAGAATACAAAATCGGAGCAAAGTCCTGAAATTTAAAATAAGATAGTGTTCGATAACGTGACAATTCTATTACTAGTGTCCGATATCGTGTAATCAAATAAATAGCCTAGTCTTGTACGATTAGCCCCAATGGCCTCATTTATTTATTTTTCCACGAGTATTTCCTTTGCGAGTTGTTCTTAGTTTACGGGCAAAAGATTAGTCGTTAACTGGAGAGTTCAAGAAATACAAATGTAGCCAAATGAGAATGGGAGAACGAAACTTGCAACAGTGCGCGGGTAAAAGGGGTGGTACTAGTGTGTGCGCATTTGTTGCCAGAGTAACGACCGGACTTACGACGAGCTACACTCCATTTCGAGCACAACCAGACCTCTGCCCATTCTATTTGTCATCTTCGGCATCGATCTGCCGAAGTAGCGCAGGCATCGATCGGCGATTGGATATCGAGTGTGTACTGCGAGCGAAATTCAACGAGCTGCATACTGGAAGACGCTCGCTAAGCGAATTGTTAGATGCTATTTATCTATTAAAAAATACATCTGGTAGAAATCAAAATGCAGTTTTTCGAAAAAGCGTGCTAGTAGTATTGAGTCTCAGCTCTTAAAAGATGCATAATATACCTGCAAAAAGCACGCATCAAACGCAAAATTTATAATAATAAATATACGTAATATATCTCGACAAATTAAAGCTTGCAAGCTCGCTTTTAACTCGTGAAAATATAAAATAAATCTTTCAGCGCACAGCCTGACCCCGATCCAAGTTTAATTCGAGCAAGTGAAAAAAAGGCAAATGTAGAAAGTTCAAAGCAACACTACGTCCGTGCACTCGAATATGCGACTCCACTCGGAGATTTTCTTGGCAAACGAAATTATTGCGTGATCCTCCGCTTTGACACGAATAACTTTATCAATTTATGCTCGATATGGCGATATTCTGACCATCGACCTAATTACACATCAAAGTAGTACAGATTTCTTCGCAATCGAAACGATTGACACGAATAGCCTTGCATGATGCCAGCGCTTCTCCGCTTCATCAATGATCGCTCGACGAAGCACGCGCGATTGCACAGTCGTCGATGCACCCGGTCATATCGCTATCGAGAGCAAACGCCACACACGGCACGGATATTATTCCACCAAAGCATTATAGGTTTACATTGAGAACGGCCTGTTGACGGTCGTCCAAGTGGCGCTTCTATTAAGCGCTACTCTCTTTGTAAGCTCGCAATAGTGCAGTCGTGAAAGCAGCGAAAAGTAGCTGCGCAACCACCAATTCAACCTCTTCAAAGTTTTAGCGCCGCTTATATCAGCCGGTACATAGCCACCTAGTTTCAACTTGATTGCCACACTATTGTAGCTTGTTCAATTTTTTTTCTACCTTGTCGCCGTGTTTAACGGCAACTTGCTTTTTACTGCAAAATGCATGTACGTATCACGGTTACGCTCCGAACAGCTCGTTTGGAACATTGATGGACCAATTTGAGATACAAAGCGCGCTTTTACAAATGATGTCTTTGCTCGTTCGTCGCTCAATAATTTCCATTGTGCTGTGTCATACTTCGAGCTGCCGATTCATCAATAAGCGCACGCTGAGAAGGGGAGTGCGGAATAAAAACAGTGAAAAATGATTAGTATAATTTATAATAATGTATTTCCTATCATAGCTGTATATAATGAATGCGTTTATGTATACTTTTATATAATCATATGTATATATAATGAGCAAATTATTTACAAAGTACATACGTAGAGGTATGCTTTCATCCAGATACTTCCATTGTGTATGGTGTGTTTGTGTGACTTGTGTGGGTGGTGTTTGATGTAGTATTCATTGTCGCGTATTTCCTATGTACGTTGAAATACGTAAGTTAATATACATACATAATAAATTTATACGCTGTAAAGGCGAAGAGTCGAGGAAAAAAACATTGTCATCTATGGCAACTAACATAATAATGGCAAGCACTTGCGCTGGCTAAGTGAAAGTAAAAACCGTGTGAAAACGGGCCATGAATTGTGATTCGAGAAACGATTATTGGAATGGAGCTGTGTTCGAACAATTCATGAAAATAAGACTGAGCTGTACCGAATAAATATGAAACCATCGCAATATCATTCGATTCATCGAAGCAACATTTACAATGACGATGACAAACATTGTTGATAATAATGCTAAGGTTAGGATAAATCATAGTGAACAAACAATCGATAAAAAATATAACACACAAGAAGATATCGAACGGTGTTGGCTAGAAAAAAACTTGGATGACGCGAGATACAGGTAAACTTAATCACAAATAATAGCAGCGAAAGTGTGGCTCTTTCACTCGAATACAATTTTTCAAATGAACAAACGCGAAACAAGAGTAACGTAGAATATGGGAAAATTAAGATGGCTATCTATAGCTTGCTCACTCTTATATGCTCCTCTCTCAAACGCGAGACATACACACTCACACCCCTAAAATGAGATTCTAACGCAACCCTACAAAATAGATTAGCATAGGAGCAAGAATAATAATGATAATAATAATGATAAAAAAGAATGAGAAAAGTAAAATTAAAGTCGACAAATGATGTAAGCTTACAAAAACGAGTTGCGGTACAAGAAGTTACATCTTCGAATTTCATCACACTTTACATTATTTTCACAATTCTTGTGCATTTTATCATGTACAAATAGCCTTGTCCTAACTTCGTTATCTCATACCCACAGTCATACACATACGACAACAAATATTACAGCGTCAGACCAGTCTTGTTCGAATTTGATTTCTTCGCCAGAGTATATCGCAATATACTTATTCGTTCGATCCGCAAAAACATCTTGGCGGCGCGCTTATTTAAAAGTATACGTAGTTGGTTGCGTTATTTCAAGCCGGTGAAGGATTTGAGGATGCGCGTGCAATAAATTACCGTTTATTTTCGTTAAAGTGTTTTCGTACTTTTATTTTCTTCATTTTTTTTTTATTTACTTGGCATGTGCTCAGTCGATTATTACAAGTTTTGTGATGGTGTTATCTTATAAAACTTAACTAAAAAATAATAATGACAACAGATTTACATATTGATCATTTCAAAATAACTCAACTTACTTTCTAACTGTACATCCAACAATGGTGAAAAACTCGAGCGTTATTAAAGTGTCAGTCATCGACTCTCTTTTCTACAAATTTGTCAGGAAGATAATATTTTTTGCTCAATTTCTGTAATGCTATGCAATATTGTATTTGTTTTAGACTTAATGTATAATGTGCATGGAAGCTACTTTGTATCCTTCAAAATAAAAGAAACGTATGTGCATCGATTTTTTTGCAGATATTGAGTTACATGACTGGTTAGAGTACAATAGCAACGGTAGAGTTTTCCACGCAAAACGCACGCAAACACCATCAAACTTGAGTAACGGCGGGCACAAAATATTAATAAAAAGCCTATTAATATTTATTATACAATCCATAGTACGGAAATTAAAAAAAGAATACGTTAAAAGTTTATTTATAAATATGTAAGCATCACTTACAATAACAAAGTTTTTCTCAGTTTTATTTCAAAAATAAATTTTACGTACGCTGCCAAATTTTAATACTGCATATAAAAAATGAAGAGGATATAAAGATAATTAGAATCCAGTTGATTTTCAATCAGAAATCTACGAGCAAATAAAGTGAATTTATCATTCTTAAACATAAATAGCTTTTAATCAATAGACGGTTAATCAGTTCGGTAATCGAATTCTATGTCCTATGAAAATTGTACATCTTGAAGTAATCATAAGAATAGAATTTTAGTCTTGTTTCAGAACGCACTCGTATAATCAAATTAATCATATGTAACTGTTAATGTAAATAAGCTAAATAGTTCCACAAATTAAATATTAATTGATTGAAAATAACATAAAAATGAGCTGTAATTGGAAGAAATTCTATAAATGATAAGTTATTGCGTGCTGCCCATCCTATAGACAGATTATTACGTCACTCAAAAACAAAAACAATGCGTGCAACACTTAAAATAATCGCTCGATTTTTTTACATTGTTTCATTTTCAAAATCCTCATGAGACTCGGGCATCCGCTAAGAAATACATACAATTGTTTATGTACGTGGAGTAACAAAAACGAAATCAAATATTCTCTTTGATTTCTCTCTTTGTTTCATCAGCATATTTTCAGTCATCATGCTACAAGTTAATTGTTTCACTATTCTTAACATGACACTTTTTACTGGTCGCGCACTTGATTATCATAACGAGAACATTTAATTATAGAGCTTGAATTAAACAATCAAAGGCTATCCTTCCCTAACCAACAAGCTGCTTTTCCAATTAAACTTTTGCTTTTTATTTTTCATTCATTAATTTATTTTATGCGTTTCTCCGTAAGAATAAACAGTTTCATTCAGTTTTGTGATGCATGATTTATTATAAGTAAATTGTTAAAACTGCTTGTTGGTAGGAAAGAGAAAGAGAGAAGAGACCAAAGAGTTTGTATTGGTAAAGTCTGTAACGTTGACAATTTCATCTTTTTGTGTTATTATCTGTCGTTACTTCTTCACTTCTGCCCAAGACATCGGGATCAAGTGCGAATACAATTATTATCGGTAAATGCATCGCAGACACTATTATAGTACGGGAAAGTATATTTATTTCCAAAAAACGCAGTAATCGTTTTCAATTTCAAGATTTTTTTATAACTATTAAATTTGTTTGTTCTAATATAGTTAGATATTATCACTAACTTGATTTTTTGTTATTAAAAAACCACTTCACTATATTTATTCTTGACATTACTTTGAAACATGATCAATGGACAGTAACTTTGTTACATCATTTTTCGACTTTAATCGCTAATTATTTTGTCACTGGTAATCACCTTCAGGTGCATTTTTAAATATACTCTTAAATATTCATTAGTTTTTTTGTTATAATTCCGCAATTGAATTCTATTATGCACTTAGCCCTTGTAAACAGCTTAGGACCATCACATTTACCATTACACATAAGGTAAAACTGAAATATCGCGGTATTAAAAGGAAATGGTGTATTTCCTTAGTGATAAAATAAGGAGAGTTCATTGTACTTCACTATTAACGCTGATATTGCATTAGTTGATCTGCTTACTTCTCGTATTTATTACTTCCATTTGGAAGTTATGCTCATATCACATATCAAACTTTTCTTCAATTTTGACGGCTAATCAATTATTCTTCGCATAGCCATACTTGAAGCACTTTAAAATATTTTAATCTACAACGAATTTTATAAAGTTTAAAATTCACTATGATTCGTGCCAAAGAAATTATGATTTTACGGTGGTTGTCAGCCCCCCTTTTGAAATTTTTATATTTATAAGATTCGCGTGTTAATTTCTTTTAAACACTACTTTTTATTTTTAGATTATACACAAATTTACACGATTGGCAGCTAGCGAATTAAATATTCTGTATGTAATGGAAAACGCTCTCCATCAGTATTCAAGCCATTTGATGGAAACCTGTTCATGGTATCAAGAGAGCTGTTTCTTTTTGAGATATACCCGAATACATACTCAAATTCCGTAATGCACTTAATGATCCTCTTAAATTTGAAAAAAATTGTAACACTCGAGATTTCGAATTATTGATTTTAACAGCCACCTTTGAAGAATACGCATCAGAGTAAAACAAGAATAATAATAATAATAATAATAATAATAATAATAATCATTCCTCTTTTTCTCTCTTTCTCTTTCTTTTACATGCTACTGCTGACGCAGACGCATGTTCGTGCGGCTCTTGATCACTTGGTTCGTTTCTTTTCTTTTGAATGTGATTTGCTTAAACTTATCTGTGGAAAGAAATTGGTTACCGCTAACCATTGTTATAGTCTTCTCGTTTTTATTTATACCTTTTTGCCTACTAATCTATAAATTTTTTTAATGCGGGCTTCACTATTTTCTGTATTAAATAGTTTACCGTCTTGTCACAGTGCGGATTGCTGGATTTTTTGTAAAATTCTGCAACACGATAGATTTTTCAGGTCTGAACTTGAGAAATAACGTAGCAGAGACGCGATGTGTTTCATAAGACGGCATACACAAATTTTTTCTTTAAGTTAGATCCTAGTTAACCATAAGCGTATGCGACTCCATAGGGGCAGCACTGTCGTAGAGAGTGTCTGTATCTTGCGTTGGCTCGCCCTGCAGCTGGCACTGATTACTCAGAGTTCCTGCTCCGCAGTCACAGAAAAATCTAGCACACACGAAAAAAATTATTGCTACTGTTCTTTTTAACGTTAAAAACTGAAGGGGATTGGAAAAACAGTCATGTTATTACCTATCGTGTCGAATAAATTCTACATCATGACCAGCGTGACACGTTTTTATACAATTGACACAGATAGCATTCCTATCAGTAGTGTTGCACGTTTGGCAACGATAGAAATCGTGCATTGGGAATGACGTATAAGACGATATTTTGTACAAACACTGTCCGTTTCCGACAGCTTTTTCAACTGCATCCTGGTTATCGAAGATCTTGTTACCTAATAATAACATTCATTGTGTGTTAATTAAGAGTAGGAATTTACAAGGATAAACACTGATAAAACAAAGATTACGTACCTCGAATAGTCGGTTGCACGCCACTCGCTAAGCACAGACCACCGAACCTGTTGTGGAAAATTTGATTAAACTCTAAAGTGGCAGTAGCATTATTCGTTATTTCAACGCCGGCGGCTAGGCCATCGAAAATCCGATTCCTCCTTAGTACCGGATGCGACTGCGTCGATATGAGCACTCCGGCTTGAGCGTTCCTAAATATATCATTCTCCTCGAGAACGCCTGTAAATTAAGGTTGGCATCAATGATTGCGACATTTTGATATTGCAACTTAATTTTGACAAACTTTAGCTACCGCCATACGTACCTTTGCCTCCGTTAAATATGCAAATTCCTCCGTCTCTACCGTCGAATATTTTGTTTCGCTTAAGGGTCGGGTTGCTATCAGTTTTTATCCAGACTCCTGCCATGGCGTTATCAAAAATTTCATTCTGTTCAAGCAAACCTAATCCACTATTGTAAACTAAAACACCACCATTCTGTCCTCCCCATATTTTGTTACCCCTAATGACTGGGTTACTTCCCGTCCTAAAAACGTCATTAAACGATTGCATAAAGTACAAGGTCTACAACGCATAGCAGGTATTGAATTAGTATAAAAGCGTCGTGAATTACTTACCGTATCTGCACTCCCGAGTATAAGTGGTTGAAAATGTCGTTGTCCTCGAGCTTGCCATGGCCATTATCGTAAAAGTAAACACCAACTTGTTTACCACTATGGATCCTGTTGCGTCGGAGAACCGGCGTGGAACCAGTCGTTATCCAAACACCAGCCAATGTATTAGCAAAGACCTCGTTCTCTTCGATAAGACCTTGGCCCTTCTCGTGCACATAAATACCACCATGCTGACCATGGTGAATCTTGTTGTGTCGAACGATAGGATCGGAGTTGGTTCGGATTTGTATACCGGCCAGGGCGTTACCATAGATATCGTTATGTTCGATGAGACCTCTACCCTCGCCAAAGATATAAACGCCACCTTGGTGCCCATTGTAGATTTCGTTGCGCCTGATTGTTGGGTTAGAATTGGAGGTGATCCACACGCCGGCGAAATTATTGCTGTGGATCTTGTTGTCGATAAACTGTCCCATCCCGTTCTCGTGTACGTAGATGCCGCCTGTCTGGCCATGGTGGATTTCACAATGAACAACTGTGGGGTTCGCTCCGGCCTTTACCTCGAAGCCGGCGATGCGATTGTTGTGAATGTCATTAGCTTCGAAGTAGCCAAGGCCGTTATCAAAGGTGAAAATACCCACGTCCCGGCCGTGGTGTATGTGGTTTCGACGCATTATCGGATTGGCAAAATTCTTCACCCAGATACCCGCAAGAGCGTTACGCGATATCTCATTGTCCTCGTAAGTACCCTGCGCATAGTCAGTCACATAAAGCCCAACGTTTTCGCAATCTGAAATATCGCAGTTCTTCACTACAGGATTGGCACCGAGACCGGATACACAGACCGCTGCTCCGACCACGCTCGAACTTCTGATGATACAATGGTCGATGGTTGGACTGCAGTTTTCACCAATCTCGAGGCAGTAGTGTTTGTGGTGGGTGACTGTGCTTGCGGCATCGGGACTGAACTTGAGAGTAAGATGACCGGCATAGGCACGTTTTGCGCCTTCAACGAACGTCACAGTGGACTCACTCTCGCGCTCGAGGACAACAGACTCGGCAACGTTGCCTGCTGCTGCGCCAATTAGCGCTACGTCACTATCCACCACGAGAAATTCACCTCTGTATGTACCTGCATGTAGGAATACCAGATGTTGAGCTGGCTCTTCGCTGTTAACATTGCTTCCAGAAGAGTTACTCGTCCCGTTAGCACCTGCGGAAAGTATGAGAATGTTACAAGTGAGAGTGTAATGACGAATAACTCGCAAGAAAAATGAGCAAATGTTTACCGGCAGCACCGCTCGCATTTGCAAGACAACAGCTACCTTGACTACTTGCACTACTGCTAGAGTTGCTGTTGGACGAAGAGCTGCTGCCACTATTACCGCCGGTAGCACTACTGTTGTTTCGAAATTCGTCGATGTAGTCGAGTGCAGCTTGAACTGTACCAAAGCACGGCAGACTCCTGCCCTTTTGTTTGGTTTCCTGATAGCCGAGTCTCACGTGTACACCTCTATACAGCTGCCGGAAGCTCTCCTTCCACGGATTTGGATAATCAGATTCGTCTGGCGAGACGAATTCGAATTTACAAGCCGCCGGGTTAAACAGCGGCAAATCGTATTCGTAGACCTGCTGATACAAAGACTTCCAAAGTTCTGTATCATTCGCTATCACTTGGAATCGTTTGCAGACTTGTGAGACCCTGCACAGGTCTTGTTCCATCAGATAGTTGAAAATGGTCAACAGAACTTCATCGGGCAGTTCATACTGAAGGTAGTGTGCAGCTGTATTTGTACTGGTACCTAATTTTAACAAAATTGAAATTTCTCTGTTGTTTATGTTTATTTATAAGAACTGTATTAGATCATTATTATAATAATTTTTTACACACCGTCTGTTGACAATGAGCATGTCCTCCTTGGCCGTTTTCTTGCTGGAAGAGAGGATGATCCTATTGCTGTAGAGATGCTACTTCCACCGGATGGTGGCAATGCAGAACTTGTTCCAGGTGCTGGATCTGGATGTGGTGGACTTTTTCGCCGTAGATCATAGGGCGATGAGTGGGAATGAGATGGAGATGGCGATGGAGCTGCAACTCCGGACACACTAGGTGAAGACCCTCTACCTCCATTCCCAAGTCCTCCACCTGGCGGTATTTGATTTGATGCTACACATGGCAGCTCACACGGCTCAGCTAGATATTCAATACAAAGAAAAAACAACACAATAAAAACGAGTTAATTCGATTATTTCAAAAGTAAAAATAGAGACTTAATGATGGAGAAATACATACTTTGCATGATAAACATCATAAGTTCCATGTCTATAATGCAGAAATGTGTATTACTGTGTTCAATACTGTATACACTTGCACAGAAGTGTATACATTTCAAAACATGAAGGAGTTCAAGTACAGGGTATAACTTTTTTTAAGAGGTCATATATTTTGTAAAAGTGGAACAGCCGCAGCGAACATGTATTTTTGTTTCGAGTACTAGTTTGGGCCACATATAGACGAACGTATTGTATATTGAGTAGGCGAGCTGATGAGTGTAGTGCAGAGTGCGAATACGGGTTTTTCAGTTCCATGAGCTGCACTACTCGGAAAATATAACGACGCTGGGAGAGAGAAGGTAAAAAAAGATCGAAAGCGGTTTTATCGCGAAACCGTTTCGACCGATGAAACATCAAGCTGATTATGTTGGTCGGTATGAAAGAGAGAGAGAGAGAGGGGGGGGTGTAAAATTCGATATTGTCGATCGCAAAAAAAAACATGCCGGGATTACGACAATACACAAGTTTGAATAAAAATTTTTGATGCGGGGGATTATTCAGTTGGCTCTTGAATCTACATAATACATAATCGCTAAGCAAGATACACGGAGCGTTGCGCGCGCTCATGTGTGCGTGTGTACACGTCTGTGCATGTACCTATAAAGAGAACAAAAACGAGAGTGCGAGCGAGCGAACAAGTAAGAGGGAGAGAGGGAAGCGAGAAAAAAAAAGATCGTCGAAAAAAGACCTTCTCTGTTGCAAACGTCTGCTAACGTCATTTCATATATAAGTAACACATTTCTCATTTATAATTAGTTAATCGATAAGAGCGATGAAGGAGAAGAGGAATAGAGAAAGAGCGAGAGGGGGGGGGGGGAGGTCGAGGTTGAGGAAGAAAACGGAGTTCCATGCGAGGCATGTCCACGCCTCCGAATGTGTAAAAAAAAAAGAAACGTCTATGTGTGTCCGAGCGAGCGTGTATAGAGCGCGAGTAGAGCGTCGTGAGTGAGCTCGGAGTGAACGAGAGCGAGAAAGAGAGAGGGAGAACCCTTTGATGTTCCCACGACTCCACGAGTAGGATTGGGAGAGAGAAAGAGAAAATACATTGCGCACTAAAACAGCTCTCGCTCTCGTATGAGCTTGTTTAACGCGCTCGTTGGCTGCTGTCGATACGGTTAAAGCGAAGCAGCAGCAGGGTATCATCATAGAAAGCCAGCAATGCGGGGAAGCGTGCCTTAGCGAGGAACTTGACGCAGCCAGCTTCGTGCTGCTGGCTGTACGTAGCGTAAGCATACACGCACACACACGGCAACGTGTGAGAGAGAGAGAGAGAGAGAGAGCGAGAGCGAGAGAGAGAGAGAGAGAGAGAGAGAGAGAGAGAGAGAGAGAGAGAGAGAGAGAGAGAGAGAGAGAGAGAGAGAGAGAGAGAGAGAGAGAGAGAGAGAGAGAGAGAGAGAGAGACGTCGAGACAACCGAGGGGGGATGCACACAAAGAAGGGAGACAGACAGACTGAGAAAGACGCACAGATAGCCGAATCTCTGTCTCGCTCGCTGGCTCTAGTTCATAAAATTGATTGGCCTCCAAAGCTGCTTTCGATCGACGGGAGCCATCTCCACGTACTTCAGACTGCCTATACACGAGAATATACGGGAGCACATAGAGAGTATGGGCAGGAAGAGAGGGAAACCGAGCTGCGGGGCATGCGATACGTGGGAAATATGCATCGGGCGTAGGGCAGACGTAGATCAGTCGGAAGAGATAAGGTGGTTAGAGACGAATGGTTGAGACTCACCGGAGCTAGTCCTCGAAGGTAGCGGGATCCTGTTGGCTCCTTTCCGCCTGGACCTCCTAACGTAGCTGCGCGATGAGGTGAACGATGCGCTCGGCATGGCTGCGTTGTTCACACTTCACAAATGACGACGACGACGACGACGACGACGACGAGGCACTTGCTCAGCCAGCTGCTTCGGCACAGCTCGGGCCTGCTGCTATCAACTCTTGGTCTCGGTCGCTATTTGGCTCCGTTTGTCGGGGCCTGGTCTCGACCTGGAAGTTCTCAGCGAGACAACGGCAGCGAGATCGAGATGGCGCTAGTGCGCTGCCTATAAAGTCTGAACTGCAAGACAGATACAGTGCACGAAATATGGCCAGGCCGACGTAGATGAACAGCTACTATGACGGAGATGAGGTTTCGGTCGCCTGAGGTTTTTCTCGGGCAGATGAGTTTAGGTTCGGTCGCTCTTGCGCGGCACGAGTCTTACGTTCCACTAGCTGCGAGCTGATCGCGGGCGGCCATCTTTTCTCGCACTTGCAGCCTTGCCTGCTTATCCGCTTGTCGCCAGCGGCAGCAGCAGCGCCGGCTAGTCTCGCTTCTCATTGATGGCAAGCCAACACAACCGACGGCGACCGCAAGCGATCGCCAGACTTCACGACCGAACCCGAACCGTACCGAGCGAGCGAGCGACTGACTACAGTGTAGGCTACGCTCCGCACTCGACTACTCGCTCTTTCGACTTCCCCTTCCTCTTTCCCCTACCCGCTCCCCCTTCCCTCCGGCCGCTATACGCTCCCCGATCCCGTCCCGTTTCTTTCTGCTTATGTTACTTGCTATGGCGTGCGTGAGAATTTAGCTCCCTTTACTCCCTCTCACTCTCGTATGCTGCCTTGTACTCGTACTTATGTGTCTGGGCACGTTCTACAATTGTACCTTGGCATATAGACCTTCGCCGGCTCTTTTCCTTCATTCTTTTCTCTCTTATCGTACGAAAGTTACTCCAATACCGAGTTGTTTCATTTATCACATCCCTCTCCTTTCTCATGTTACATATTTTCCATTATTCGACGAGTAATAATATACCTCGCGCGCGCGCGCACGTATACACTTGTTTAATACATACGTGTTTGTCATAGAATATTTGTATAATCGCTTTCTAAACAGTAGTACACGGAAAATTGAAGAAGGTTGGGAAAGAGATAAGATAAAAGGAGGATAAGACTAGAATAGAATGTCAAACTTATGGGAAACGTAGTTATAGGTATATATATGAGCAATTTAATAGACGTCATGAAGTACGTCATCAATACGTTTGATTGACTTGAGATTTTGACTACAATTTTATTGTTCCTGTTGTCCCTCCCTCTAGCCGCGGTTGTATTATGAAGCGATATGCCTTGCACGTGTCAACTGCCAATTCTACGCCAGTATTTAGCATTGTCAAAATTGATCCAAATTCGGAGTTCCAGCTTAAACGACTGAAAAAATATGCATAAGTTATGCTGTATACTGGTTACGATGTGAATTGCTCACTATAGGGGAAAGTAACTAGTGTGGTGAGCACTGAGCACCGATGCTATTGGAATTGAAAAATTTTGTGAAGTCACGAGAGTTGGCTGCAGTCTGTTTTACTGTAAGATTTATATTAAACCATAATATATATAATAGTTTTATATTATTGTTACATTTAATTATAACATAATTATCAATCAAAATTATATGTCTGCACCAAATATCATTTCAATTTTTATCATTTTGTACAACTTTTATATAAAACAACTTATTAAAAATTTTACTTAGCAGTATTAAATATCATTTTAATTTTGAAAATTATAAAGAGATTATATAGCTATTATCTATATAATAGAATATATACATCATAAGGTTAAGAATATACTTTACTTGCACAATAAATTATTTAATGAATAGATTAACGATATTCTCACAAGTACTTACTTAACAAACAATATCATGAGTATTTACGACTAATACAAATGATATCTTTTTCAAATTTTTAAAAGAAAAATTATTTTTGATACTGTTAAATTCCAATTAAAAAATCCGTTTTACATCATCTAAAACATAATTTTACCCTTAAAAGTTCTCAAAAAATGATCGAAGAGATATTTAGTGCTGTCATAGAATTTTGACTTTTAATTAGTATCCCGGTACACTTAAATATAACAACAGAACTTACATATATTTAATAGAAAATGTTTCGACGGAGCAAACAGACTACTTTCGCGCGTCTTGCGCTACTACTACTGACAGGAGGCATTGATGCGAACTTTTCAAATTCCAATGGGAAAAATAATTTGTTTCATAGCAGAAAGGTATATTAGCGTCATAGTTATATTTTTCCTTAACAAACACATCAGCATCACTTTATGCAGCTCTATACATACCTATGCGACTTGCGAGGGTTGAAAATTCCAGGCCTATTCTAGGCATAAACGCGAATGCAGTAGGAGGTTAGGCGGCGCTAAGCTTGATTTGCATTAGTCACATTGTTGTGTGCACTACTCGCAACGATAGGTTATAATTGGTGTGGGGATCCGCCGAAGGCGAGAAATATATCATTGACGAAAGTAATACATTATATCAAGTTGATCAAGACGGTATTGTATTTATCCAAGTCAAAGGTTATGCAGCGATGGAACTCGGCGAAAAAAACCGGAGCAGCGCAAGTTCTCCTTGCATCAGCGGTATTTTCGGCTGTCTGGTCCTCTCCATTGTTTATGTGGCGAGCCTCTATGTGTGGAGATCGCCTCTTAACAGGTTTATTTACTGCCCTGATGAATACTACCTGACTACCTAATTTTTGTTCTTCTTTACACCTGCAATTCTTATAAATTCTATTGTCAACTTTCTTGTCGTTCTAACCTATATATTGGATATTAAAGTACACTTGAATATTTATATATTTTGCATATCTTTAAAGCAGATTTTTAAACCGTTTTGGTACCATCTACAAATAATTATTTTCTTGATTAACATATACCACGTTCAATTACTATTTCGCTTTAGAATTATTTTTATTAAATTTAATAATTTTAATAATTTTAATAATTTATTTCTATGTTTTCGAATTTGTCTCCGTAACGTTAACTATAATTTATAATTATAAAATACCTATTTTCATCTGATTAAATATATAACGATTTATTATGTATCAGGGATCACCCGAGTCTCATAAAGCGAAGATTTTTCAGTGTTTTTGTTATGACAATACTTTCTCCATTATTTTTATATTTTGGAATAAACGAGCAATTTTATCAAGGCGTAAGTATAAAATTCATTGAATGGTCAATAACCGTAAAACGAGTAAAATAAAAAAAATTATTTCTGTAGGCAACGATCTGGGAATTACTAGGATTAAGATGGCCTGGAATAATTCAAGCCACTGTTATACCTTTGTGTCTTACTATGATTCTTTTTTTGGGACCACTTTACATGCAAGGACACAATGGATTGTGGCGAGTATATGTCGGTAATTACAGTCTATTTTTTTAAAATAACATTCTTTTTCGTATGAAAGCTTGTAAATAAATCGTTACGTGATAAATAAAACTACAAGATATTATACATATAAAAGTCTTCGGTACCGTTAACGATATTTCGTTAAGAATTTGTTCCCTTTAAATTATAAATGTAATTATTTTATTGTTATTAAAATTTTTTCATTTGCAGAGCCGAATTTCTGGTTAGGAAATGCTAAATGTTTACTCTTGTGGAGAAACCTAATAATAGCTCCGCTCTCGGAAGAATGGACATTTAGAGCGTGTATGCTGCCGTTGTTACTACAGTGTTTCGCACCAACGACTGCAATTTTTATATGCCCCCTTTTTTTTGGCGTGGCTCATTTTCATCACCTTGTCGAGAATACAAGGAAAGGAATGAACTTTAAAACAGCTCTTTTGAGTTCATGTGCATATTTTTACTAAATATTTTTTCATTTAAGCTCTTCAATGAAATTAATCGAGTTTAACTTATGTAGGTTTCCAATTCGCATACACAACAGTATTCGGAGCATATGCTGCATTTCTATTTGCTAGAACAGGTACTGTGTGAAAAATTCAATGATTAAAAAAAATTGATTTGTCTATTATTGGTAGATAAAATTTATTTTTCACAGGACATTTTGCGGCAGCATTTACGGCTCATTCATTTTGTAACCATATGGGTTTTCCTGATCTCTCTGAAGTTTTCGCCTACGAAGATTCATTTAAAAGAACGAAACTATTTTCAATATTCGCGTTAGGTCTAATAGCGTGGTGTTTATTATTGACACCACTGACAAATCCTAGTTGGTACAGCAATAACCTATTTTGGCAAAAACATGCAGTCGCGTGAAAAATGTTTATATTGTTATCAGACAAATATTTCAATGACAACAATTTTATTCATTATTTTGTTACGATAGACTTGTATACTTGTTACCTCAATTAACTTTGCGAATCGACAGACTGTTCCTACAGTTTGACGATAAAAAAAGTGTGATGTGCCTTGTTAAAGTCAAGAGTAAAATCCATTATTTTATCGTGTGAAAAATAAATCGTAAGCAGAAAAACTACAAGTAAACAATGTACGTCGAACTTGCCACATATCGTTGATGCAATAATATATAAATAAGCGTATTTACTTATTTATAAAAAATAGTCTCTTTGTTAAGGACATGTTGTTATTTTATTACAGATTCAGTGCTAAAAACGTTGATAAAGCTTATTTAGTTAACAATTATCACAAGATTTATTAGTATCAATAATTGTGATATATCAGGCTCGCAACAATTACATGACAGTCTATGATTCAGCTGATCATTGTATTCGATGACGATATATATATATATATATATATATATATATATATATATATATATATATATATATATATATATATATATCATTGATAAAAAAGACTTACTAAAATGTTGGACAAAACCAACGGCATTATTCATTTATAGATCACAGTAAAACTTATCGTTGTAACAGTGATACAATTATAAAGCTCAAAGCCTGCTCAAACATAACAATTGACAATTTTTTAATACTGGAAATACCTTGAAAAATAGTCAACTATAAACTTCAAGTTGTAAAATGACAGAGATGCGTTGATGTATGAAAATCGACGAATCACGTACGAATATATATGTTCCTATGTACACATGATTTATATAAGTCAAATAAATGCAAATGCTGTGATTGACAGGATACGACTTAAATAAATTAAGATTGATTGGCGTTTGTCGACGAGGCGACATTTTGCGACTGATTTAGAAATAAGACGTTACTTGCTTTGATCCTCGGTCCTGAGGCAATCAGTGAGGGGGACGGACTAATGCACGGCGTTGAACAATGACTGTTGCTTAGATCACACTGATCTAGCAGCTTCCATAGTTCTTCGGGTGTCGGACCACCGGGAAATTCTTTAGCTGCCAAATGCATCAAAGATAGATTTTTATTTATTTTTCATTTGATTATTTAACGTCGAATTGTAGATGAATGAACTACCCGGAGAAGAATTAATAGCTGGATCGAGTGCAGTCGTCAAATCCCACATTTGTATTGCCCCATTGGAGTGGCCGGTAAATATGAAACGCCGTGGTCTGGAGCCCATACGACTGGAACCTTCGCACTCGTGTACGCAAAACGAAGTGATAACGCTGCCGTCAATAGACTGTATCACGCAAACACGTTTACCGTTTGATGCCAATCTCACGAATAATTGGTCAGTTTCGGGTACTACTTTTTGTACAAATACTTGCTCGTCATCTTGTTCGCCAAACGGACCTTTAATTGACATAAAAAAGTTCCACTTTGTACTCGTATGAAATCGTCAACGTGACTTTTTACTATATTACCAAAATCATTTCCGGCATTGTAACTGATGCATGGTTCAAGAGCGTCCAGAGAAACTATTTTGAAACTGGCTTCGGGCGTTGAGCCTGGTTGCGTCGATATCATGCCACGGAAACGAGTTACAGCCCACGTTCTTACGTGATTGTATTCTGAGCACACCGAAACCAGATATTTCTCCGAAAGCGTCACCTGCACCAATCAATAATTTTATTATCAATGTTAATCACAAATATTTTATTGATAAATTTTTACTTACCTTAGTTACACTGCTTTGATGTACGGTGAACGTTTGAAAGAGTTGAGGTCCATGTCCCACAGTTTCCGGATGCTGAACGATCACCCTAACGCTTCCTGATCTTGTACCATAAGCTATTTCGATCCAATTTCCACTCAAACCTAGGAATATGTATTTTGATCTTTACTATACGGATTCTCGTAACAAAATTATTTGTAACTACTAACAACTGAAATATATACTTATTTTTCTTTTCAACACTCCGTGCATGGGAACTCGACTTTACGCGCGCTCAAGTAATCGAGCATACTTAAAATCTTCTCCCACAAACGTGGTATCGAAAAAAAAGTTCGGTACGAGCGCGAGAAAGTGATTTCAGCCTCGAGTGAAACTTTGGTGCAAATGTCCACACGGGGTTCAAATAACTTTCTTGCATTAGTATCGGAATGCACTAATTTGATCGTTAATTCAAAATATATTTTGAATATATTTTTAACATGCAACGAATAATTTAGATAAGAAAAATGATTTTAAGACTCAGATTTTAAGAAGTATAAACCAATCTAGGCCGCTTAAAAAAATACTAAACAAATTATACAATTTCACGAAATGTTCATGCATTATCATTGTAGTATATGTGCCCCGAACAGCAAGTGCGTTTATTTAAAAATACGGTCGTATCTTTTGTAGAAATCAAATGAGGAGATATTTCAGGTCCTAGGTATTTCTGCCTCTCTCAGATGCTATCTTAAATGTGCGATATTTTTATAACACCCAGTGCCAGCTTAATTTGAATACATGTAATATTAGTAAGAATGAAAACGCACGCTAAAATCATGTTTTCTTTTCATACAATGTCGCTATTGAATTTTTGGAACAATAGTTAAATTACATATATGCATTACTATAATATACATTAGTACAACTGGATGCATAGGGAAGAATAAGGTGCTCATTAATGATTGTAATAGAATTGTACAGCTCTATAGTGAAAAATGGCTAAATTCTTTTAACTTATAGACAACATAAAAATATATCAACAGATTTCTAATAGGTAAAGGGGCACATGTACTACTTATTTACACACATGTTTAATACAGAAAATATTGGAAAAACTCATAATGCAAAAGAATAAAATAGTAAAAAGATTATTATATCTTTTCATATCATTATTATATCTTTTGTATATCATTATATATTCACAGATAACTTTGAAACAGGACATAATTTAAACTAATTTCAATTCTATAAAGTTTCAGTATTTGGTCAGTACAAGAATTATTTCATTCTATAAAGCTAAGGTCGTTAAATTATTAAACAGTTCCTTTAATATATGAATTTTTACATGTAGATGATAGCAAAAATATAGGTACATACGATTATATAATAAATAAAGTACAAATGTAATGTGGAATTGAGAACATAAAGACCCATACTTGCCTTGTGCTATGTATCCAGTTGTACGGTACCATTTCATGAAGCAAAAAATATTGTGTTAAAGTCTTGTAAACAAATTCTGTGGTTATACAAAAAAACAACAAAAATAAAAAAACAGACAACATTTATTTCAATTATTTTATCGTGGTCGCATTTAATGCAGCTGCATACGTTAATTTTTGTTGTTGCTGTTGTCTGCTTTCACAAGATTATTAGAGCAATTTATCTCTGTAAGTAGATGAGTAAAGCTGGAAGACTAGTATTTTAATTTAACTGAAATAACAATAGTACTAAGATTTCGAAATCATATCTCATGTAAAAATCATGTGTCTATAAGTACTATAAACAATTTCTTAGCTTTTTATTATGAAATATTCTGAAGATCAATAATAATCCCTCAATAACAGATAAAGCTTTTTCGTATCTTCAAAAACGGAAAATAATTAATTGAATTCAAATTTATCTGAATATTTCTGACTATATTTTGTAAATAAACGTAAATTCAGCTACATTTTTCTAAAAAGCTTTTAGTACTTATATCGTTTTGAAAATACATGGAACCTTTTTTTCATGCATTCCTTATGTCAATTTTTTAATATTTTAATTTGTATTAATAGTGATTATTTTTATGCTGTAATGCGCAACTGCGTAAACGCGACATCTTTAAAATTATTACGAAGATATAGCTCTTGATGTGAAAGTATGGTATCCCCTGGATAAGTCATTTAATTGAAATAAATAAAAACATAAAATAGGTTATTATTGAACTATTTATAGAAGTAAATGAATTGTAAATTTATATCGAAATCAATCCTATGTACCACACTTGCTCTCAATATTTAAAATAATGAAAATATGAACTAACTTTTAGAACGGGAGGGTAGTTTTATGTGTGTTAGACTGATTGAATTGTATAAATCTAACCAATTCATTGAAGTTTCAAAAAATGATGAAAAAATAAAGTAGATTCAGCATTACTGATTGGTGCGGCTAGTTATTATTAATGAATATATATTAAAACGCTATTAATGATGGTCAATAAAAAAAAACTCACTTGTTTTCGGTGTTAAGTAAACCGATATCGCCGTTATAGGATCTTGACTAGGATCTCGATAGAGTTGTGTAACTAGCAAGTCATTATCTTTCATCCTGAGTGGAAATTTCTGCATATCTATAAAAACGAGATTGAATGATCAATATTACTAATAACTTTGAGATAACTTTCTCTGATATTTTATATAACTGTAAAAAACAAAAGTTTCAATTGAATCATAATGAAGAAATACCAATATAATTGATAGATCCGTTGTTGCATCCAAGTAAAAGGAAAGATCCTGCAGTGTCAAAAGATGAAATTGGTACTACATCCTGTATTTGCCAGTGATGAGTCATTGCATGCCAAACTCCAATTTTACCAGTGGGTGACAAAGCGACTAATTGGCTTCCAATAAAAAATAAATATTCTACACGGACATTTAAATTGAATGTACCAATGTTTGTCTTTATTCCATCTTCAGTCACACACCACAATCTCACTTGGCTACCATAAGAAATAGCCACCATTTTGCCTTCGGAACCCATTCCCATTTTGGCATTTATCGCTACTCGTTCTATAACTGACTCAACATGTGGACTTGTAAATACATGTTGCCATCCAGACGAGTCTTTTAATCTATAACAAGTTATGAAGTGTGCATAAGCTATTGCTATCCAGTTATGATGTGCTTTTATTATTTGAACTCGTAATGGATCAGCCCATCCTGAAACTATTAAATAATATTTTTCAGTAAAATTTCAATCGTAACTAAAAATAAATGTAATTGTACATATAAAAAAATAATATACCGGTTTGAGGACCAAACACTAGTCCTATATCATTTTTAAATAGCTTATTTAAATCTGCTGAACTATTTCTAACATGTCTTAGATCAAGGGATGATGTACGAGAATGAGGATGAGTTCTTTGTGTTACACGATAATCTGGAATAATAAATTGCATTTACGTATGGTTAAATAATTTGAATGTTTGTATAACCGAGTAGTAATAAGCATGTACTGATTGAATTTGTAGCAGAATTGTTTGAATTCGAAACTGCCTGTGTTGTTGAAGGTGTTTCAGTTCTAGGAGGAGGTGTCGAGGTAGAATTAGATGGTCTGCCATGAACAGACACATCACTTATAGTTGCAGAAACACTAGTTGGTTCTTGCAAAGGAATATCTGTTTGGAAAAGCTTTAATTAATCAAACAGTAGGGGAAAATGGCTTACTATTGTAGAGTGACACTTACTAGGAGGAGGTAAATAGCCATAAAATAATACATCTCCGCATGAAGACTGAGACAAATCTTCACACAACATCAGTCTTTTTACTAAAGGAGTTATTCCATAATACTCTGCCTCGTGCCTTAAAGTACGAATATTTACATCTTTCAAGTCGATATCTTTGGTTCTCAAATAATTGAGAATCACAGAGAAAATCTTTGGATCTCTGTCAATAAACAATGCTCCGCTGTCATCTCGTCTGCTGGCGATACGATTGCTCAGCAGCGCAGTGAAAAAGGAGTCGGGAATCCATGACAATGTTTGCCGTGATGTGGAAAACCTAGAAACGCAATTGAGAATGACCAAACATATTCATAATTTGTAATTGTAGGCTGACCATATGATCGAGTTTTACCTTGTTCCACCAACATTTAAATGTATGATTTCGCCCATACCAAGAGCGTGTGAAATAGCCATAGCTCGCAGACTATTAGCCGCAAGTCAAGTATCTACAAATTTATGGATGATTCTCGATGAATGTAATCGGCGGAAAACCTCATCGCTGCGGCAAGTGATGGATAATCATTGCACTCGGAACCAAAAGGCAAACGGAGATTCCGTAAGACGACATGTTGCGTCGTCGTTTGTGTCACACACAGCAGGGCAACAGCAAGCATCTTTTTTTTTCCTTCGGCGTTGTCTGCGCAGATGCCTTGGCGCATCTAATATTGACAGCCGCGCTTTCGCGGCGAAGCTAATGCTATTATTATTTATATAGATATACGAGGGCATTGCAACTTTGCAATCGATATTAAGCGTGAACCGTCTAAACAATTTTTGTCGAGCGAAAAAGTGCAAACTATAGCAGCTTGTGTTATAGCCTCGAAATAGCCTCGGAATACATTTAACTCCAAAACTGTTTGCTGCGTGGAAGACTCCGTTTTCGTCTACAAAAAATTGCAATACTGTTTTGTCGATTATTGTTACACTGAAACGAAATGGACACAGTTGCATAAATGTCTCATGGTTGAAATATTGAACATGGACATTTTGCGTTCGACTAATGACCTTTTTTAACAAATATAGAGACTATTTGTTTGACATTTTTTCGATGCAATACAATTGCGTTAAGTTTATGCGAAGGCGCGAAATGTTCTGTTAGATGGGTCGATTGTATGCACGCTCGCTTGTAGAGAGAACCGTAGAAAACACACACACACACACACATATATTTCTCCCTCGGATTTCTGAAAGAATGCTTTATTGTATACGATTTATTAGTTTAAATTAAGACACTTTTAACAACGTAATTGGCAACCGGACCAAAACTGTTAAGTGATAGAAACTCGATTGAAAATCTGGATGTCGTATCGAAAAAATTGCAATAATATATGTAACTTATTAATCGGGACGCCGTACAGAAAGTAGGACTTGGCCATAATGCGCTCAATAATTGGGCTTTCCACACGTTTTGCAAAATATGACCTTTATAAGGATCTATAACTTGCTTTCAATCTAATCAAATCAAGTGATTTTTATAATTCTTCATTCAATATATGTTGAAAATAATAAGTCTTATTTAGAAAATTTGCGGTTAGAAATTGTAACTTAAAATTTTAATGATTTCATTTACTGTTTTCGGTGGCTTGTCACTTTTCAGCAGATACGCGTGCTTCGTTTTCATTTTCGCTAATATGGAAAGGATAAAAGGAACAGGAAGATCAAAGTTAAAGAGAGAAAGATCATGAAACAAAGCAGCTATACAATGCCAATAAAGCCCTTTCCGTCTGCAAGAGAAACATGTATGATTATTAGGTGCAAGCGTGGCAAGATAATGATGGATGATGTACTAAAAATAGAGAAAAGCACGAGGTCTTGAGTACGCGTTTGGATGCAAGCTCGATAACTCGAGCCTATATAAAAATTTAAGGAGGTCAGCTGACAGCTGGGGATGCTGATTTATGTAGAATGATAAGCTGCGAAAAAAGTGATTGGCGAGTAGTAACTTATGTTCGGCCGGATAATGCCCTCGTAAAGTGCGGGTCAAATGCAAATAACCGTTGATTAGTTGAATAAAAGCTGGCAGACGTAGTTACCTATATGGGAAATTAGCGGTCTCGGAAGTGTCATCTAAATAGCTATAGTTGCAGGGAGAAGTCGATCGGATCGAGCGACAAGTTAAGTAGGAGTGAGTGAGAGAGAGAGAGAGCCAGTGGCTATCCGGTCGGCCGGGGTATACAATTACGAGGATGGGCAGCGGCGGCATTGAGTACGAGAGGCTGGTCTTACCGCTGAAGCTCGCTTGCCAGGCGTTCAGTTGCTGGCCTTACACGATACATCCGCTGTACCAGGCATTCGTGCTGGTGGGCTTGCTGACGTGGGTGAGCTCCTGCACAGCCGAGCTGCCGATGCTGCTGGCTGGCGACGACGTGAACAGGACGATCGAGGCCAGCTTGATCACCCTTGCCTCCTACATGACCGTGGTGCGTTTCCTGCTGTTCAGTCTGCGCCGCGAGGAGATGCTCTACGTGCTCGAGGTCATGCGCTGCGACTGGACGAGCGTCCAGGATAACGCCGAGGACGCGCGGCTTCTTATCAGCAAAACCCTCGGCACCTTCAGGCTCTCGAAGCTCTTCATGCTCAACACGTTTATCGCTGGGCTGGCCTTTGCCGTCTTGCCCGCGCTCGAGGTTCGCTTGTTGTTTCCTTTAGCCGCGACTACCCCGACTGTAGCTCGAGCTTCGGGTCGACGATTCGCGTGCAGCCGTGTTCTATCACCTGCCACGTGGCCGGCGTCAAATTTAACTGTACGAACGAGAGGCATCGTCTGGAATCGGCCGTTTTACAACGATTCGCGAGCTTTCCTTTTACAGTTGCCGATGTCGCTTCCTCGCCCGAGCAAGTTTTTAAGTTTTTTCAGCGTCGCGCTCGCCGCCTTACGATCAATCAAGATCTTTCGAATGTCAATGCCTGAAATAGCTGTTTCTATAGCCGTAATCAGCCATGTGCGGTCGTTATTTTTTGGCGTCCGTAGCAGCTCGTTTTTCCAGTTTTTTGTTTTTAATCTTTGGTCCCGGTACACGCGGCGACGCTCGAGACCGCAACGGGCGACGCCATCAAGCAAACGAAAAGAGCCGACCACTCGCGGGCATAAATCCGGGAGGGCTTCGTGCCGAAATATACGAGGCTGGAGCATTCGGTTTCAGGCCAATAAATAATAACGGTGGCGCCAGAAGACGCCGTCGGCAGAAAAATACGTTACGATCGACCGGCTTACAGCTCGAAAATTGCTCGGGGGAAGTGGCGGAAGCTCGGCTCGGGACAGACGCGCGTGCCGAGCAGCCGTTACAAGCGTGCGTTAAGCGTGCGGCGCAGCAAGCGTTTCTAGCCGGAGGCGACGGCCGCGCGGGCGTGCTCCCCTTCGGCGGCCGCTACTTCTTCAACCACACGAGGTCCGGCTCGGTCTACGCGGCCACCTACGCGGGCAACGCGCTCGTGGGCGGCATCGGCTGCAGCACGATCGCCGGCGCGACCTGCTTCAGCCTGATCACCACCATCCACGCCTCGGCCAAGTTCGCGCTCGTCCGCCGCCACTTCGAGTCCATCAGCCACGCCGAGTGGATGGGCCGCTCGACGGGCAAGTTCAGGCTCTGCGTGCGGGAGCATCAGCAGTGCATCAAGTAACCGCGGCCGATTCATCCGCGAGCGTCCAGAGTTGCAATGTACGCAGCGCGCTCGTGCGCAAGGTTTGCAGAGACGGTCGAACGGATAATCAACCTGCTGGCGCTCGCGCAGTTCGTCGTCAGCACGGGTCTCCTGTGCTTCGCCGGATTCCAGATGACCATGGTACCCGCCGACTGACGCGCACGAGCGCGAGTGCAAACCGATGACCGATGCCCAATGACCAACAGATGCTGAAGGACAGGGCTCGCCTCACCAAATACGGCTCCTTTCTCAACGCCGCCGTCTGCGAGCTGTTCATTTTCAGTTACAGCGGTCAGCGCTTGAAATCCGAGGTACGATTGCTCTGCGGGTGCAAACGTTCTACGAGGCGTGACCTCTTCGCTGTCCTCGCGCCGGAAAAGTCGGTCGCGCGTCTTCGTATATATCCTCGATCAAACGCTCGAATGTTCGTGCCATTGGCGAAAACGCATAATCAGCTTTCTCCTCACGCGCCTCTCTTGCCTTGCTCGCCTTTGCAGAGCCAGGCTGTCGCGGACTTTGCGCAGTTGACCAATTGGGTGGGAGCCTATCGAAAGTCCGTCGACATTCAAATAGTCATAATGCGCGCCAGCAAGGCCTGCACCATTACGGCAGCCAAGTTCTACGACATGACTCTCGAGGCATTTTTAAAGGTAAGCTGCGGCGCCAAGTGTCCATGCTCGCGAAACTTGACGTGTCATCAATGTTTACAACAGGTTCTCAGCTCCTCCTTTTCCTACTTCTCGGTGCTCGTCGCCAAGCAGGACGACTCATAGTCGACCAAGCGAATTACCTATCGCTTTCTGCACTGTTCTCGTCCTCACGTGTACATGAATAGTGTAAATAACGGCTACAAAAGCCACTTGATCACGCCCTCCTTAAGAATTTAATAAGAAAAAAGAAAAAATTGCATTCACCGCAGTACATTTGGATAGTTTACACTATGCCAATTAAAATAATTACAAAGCAACATTGTCATTCCGTACCGAATTCTAAGGAAAGCATTGCCGTTCGTACAAAATTAGCATAAAGCTTTTTCTTCTCGTGTATAGCCGTTGGGAAGTTATGCAAAGCAACCGCGCTCACGAAAACAATGCTACAGGGACGTTTCTTTGTAGATTGTCGGCCACGCTCGAAAAACGCATTAACGCGATATATGCGCGCAGTATTTTTCGTTCAAATATATCTTTTAGATAAGTGCTTTTATTTTCGTCGTATCGAAACGTTCTCGCGGTCTCGTTCGCACGAGACTCAACCAAATTATAACAGCACATTTCGTTATTGGTGCAAGAATTAAATGTGAACCTCGCATGGTCTCTTCACCCTTGGTACGCTCGAGGGCAAACGTCCACCCGAGGTCCAAATTACTTTCTCGCGCTAGTATCGAATACGTACCATACACAGACAACACCGCCGCTAAATAGAAAAACACTTGGTGAATGCACACCGCAGATCCATCGTCATAGCATAGCGTATATATATTTTTATAAATTCTTCTGTCGCTCGATTTTCTACACAAAGGCTAAAATAGACGCACACACGCGTAATGGAAAGCAGCTGGGACGCACGCAAAAGAGAAAGACGGAGAGGAGAGCTGTAAAAAGCGGTAGGCTCGTGCACAAAGAAAACAAGTAGCAGCAGCCACGAGATGATGTGTACAGTAATAGTCGCGCAACGGGCGACGGACAGGCGCAGTAGTACAAGGCGTCCATACGCGCGCGCGCGTGTGCGTGTCTACGTATACGTGCCGCGGCGCGGCCGGGGCAAGCAAAGCGAGCAACGCTGCTGCCTCTCTGGTAGTAGTCTGGCAGTAGTCGTCGCTCGCTCGTCAGAGTGAGAGGTGTCGTTTTGCCGAGCGCCGCGAAAGTCGTCGTTCTCGCGTATACCTCTTGCAGCTAAGCACATCCGCCCGGAGGAATAAAGAGAAAAAACATGGCAGCCTCGCGAGTGAGGCTGAGCTGTCGGCTCGCGCTGCTGGTGCTGCTGTTGGTCAGCGGCTGCGCCCGCGGCCAGGTGCGCATCGACGAGGTGGCCGTCTCCTCGACGAACGTGCCACGCGAGGCCGTCTCGCAGCTTCTCATCGAGAGCGCACTAAACTCGCTCAACGAGCGGAACACCTACAGAAACAGCCAGCTCATCGAGGCTCGCAAATTGGTAAGTTCTCGTTACTTTGCAAAGAGAGCGCGCTCCGTGGCGAGCTGTCGTGTGGACTTTCGCGTGCTGCTGCTGCTGCTGCTGCTGCTGCTGCTGGTTATTACGCAGGATTTCTAGATCGGTCGATGAAGTAAGCGCGCTCGAGAGAAGCCCTGGAGCGCTCGGAACCGTTGGCGGACTCGCGCGCGCTGCAGCGCGCACTTCGCATTTCCACTTTTTTTTTCATCCCGCGACGCTTTCTCGCGCATTGTTATCGCGTCTGCATTCGAAAGCGCGCTCCGTGACCTCTAGCCGTCGCCAGTTTTCTCACTCTCTCGCCATTATCGGCGCGCGATTATTTCGAGAGCACACAATTGGCGCATGCAACTTTGTTCAAGTGTGCCATTGTCACTCGCAATATTTACTCTCGGCAATATGAGACTCGGGTCTGCGGCGGCGAGGCGCACGCCTCGATTCGTCACTCTCTTCCCTGGACGTCGGGAAAAGCAACGCTCGCCTTGTTTATCCGGTTGCAGGTAAAGTCGCCGTACGTCATCTACCAGCTGAGGCTGAAGTTGGAGCCGGCGTGCGCCGACTCGGAGCAAAGTTGCAGCAACGAGATCTGCAGTCTCGACGTGCGTCAACACGAGCAAGGCGTGATCAACGTGATCGGCGAGTCGATCAAGTGCGACTCGACGGCGGAGGCCAAGGCGGCCGCCGAGAGGGAGACGATCGAGGGCTTGGAGCGGCAGGTGGTGAAGGGGCCGCCGAGCTTCGACAGCGAGGTGCAGGTGCACGAGGACCAGAATTATCGACCGTTCGTGGCGGTTCGTGCCAACCAGTCGGAGTACTGCCCGGGCTGCCCGTACGAGTTGAACCCCTCGCTGCCCGGGCTCACGGCCTTTAGCGAGCAGGCTCTGCGCTCGATGGACGAGGCCGCGGTCAGCGACTTCAAGCACAAGCTCGTCAGCATCGTGCGCGTCAGCCGCGCCGTGCCCGCCAATGCCAACCTCGTACGCTATCAGCTGCTCATGGAGATCGCCGAGTCCAATTGCCTCAAGAGCTCGCTCATCGAGCTGTCCGAGTGCTCCGCTCAGTCGAATCTGCCCATCAAGCTGTGCCTGGTCACCTTCGAGGAGCGCCCCTGGAGACCCGACAGCCGGCTGATCACCAACAACAACTGCACCGAGCAGCTCGGCACTGCCGACAACGAAGTCAGCGCGAACCTTCAGCCCGCCAAACTCGGAAAATCCTCGGAGATTGCTGCCAAGCCAGTCGACGAGCCCGCCAGTACGGTCAAGCCCGAATTCTTCGACCAGATCGCCCAGGAGGCTCAAGAGGTAGCTCGCGTGCCTTCGGCTCAATTGCCTGGGCAAGTTTTCCAAAAGACCGACAATGTCGAAGCTGTCGACGCGAGCGAGCTGCCGCACACCAAACCCCACTTCAGCGCTGACAAGCTTAAGGAATTCGACGAGTTCCTGCAGGATTTCGACGCTCCCGTCAAGTTCGAAGCCACGACTGTCAAGGATTTCGGTGAACCCATCGACGAGGAGCCCACGAAGAAAGAGCAGGTCGCCACCAACAGTCCCAAGGAGGAAATCACGGAGGACAAAGAGGCGGCGCCCGACGAGCAAGCCGCAGCTGCCTTCAAAGACAAGTCCACCGCGATTGCCGATGCGGCCGTCGAGACTGCGAGGATCAAGAGAGATTTAACGCAGAAACCAGTGGAGAATAATAAGGCGATGCTCAGAAAATTGACCGTGAAAGCGATCGAGCTGGTGGATCAACAGGACGACGATGACAAAAGGAAACGCGTGATCGACGTCTTGGGCGTGGACAAAGAAAGACGTGATTCCAACGTAGTTTATTATCTGACCGTGGAAGTTGCACCGACCGACTGCTCGGAAAAAGATCAGTCGACCGAGTGTCTCGATGAGGTAATAATACCTGGATCCACCGAAATTTGCAAAATTAGTGTCGCCACGAGCGAGAAAAAACCATTGCAGTCACCGAAGTTACTGCACTACGATTGCAAGTACAAGCAAAAGTCGGAAAGCCGATTTAAGCGCGAGAATATCTTGGGAGGTCAAGAGCCGCACGATCCAGAAGATCCGAAAATCAAGAAATTCATTGAACTCGGCTTGCAACAATACTCGGCAAACTATCATGGAACGCATGAACCTATGATCAGTAAGGTCAGAAATGTCACGGTTCAGGTCGTGTCTGGGTTGCTGTACAGAATCGAGACTGACATTGGCTCTAGTACCTGCAAAAAAGGCGAAACGTTGAATTGTCAATTGAATACGGAGAAAGAATCGAAACAATGCATCATTGAGGTATGGTCGCAACCTTGGATGGACAAGGGCAATCCGAAAATCAAAGTCAAGTGCGATCAAGATAAACGTGAAAAACGTTCGCTGCGAGGAGTCAATTACAGTGTGAAAATGTTACAGCAGTCCAGACAGCTGAAGGAAGAGAAATTGTTTCACGCTTTCATCGATAAATACAAGAGGAAATACACATCCGAAGAAGAGAAGGAAAGGAGGTTTAACATTTTCCGCAATAATTTGGATATGATAGAAGAATTGCAAAGAAATGAGCAAGGCACGGGTCGCTACGGAGTCACCCAATTCGCCGATCTCACCAAGGCTGAATTCACGGCAAATTACTTGGGCTTAAAACCAGTATTGAGGTCTGACAACGATATACCATTGCCGAAGGCCGAAATTCCAGACATTGAATTACCAGAGAATTTCGATTGGAGACACTACAACGTTGTAACTCCAGTAAAGAATCAGGGTTCGTGTGGATCCTGCTGGGCTTTCTCGGTGACCGGCAACGTTGAGGGGCAATACGCGATCAAACACGGCAAATTGCTGTCGTTATCTGAGCAAGAACTAGTAGACTGTGATAAGCTTGATAGTGGATGCAACGGTGGACTGCCGGATTCCGCTTATAGGGCTATCGAAGAGTTAGGAGGCCTGGAATTGGAGTCTGATTATCCCTACGAAGCCGAGGATGAAAAATGTCATTTCGATAAGAACAAAGTTAAAGTTTCTATTGTATCCGGATTAAACATTACTAGTAATGAGACGCAAATGGCTCAGTGGCTTGTTCAGAATGGCCCGATGTCTATTGGAATCAATGCTAATGCTATGCAGTTCTATATGGGAGGAGTTTCTCATCCTTTCAAGTTTCTCTGCCGCTCTGATATTGATAGTCTTGATCACGGCGTTCTTATTGTCGGTTATGGAATAAAAAGTAAGTTACGCCATTTTTAATTTGCTAACTTTTAATATAACAACTCATTAACCATTTTTTCATTTTATTTTATAGCTTATCCCATTTTTAAAAAGAGCATGCCATATTGGTTAATCAAAAACAGCTGGGGTCCACATTGGGGCGAGCAAGGTTACTACCGAGTATACCGTGGAGACGGAACCTGCGGGGTTAACCAAATGGTTACGAGTGCAGTCATCGCCTAAAAAGGAAGACTCATGGAAATTTGTCATCTAAACCTCGATTGTTCGATTTAAAAAGTAAGTTTAAGAGAAATCAAATACAAGAAATTCACTTGAATTTAATGAAAGTTTCGAGAATTCAAAATTTGCGTGTGTTTTTGTGCAGATACTTAATATTATACACAAATACAAACAAATTTATACGCGAAACCAAGACATATGACAACGACATTGTCGTTCTTTAAATAAATAATTATAGGATAAATTATTCTTTTTCTACGGACTACTTAAGATAAACTAGTAGATAACTCTATATAAACAGATGCACTGAAGTAAAAGAAATATTATTTGTTACATGACATTGATAGAGTTTTTGTACAAAGTTTGCTTTATTAAAAAGTTTTTGTTAATACTCTTTTACTGATCATTGTAAATTATTCAATACTTTTTATTTTTCCTTTTATGTATTATATAACATGGCAAATACTTGTTATGATATAAATCTGTATATTATAATCTATGTATTTATACTAATCTCAACGCGTGTGCCAATGTTTTGTACGCAAAACGAATATTCAAATTACATATTTTTGTTAAATAATTAATTTTCAAAGCTTTGCACTGAAAATGTTTGTAATATTTGAAACTTAATTGTGATATTTTTTCAAAGGAAATGAATAAATAACATTACAAACAATAAGTATTTCAGATAAAAAAGTTTATTTGATGATCATGTACTCCAATGTTATTTTAAGTTACACGAAAACTATACAGAATTTGCTACACATCGTGTACCAACGCATTTATTTTCTTTTTCGCACATCTAAAATCCACCTAAATAAAGTAAATAGATATGTAAGGTCCTTTTAAATGAAATCAATATTCAAAATCTTTTATTTAGTTCAATTGTTTTTGAAATTGTAGGTCAAATATATTTTTTCCAATTGATTCGCAATAAATTAACGACGATTGGATTTTTAAAACTAAAAACAGCAAGCATCATGCGATACATTATTAATATATATCAATGTTCTCGTACATAGTATCACGTGCGTCATTATGTGTGTAATAACGATTTTGTCTTTGTCTTGAAAAAGAAAAAAAGGAAGTAATAATAGACAAACCAATTCAACAACGAAAAATATAATGGATGAATCGTGTGAATAACTCTTCAGTCAGAGAGAAATAATGTACAAATACTCAATATAAGATAGCCTAAAGGAGGAAAAAGCGTAGATATACATAAAAGTATAGTCGACAACAGCATGATAGCTGGGCAAAAATTGGAAATATAGACTTAGTGAGTTTCAATCCACATGGACCTCAACGTGCTTTCATATGAGTGCGACAGAATACTCGATGATAAGGTATAGCGCGCAAAATACAGATGGGACAAGTATCTCAGATTGATCCACTTGAATCTACTCATATAAGTATTTTTAATAATAATTATACGAGCCCCATTGATTGTACGGAGCATAAGCTTGTGGACCACTTTGGCCGTACTGCCAATTTTGATAATTAGCATAGTTTGGATCCGAGGGTGGTGGATACTGTTGATAGCCTTGCTGGTAACTGCTTTGACTACCATATTGACCACTCTGGAATTGTTGTTGAGATTGATAAGAGGCTGCACTGCTACTGTACTGGTAGGACTGCGAACCGACTGGCGCTGGAGGGGCATTCGACGTATCTGTTTTTGTTTTCTTTGGTGGCGTTACGTCACTGTTTGAAAAGATAAAAAAAGAAATTAAAAAAAAATACTAGAGACATTTCGCAGTTGAAGCATGAAATAAAGTCAACGAATAGCAACACTTACGATTTGTCATCGTTCTTCGTCTTTTTCCTTTCCTTGGCTTGCTTTATACATTTTTGAAATTGTTCGTGCGCCTTCAAAACTTGACGAATGTCGGTACTAAAATCTTCTAGAAACTCAACTTTACGTTGAGCAAATAAAACTCGCTGCTCCGCATCAGCATGCTCGCGATCTATAAACAGGTCCATGTAGCTCACGACTTCTTGAACATTGATTGGAGTTCTTTGAAGACCCAAGTCTATTAATTGCAGGTACAATCTTGGATTGTCTTTATCTTTCTCTGTAGCCTGAAAAACAGACATTGAAAAGTGCATTAGATGAGTATGAACGAAAAAACATCATCGTTATGCCGTTAAAGCAATTACCTTCAGTAAAACTTTGACAGCTCTATCCGTCTCATTCTTTATTTTACACAAAAATCTTGCATATTTAACGACGATATTATTGGCTATTGTCCTGTTTTTACTGCTATTTACGTAGTGCTCGTACAGGCTGCATGTTTTTTCTAAATCCCCTCGCCTTCGCTCAATGTTTATCCTTCGATATGCTACTTGCAACATGTTTGGTATAACGCTGTCGATATTTTCGAGAATACTGGCTGCGCTATCAAAGTCGTTCTGGCTTTCTTCGAACGTCGCCCACTGTAAGTGAAGGTTGGGCTTTTTTGGATGATGAACTTTGCATGCTCGAGTATATACATCGCGAATTCTCTCGATATTATCACCTTTTAACGACTCCAGATATCTGATGTACTGCAAGAGGAATCAAAAAATTAATTTGCGACGAGACAAGACAAAAATGAGATAAATTGACAGAAAAACTTACTCTGAGCCAAAATTCGTCGTAAAGTGCGCAAGCAATGAGACACCTTTCGAAAAGAACAACTATGCGATTCTGATCTTTCTGTTCAATCTCGTAATCTAAATATTCCTTCCAATTTTTCAACTGGCACCTTTCCAGAGGCTTGACGTGAAAGTAAGGCCTTTTGATCTGTTAAAGAGCCAGGAAGAAAATGCTAAGTAAAATAATGTTTATTGCACTCGAGAAAAAGAAACGAAAGCGAAGTTCCTTACTCCCTCTTCAAAAGTCCACCTAGCTGCCACGGCATTCACATTCATCTTGTGCATTTTCCTTCTGCTGCTGATAATTTTCTCGCGAATGGCGCGAGTCTCTTCATCGGTGGGTGGCGTCTCGTTGGGCGGAAGATCTTCACCAGGTGGTGCATCGTCATCACCTGTCGTTGTATCTTCCGCTTTGAGCAGAGCTTTGACTTCGCCGCGTAAAGCCAGAAAGTCGTCGACGTTCAAAATACGATTCGGACTATTGTTCGTGATAAATTCTTGGAAGGACTCAAAGTGCGACATGTAGCCTAGGGTTGGGGTATTCAAAAGTCTATCGTAGATCGCCATGACTTTTGCATGGCGTTTGTTTTCCGTCTCCCATTTAATGTAACTTTCCCAAAGCCGATCGGATCTGCACAGGATAAACGAATTAATAACCAGTTGGCAACAACAGTCAGATAATGCATGAACATATTGGAATGAGGTAGCAAACCTGAATTCGAGACCACAAGCGTCGATAGCTCTTTCGTATTGCTCTCTCATTTTCTCCTCATTTTTCTCATAAAGTACTTTACAGTGATTGATGTAATGCAGCCACAAGTCGACGCTAAGAGAGATGGCTTTGAGGCCTTGATCGAATACCTGTGTAAGAATGATCGTGATGGATTATAACGAAGAATGGCAGATAGACCGGTAGGTAATGATCTAGTATCGCGGAAAACCGAGCGATCGCGATCGGCTGAGCGATATATGTAGAGCAGCATATATTGAGCAGCAGACGGATCGACGTGTTTATTATATATACTTAATTTAATGCCAACTTAGACCTAGGCTATGTTAAAATAGTGTGTATCCTAGATTATCTCGTCTCGATCTTATATGCATAATTTGATGTATAGTATTGTATGTATAATATACAACACTATTTGATAAGCTTTTTTAGCGACACCTCACGAGTACCGTGTCGCTTTTTTTTGGTAACTTAAAGTACTTTGTTTTGCTTTTTTGTACTTAACGTGTTTTTCATACTCACGTAACATAAACATACTACTCTGTAAATAAATAGTCGTTATTAAGAAGACTGAGAGATTGCTGAGCATTGTGCATTCACCTTTAGAATGGGGGAAGAATTCCGCGCGGTTCGAAGTGCCTTCCCGTCCGAATCGAATGTTATCTTCTCATTCCCTCTTTCTCTTTCACTTTGTCTATTGACACCCTCTCTTGCTTGTCGCGTTCTCTCTGCGTTGTGCTCGGCCGGACGCCCAAGCTATTAAGCCACGTCACTTGCGAAAGCAAGTAACGAGCGACAAGGGCACCCTTACTTTCTCTCTCTATCCCTCAATCCCCCCTTCTTTTCATACATTTATTGTTCTCTTTATCATTGTTATAAAGGTCTTTTACAATTTTCAACTTTTAGCTCTCGGATGTATAAGTATATAGTAGTAGCATATGTACAAGCGCATAGTACATCAAGTGTAATAACAGAAAACAACACAACGACAACGACAGCAGCAGCACACATGTTTTTTGTTTCTACATCAAGAAAAAGAAACAAAAGCTCGTATCCGACTTACTTAATTACGTATCGTATAGCACTCTTATAATACTTATAATACTTATAGTAATCATAATTGTAGTTGTAGTAGTAATAATAGAAACTAAGTAATAGCATGTAATAGCACTGTGGTACGGATAAATTATAATGTAATGATTTTTCTAGTTGATAAGTCGCACGAGTGGCTAATTGGTAAACGAGGAGAGTCGCATAGGTGCCGCAAGACGTGCTAGGCTGTTGAAAGGGAAAATCATAATTTACGTGCGTGCACAACACAGTCCACGCGATTTCCTAACACCAACTAGTATTTGTTTATCATATTGTATTAGATAATTAAATACTGTATTATACTTAAAGTACTTCATTTTTTGCATTGTATACACAATAAAAAAAAAATTAAAAAAAATAAAACTTAACCTAACTGAGATATCTTCTGACGAAGTATAAGTGACACTCACCGTTTGTACTCGCTCGGGATCACCTTTTTTCTTCTCGTAATCGGCATACTTGCGCCAGTAACCGTAGCAGTACGGGTAACGTTCCAGAAATTTACTATAAGCTTCGCGAGCTGCTTCGGCATCGTTCTAAAATAACAGTTCCATTTCGGTCGACTCCTTTTGAAACTTGCGTGGATTGTTAGAAAAATTATAATCATTCCTTACCTCCTGATCAACATATTGTAAAAGATATGTCCAGCCAGTGAAATCCGATGGATCGTCATTCACGGCTTTCCAATACTTTTCCAACTCAGGTAGAGATTTTTTTTTGGGAGAGGCAGGTTTTGTATCTGATTTTTCGCTTAAATCCGTTGAAATGGTAGCTTTTTTAGCAGGAGTTTCATCGTTGTTTTCAGATGTAGGCGAGCTAGGGTCGTATTCACCTTCGGCAGTTCTCTTGCGTTTGTCTAAAATAAAAAATTTATTTGTCAAAGTATAAATGACAAATTTGTCACTTTTTAAACAAAATGAGAACAATGTATCTTACTCGTCCCATCAGACTTCGTTTTTTTGTCAGATTTACTGGTGTTTTTGCTACCTTTTCTCTTTTTTTCACTTTCAAGTGGCAATTCATCTTCAGAAACTGACTCAGTCTCGCCTAGATCAGCTGGTTGAGCTGCTGGTAGTTCTTCATCTGATACTGCTTCAGTTTCTGGTTCCTTTTGATAACAAAAAGAAATAAATTTAGCATAAATATTTTAAAAAGATATACAGTTATTTAGTGATTAGTACTTGCAATATATATGACATTGAAGAGGATGATTTTACTTTATAACATTTATGGGTGGAATAGAGTTGCTTTTCAATATTAAGCAATACTTTAGGACCAAGGAATATGTAGAGAAAAATTTTTGTGCAGATAAATAAGCATGAACAGAACAATATCAACAGTTATTTAACAATTATTTATAAAAACTCACCTTTGCAGCAGCTTCCGCTGGTAATTCATCTTCTGATACAGCTTCTGTATCTGGCTCAGTTTTCTTTGTCGGTAAATCATTTTCCTGATCACTAATTTCTATAACTTCATCACTATTAATCCCTTTGGTATTTGATTTAATTTTACTACCTTTTCTCTCTGAAACATTAGATACATTCTGCTATCATCTTTTGTATAAATCAATTTGATAAAGCTGAATAATATTAAGCAATAATATTTATAATTATTATAATAAAGATAAGTAATTAATTTTTATTACCTTTAGGCTTTGGTTCTTCTAAGTCATCTAAACCAAAGTGATTGTCTGTGTCATCTTCAATTAAAATGCATTGATCATCTGCATCATCATCCTATAAAATAATAGTTACAATTTATGTAAGAAGAAAAAATGCAATATTTAGTATAAGTACAGAATAAATATATTAAAATTAACATACCATTGCATCTACTGATTTTTTCTCGTGTGACTGATCATTGTCATTATTGACAGGAGGTGCATTATTTGTATCCGCTGGAGCAACAAAACTTGCATCAGTTTCAGTAACATTGTCTTCCTCTTGACTACCTGGCATACTTTCAGGATCAAATTCAGGAATGTTTTCTTGTTCCTGCAGAGGGGCATCGTCAGGCAATGTTTCATGGCACTCGTTCGTTTGGTTTTCTTGCTCACTCTCACATTCATTCATTGGTTCATCGCCTTGGGGTTGATTTGTGTCTTCTTCATTCTCAAGAGTGGCACTTAATTGTAATTGTATAGCACAACTATCTTGATCTTCTATAGCTTCTTGTTGCATTCCATTCTCAGATGTTTCATTGTCATCTTCCATAAGAGCACTATTTTCCTAAAATTAAAAATAACTATTCTTATAAACTAATCCGTGAAAAAATAAAAAACTGTCAATTTGCTTGAAAAAGTTATAATTATCAAGATATAATTTGAATAAATATTGATACGTAAATATAATTCATTCTTTACCTCCTCAACTTCTTGAATGCTTTTTGCAGCTCGAGTAGCTCTTGTGGCTTTTTTCGCTGGCGTTTTCTTTGGGGTTGCAGCGACAGCTTTGACTGTCCTGCCAGACCTTGTGCGTCTCACTAAACAGAAGAGTTGAGATGAAACATTAAATTGACAATAAGTATTGAATTATACATTCGAAACAAATACATGCTTTAAAAATATAGGTCGGGCACAATTTCAATGAACATTTCAGTTATTCACAAAAATGAGGAAGCGATACGTAACGATCGGCACAATATATTTATACATGTATATTGTCGTGGGCAAGCGATGAATACGGATGTGTACGTGGGACGCCATTTGCGCAATGGCGGCTCGCGCTCCAAGCATTTACGCGGCACGGCAACGTGCACTTGGGCTCGTCGATGATTGTTTTCTACAATCTATTGGCACTTTTCCATTACAATTCAGCATTACCAATTATCGGTGCTAATAGTTCAGGATAATTGACATGTATTTCAAGAGAAATACCTGGTTCATTTTCGACGAGCTCGCTATTCTCGTCACCGCTCAAGGACGACATTTTTTCGCAATTGATTCGTCAACTTATACTATCACGTTGCAAACTAGCACTTGGGTGTCCAATGATACTTTGTGTTCGCAAACCTCGCGGGAAAATTCATTCGCACCAGACACCTTCACTCTTGCCTCTCGTTTTATCGTCTCTAATTTTGCGTTTATCGTGCAATGGCTGCGCACTAACACACAACTGAATATTCGGTTCTCTGCAAGTTCCGACAATACAAGCCGAGACAGTATAGTAGTGTAGCTGCGGCTTATAATGGTGGTAGCAAGTATCCTGTACTACCAACAGCCGGTAGGTCGTTGATATTAACAAATTATTTGTATATAGGTTAGTCATAGAAAACATCTGTCTGTTTTCTTTTTTCTTTTTATACGATTTAGAATTAGAATAGATTAGATACGATTTAGACTTTATACAGGTTTGATTTGGTATGACTAGTGTAGTAGTATGTCAATTATGTGATCGGTGTGCTATAGTGCCTGTGTTTTGTTGAAAAATTCATTTGCCGGCAACTTAGTTATTATAGTTTATAGAAGCAGGAGCCCGTAGTTTTATAGTATAATCATTTCAAATTAAATATCGACTTCAGGAACGTTTCGTTGTCAAATAATCTATATCTGCCAGGAATATTAGTGAGGTCGAAACTCGAGGTGAATGTGGACTGCAGTTTTTATCCAACAAACTGTAAGTAGTATAGTATGAAAATTGTTAATTTCGTCTTACAAATGCATTAGTTTTAAAAACTAGTATCAAAAATAATAAAAGTAACATGTAATTTTGGTTTTGTTTATATTTTACTCACTTATAAATTGTGTATTTATTATGTTTTGAAAGAATATATAGATGTAAAATGCAGGAATTTCAAACTTGCTAAATTCTTTACATAAATCATGAAATCAATTTTACAGAGTATCCCCAGAAATCATGACTACTTGGGAATCATCAGATAAGCTTATTAAAAAGGAAATAATACAAAAAGGCAGCTTCTCACAGAAGCCAACTGAAATGTCTGCTTGCAATGTGTACATAGACAACCTTAAATCTGTAAATTTATCTGTTGAACAGATAAAAAATTATTTGCACAGTGAAATCATTGAAGCAGCTGGAATTCAAGTCATTGTTATAGGCCATGCATGTTCAACGGTTGACAGATGTATTGAAAGAGCTGTTCAAACAATGTCATTAAATGAGCAAAGTTTGACAACAATAAAAGTTATACCTAATGATTTAGCAATGGAGAAAATTATACTAACATTAGAACTAACTTTGAAATCATGTGAGTTTTATAAACCTATTTGGCTATGGACTGAAGAAGAAAAGTATGAGAACGCTATGAAATATAAACTAAAGGGAGTTGAACTTTTCAAAGCAAAAAGGATTGTTGATGCATTTTATAGATTTAGTAAAGCATGTAAAATTTTAATAACTTTAGAGCCACTAGAAGATATTGATAAACCATTAGAATATAAAATTGTAGAACTAAAGCATATTTTGTACAACAACATGGCTGAATGTCAATTAATAAGAAAAAATTATGACAATGCCATAGCTTTATGCTGTAAAGTATTAGCTAAAGAAGAAAATAATGTCAAAGCATTATACAGAAGAGGTGTAGCATATGGAAATTTGAGAAATTACAAGAAGGCAATTGATGATTTGAAAATAGTTGTATATTTAGAACCTAATAACAGCAGGGCGCTAGAAAAATTTAATTATTACAATGAACAATGGCGTAGTTCAGTTCACGCTTATGAAGATATGGTAAGGAAAATGTTCAAGGTTTAAATAATCATGATATTGACATATTTGTAAGTTTGTAAATTTTTTAGTGTTTATATAGAAATAAATTTTGAAGACAATGTTATATAAAAATACTTATTTATTTTCACATGTCCTTTCTTACACCAAGTAGATCTATTTTTATTATTTTTTTTTACAGAATTTGAATTCAATTGTAATTAAAAAGACTTACACCTTCCTTGGGATCTACTTTTTATTACAAAATTAACCATCTAAATTTCACAAATGGTATTTATAACGTATAAAAAAAAATAGAAAAAGTTACAATGTTTGAATTTTTATTAAAATGTTTTTAATATATTAGATTTAGTAATAGATTAAAAAAAAGACAACTTCATTAGTTAACATTAAATAATGAAACAGTATAACAATAAGATTTTTTTACTCATCATAAATAATCAAAACCTTCACCTGACAATCCAATTAATAACATTAACATTTGCAAACCTATTCAACGTTATTAAAATTATATGACTATATTAGGTGAATTTTTATATATAAAGCGAGCCGCGTTTTAATATAAAAGGACATATATTATTTATCCTTTTTGATTTCGTTTTAAACTTAGAATATTTGATGAAAATATTTGACAGCTATAATAATTATTTAAATGGCAAGATCTTTTGATATAATTTTATGAATGTCGATTAAAATAATATATCATCATCAGCGCTATGGCATATTTGAACAAGTCGATGAAAAATCATAATCTGTTCAACTATAATAATGGGCATATGAAATCATAGGATATTTATCAGTATAAAGTTTAATTAGATTTTGTTGGAAAAATTTATAACATAGCGACTCAGATTGTGATTAGCAAATAAAGAAAAAAGTTTATGCAATTCTATGATGTAAAAAGACAGCAGTATCAGTATAGAAATGTACAATAAAAATTGAAAGCTACCAAATGAAAATATGAAACATCATGCTAGCATCCTGAACATTTGAGACACGTTTGGAAAGCTCTGATGCCAGTAAAAAGAATAGAAAAAATAGACTCGAATTCATACTTTTCTGCTAATATTATTCCTTAGTATTAAGATGTGTTTTGATAACAAGATGATATACAAATTATTGTAGTTGGTATTCAAAAATTTATAACAACCTAACACTGATTCCTAATTTACTGTACAAACGTCCAAATCTTGATAGCTGAGCTAAATGTATCTGAAAATGGTGGCAAAATTACCAACAGTTCCAAATCTAACTTTTTCTAACTTATTTTTTCACATTTTTATGATCTTAATCAAATATACCTATTCAAGGGACACGATATTCACTTTTAATACCGTTGTATTTTGTTCTTTTGTAAATTTTTGACACCATCCAGAGAGTAAACATTACGACAACTTCGGTTTACCATTGGCAGTAACACTGGCACCCATTGTTGCATTTGTAGCTATTTCAGCAGCTTGTACTACTGCCACATGTACAGATTTTTCCACAAACTGCTGATACACTGGTTTCATTAACTGGACAAAAGAAAAAGATAGAATATAAAAAATTTAAGTTATTACAGTAAATATAAGTTAATGCTTTGTATTGTAATAAGACCAAGTAGCTACACTTAACGGTTAATTGTTCAATTTTTGTTTGTTGCCAATAAGAATAATGAAACATATGCCTTTAATGAAAACCATTTTGCTCTTTATTATGTAACGATTATTTAAGAATAAAGACATTATGAAAGTATAGTTTTGTTACAAACTGTGCAATTAAACATTTATGTTTCAACATTATTGCACAAAAAACATTAGTGCTATTCGTAACAGCAGAAGTGTTAGAAATACCATAAAGGTTACAATAAAATTAAAGTATTCACGCAACGACGATCATACCTTAATTGAGCACTGATCCTTATATTGCTTCAGATTGTAAACGAGAGAGAAAAAATAAATAAAAGAATGATTTATGTATGTTTATCAAACGAATAAAAATAGCAGGCTAGTTCAACGAACAAAAGAGATATAAATATGAGGGGATCAGCAAATTAACCACAACCAAACAAAATAAGTGAAGAATGTAATGTATTGGATAGAATCAAAATTATGCAATGAAGACTGAATTATATCAGATGAAGCGATACTTGTGTAGGTAATTATAAAAAAATGCAAGGGACGGTATTGCAAAGGACGTAAGGATCACGGATATAACAAGGTATCTTAGTTTATGCACGAGGTGAGCACAATGCCAGGCCTGTAGGAACAAAAAGTGCCGTAAGTTAGTTTGGGCCTACGTTATTGTTAAAATTGCGATGGTTTAATTAAGTTAGTATTTAACGATTATAGGTCTAAAACTATCATTGTGATTGAAAATCAACCGAGTTGATCAACTTGTTGAAATCAAAGAAATAAAGTAAACAACACTTTACTATGGAACTATGAAAGTAACTGTGAAAGACTAAATAATACTTACATTTTCCCATATCATAGTAGCTAGATCGTCGATAGTGGTTCCCAATTCACGAAATTCTCCGCTATACCTGTGAAAAAGTAAACATCAACGTAACTTGGCGAACTCGGATAACATAGAAGTAAAAAGAATGAAAACGTACCGAATATATGACCAGAGTACAAGTGTGAGTAGGGCGATACCCATAATGAGGTTACAGATATAAGACAAGGTGTAAAGACCAACCAGACCAAGTATCCCGGAAGCTATGTAGGTTGCCACAGCTATAACCACAAACACCGCGGGAGTCCGTCCAGCTTTGAAAATGTTTTTGCTCTCATTGTGCGCTTTGAACTGTTGAAAAGAGTCTTCTATGTCCTGCAATTGAACGTAAACCATAAGTAAGCCAATGAGAACAAATAATTAATAAAAAATACAAGTTCGACCGAACCTTTTGCAGCTTCTCCATGTACATTTGGCTAAACTCCTCTCCACCCATTTTTCTTTTATTCTGGAATTGATGCAGAGCTTTGTCCACGCAACGGTGGTGCTCGGACTCGAGGTGAGCAGTGGCAAGGAATGGCTTGGTCCCGCCGCACACACACTCCATCATGCTGAGATAGAGATCCTTGGCCTCAGCAACGGCTGAGAGATTGTTAGCCTCGGCAGTAGCAACGAGCATACTCTTGGGCTCGGGTAACTCGTCTCCCTTATAAATCTTGATATAACTCTTGAAGTACTCGAGGAGCTCGCGAGCTTTCACCACTTGGCCGTTGATCTTTTTGGTGACGAGATTCTCGGGGGCGAGCAGCATGGGAATGAGGCGTCGCAGCTGCTCCTTGAACTCGCTCTCGATCTCGGCGAGACGTCCGTCGAACTTGGGATTGGTGGCGATCGTCAATCCCGGATGCGGCATGAGGAAGCAGGAGATCTCGCTGAAGCACGACGCGATGTGCTTGCGCAAGCTCTGCAGCTCGGGATGCTGCGCGTCCGAGATCTGCAGACGCCTCTCGAGGATCTTCTTGCCGCCTTCGGCACCGTAAGCCGCCTCGTAGGGATAGCTCCAGTCGCGCACGAGGAACTGCAGTCGCTGGAATGGCGTGCTGCCCGAGCGTTCTAGAGCGAGCCTGCCATACTCGGTGAACAGCTGAAGATGCTGCAAGTCGTCCTCCTGGATGTTCTGCGACAGGTTGTAAATCTGCACGGACGACAGCATCGTGCTGAGCGCGAACACCGTGGCGCAGTCCCGAACCGTCGACTGACTGTCGAAGGCGCCTTGCGTGTCCATCAGCAGCACGGCCACGTGCTCGCCATTCGGCAGCGTGGCCGGGAACACCCTCGACCACACTAGAATGCCGGTGGTGTCGCGCTCGCTGCCGCCTCGCCACGAGAATCCGCTGAGCGGGTCGTGCTCGCCTCCCAGCCAGTCGTCCTCGTTGCTCGTATGTCGCTCGTTGCTGCCGGTGCCGTTGCCGTAGCGACTGTTCATGTAGCGCAGGAAAAAGTCCAGCAGGAAGCTCTTGCCCTTGCGGAAAGCTCCTGCCACCGAGACCACGACCACGCTACGCTCGCGCACGTCTTCCGACAGCAGAATCTTCGCCAGGGCCTCCTCGTCCAGCTCGAAACTGTGATCCGGATGAACGTGGATGACCTGCACTGCTCTGCCCATGTCGTCGTCGTCCTCTTCCTCCTTGTCCCTGTCAAGCTTCAGGTCCTGGACCCTCTCTCGGCCTCGTCTGCTTTGCTCTGTGAAGCAAAGCGGCTTCGTTGTTCAACTAGCCCGTGGGCCAGCAACGACCACTCGTTTTCGGAGCAAGACTCACCGGCTCTGTCGGCCATGCTGCTGCTGTTGCTCTGCCTCGGCCGGGCGCGCTTCGGATTATCGTCGAGCGACGTCATCGGTGCTTGCGAAGCTGCAATCACAAGGAGCGTGTTTGAGAAAACCAAGCCAAACGAAGCGAAGGAAGCCAAAGATTTACATCTCGGCGCTAGGTGCTGCATTATGCGCGGCGGCGGCACGACCACAGCCCTATCGAGGATTCGCTCGTCGGCTCTGTAGTTGGCCTTTCGGCTCCTGCGAGGCGGCGGCGATCCGGAGGAGGTCGCGGCTCCCGACCCGTCGTCCTGCGGCCGTTTGTGCAGTATCACGGTACGCTTCCTCTCGCTCATCCTTTATCGTCTGCAGCGCTCGACCAGTCAGCTCGTGACTAAGCGCGCGCGCGCGCGCCAACGGCTTATTTTACTCGCGGGCTCGCAGCAGACGAGAGCTTCTTGGGCCTCGCGCTGCCAAGAAGCGCTGCTTTTCACCCGAAATAGCTTGGGCTTACTCGCGGACTCTATGCCGCATCTTTGAACTTTAGAACTAGAATCACTTGCCAAAATCGCTTCGATTGTGCGACTTTGAGTTTCGCAAGTGTTCGCTGCACGGACGGATCACCGAAAGTGCGCTGCGGGCCGCGCGAGTGCAGCTCTCGAACTGACTTGCGGAGACTCGCGCCTCGCTCGCGCGTAAAAACCCGTCGCCCGATTATGCATCTGCACGACTGGCCGTGTACCAGCTGTGAGTAAGTATTCGAAAAAAAAAAAGCGTCCGCGAAATACGAGGAGAAGAACCATGCTCGTCACTGATGCGGTGATGTCGCCACGCTGACAGCGCTCAATAACATTTGACTTTCAATCGCGTCGACCCCGACCTCCTCGGCGCGCAGGAAAAGCCGAAACTGCGTTTTGCGCACCCACGATCGTCGTTGTGCTAGCGCTCGACGCCTGCTCATTAGCGAGCGAGCCGAATTTCAGCGACTTTCCCACGCGACACGCACGCGCGCGTTATGTTATTCCCTGGGCGCCGCGCAGCGAGAAAACTGACTTTCTCCGCCGCGTGACGACAGCGAGCGCCGCGCGGCTTCGGAAATGGGATCTCACCTCGTTGCGCCGAGGGGCATTTGCGAATCATCGCGCCGTACGCGCGCAATTAGCCGGCCGCCGTGAAATTGTCGTCATTAACGTCGTCATCATGGTCGTCGCCGAGCGCCAAGAAGATACGCCGGAAAGGACGTTATCGAAGGACGACGAAAAAAAAGCGCATCGCGCGAGATCGATCAATTTGTCGCGATTTCACGTGTACGCGAGTCTAAATATGCGCGCGCGCATTTAGTGCACGTTCGCTGGACCGTCGAGATCGTAGCCAGCCGGCGGTGTGACGCAATCGAGGAAACGAAAACGCACGCTGCTTGCCTCGCGCTCGTCGAGTCTTTTTTTTTTTTGTTGCCGTCGTTCGCATCGAGTAACCGCGTTGAATAATGAAGCTGACGTCTTGTGTAAATACCTGTATCGTGACAATTGTGCAAGATACGCGAGAGCAGTCATGAATAAATCAGCGAACAACTTGACACTCGGCGCTACTTTCTGCTGTGCCTGTTGACGATTTGGAAAAGTTCTGGATTTTCCTCTTCGCGGGAGGTTCATGCAACGCGCGGACCTATCTTCGAATGAACGTAAGTCCACAATACAAAAATCATGACGCGCATTATAAATGGCCACTTCACGGACAATGCGCGCAGTCCGAGCGCGCTGACTAATCGTTTTCAAGCTTGCGCGTGTAATAAAACGATGATCGACCTCACTGCACACGCAAACACTCACGTCGACATGCAACTAGTTGGCCTGCAGGGGAAAAAAATCTTTCCGTATGTTTTTCAAGCTGGCAACGTGCTTTGAGTGCTTTTTACGTTGCCAGACATCGTCGTGCAAGAATTAATGATCGACAACTGACACTTGTTCCTGAGAATCCCAGCATGCCTGAAATATCAGTCGAGGACGGTTGTTTTAATTTGCACGCGTGATGTGTAATATGTAACATGTACGACGGTTGCATTAGCTATCCACTAATTCAGAAATCACTCGCAGCTGCGTACACAATGGTCATTCAACGTACAACGCCAACGCGAAAAATGTCGTTCACCTTGTTTCATCACAAGTTCGAGTTCCGTCCTCTTGAATACGCGTTATTATCCACCGACTATTTTTATATGCATACCTTTTTGCTGTTAATAATACGCACAAAAACAACGCGCAAGTACAACTCTAACCTCAAAGGCCGCTATCGCGCTCCATCGAAGCACTAAGGAACAAACAGTGAAAAATGAAGATTGATGAGTACTGCTAAATTCGAATGTACGTGTTTTTTTTGCTCTCTCGCTCTCTCGCTCGTTCTCTTTTTCTCTCTCTCTGTCTCTCTTTTTCTCTCTCTCTCTTTCTCTCTCTCTGTCTTTCTCTTTCGCAAAGCCTCTCGAGGTCGCGAGTCGCATTAGTCGGTAAATTAACAACTACTTTGATGACGAATGACGCGAGTAAGTCACACACAGCTGCTATGGACACTAAAAAAGAGATATCATGCGTTAAGTGAGAGGGAAAGTAATGAGAAAGAAAGAAAGAAAGAACACGGTCTTGCGTAAAAGCCGACGTTAGACTGTAAAACACACACTCGTAACACGCAACGGGATAAAGATTCGAACGCGCCGCGTAAATTACCGCAATTGTCTGTTTGATCGTACCGCAAAGCAAACGACAAGCTGTTTTTATTGATTGAATCGAGACGAACGAGCTTGCATCGTTGTGCAAACGTGCGTGGAATGGATGAATCGAAGCCCCAGTGGTTAACTAGCAGACGAGCTCGCGCTAGGTGTCGAGCGATAAGCCGAGTAGATGGGAAAAAACTCACCCACATACGATTCGTCGCGATCTCCACTATGTTTACGTTGTCTCGCCTCGGCCATATTAGACGACGAGTGACGCCATTTCCGCGTGTGCGCGCGCCTCCAGCTCCCTTCCCTCCTTCCGCCCACCGCCGCGCATCCGCCGTTTGACATGTGTCGCACTCTCGCGTGCGTTGTCGATCCTCTACTTCTCTCTGACTGATTCTCTCCAATCGCTGTGGCTCGCGCGTTATTCAAATAATTCGATAAATAAAACAGTCGCGTTACCGTTCGTGGAGCTTTTGCCGACGCTCTGCTAGTGCGTATATCGCAATCATGGCGTACACGCGTCGCCGTGTATTTATTTTTTTGTTTTTCTTGTTTATCGAAGTAACCGGTCGAGCGACAAAGGTGCCGCGATCGTCGAAACAAACGACAGCGAAATTTAGCTGGCCGTCGATTGCGCATTCGCTGGCCGGATCGTCGCGCAGATGTATATTTAATGCTATCCTGCCGGCGGCGCCGAGCGTACGCCGCGTGTCAGTCGTCGTCCTGCGGCGACCGAGCGACTGACTGCTGCCGACTGCTAATCGGAAGGAAAAGAGGTACGGCTCGCGCGGCAACGTGGCGCTTGCTCGACCGAGCGAAAGCTCGTTTCGATTAACGCTTCTGTTGTCGACGCGTTCATCGGGTCTGACCGAAGCTGAAAATCGCCGGCCGCGCGAGACGTTTACGTTCGTCGCGCGGTCGAGCGAAACCAGTGCAGTTCGCGCGCCCGTTTTCCACGCGACAATCGAGTTTAACGGGCGGTCGCTGTATGCCGCGCTGGGAATTGGAAATGCGCGATCAAAAGCGAGAGACGCGGCGTCGATTGGAATCGGGTGTAAAATCCGCGGCGAGAGAAACTCGCGGTACACGAGAGAGAGAGAGAGAGAGAGAGAGAGAGAGAGAGAGAGAGAGAGAGAGTCTTGCCAAGTAGCATCGTCTTAATGGGGGCTGGCTTGCCAAGAGATGCCGCCGCAGCTGCGACGTCGATTTATTAATTTGCCAGCCTCGCCGCCACTGCCGCAGACGCGACGATAAGAGAAAAACAACAATTTTCGCGGTGCGTTTCGTCGGCAGCGAAGCGAAAGAAACCGTGATATCTCGAATAGCGTGGGAACGAAGGAAATAGCGTGCGAGGGGCCGAAGGAATTGGACCGATCGCCGCGACGACAGACAGCTGAGAGAAGCGCGAGAGACCGCTTTGGGTCCTATCCGCACGAAAATAGCGCGCTGCTATTTTGGCGGAATAAGTGTGTCGAGTAGTCGCGCATCCAGCTCGCGCGTGTTCATATATATATATATATATATATATACATACGCGGACAGGTCTTTGTAGTCTCGCGCCAACACTCGCTCGAGAGTTGGCTCGCGCGCGTCACCGATAAGTCATCGTCGTTTCGGGATTTCGTTCGATTATCCGGAGCCGTCGTTATAATCAATCAGCTTCGAGAGACAGAGCGAGAGCGAACGGGCCGCTCGAATGTGCGTGCAGCGCGTTTGCGGTGAGTGGCCAATGAAAGAGGCTTTCACCGACTGCTTTCGAAGGCGCTGCACGCGTATAGCTTTGAACGGAAAACAACTCGAATAACGCACTAAATCTGCGAGCTTTTTTCCGTATTGATCGATGTGAAATAAAAAGAAAGCGCGCGTCGCTCTACTTGGATGGATGTCGCGCGGGGCGTATTGTTGCAGCGAATCGCGCTCGATCAACTTCGATAATTAGAGAGAGCGAGAGCGCGCCTTTCATCGATCACTAAAAATAATTGTCAGAGTGCACTGTTTGATCGCTCATTACTTACATGGTCGCGGATTTAACGGACCGTGTGGCGTAACTAATTCATAATTACAACTTTGATTTAAATCGCGCTGAACGAGCTTATTTTGGCTCTACCTTCGTTTATGAATGATTAGGCAACTCTAAAGACCGAGTTGATCGAGCGGGGAAGGTACGAGGCACGCCAAAATGACTTGCCTGTTTTTTTTTTTCGCGGAGGTAACAAGTGAAACGTATCTTGCTCCAGTCAGCCAGTGGAGAGTCGACTCGCTCGACTTCTACTTCGTTCAATTAAGTCTCGTTTCTTCGAGAGCTCTTCAAATGTGTCGCGCTCCGATTTGTTTTTTTTTTTTTTTCTTCTCTTCCTCAAAGTAGATTGTCCTCTTCCCCGCCATGCAGACATCGTCGCTCAAAGAGCGCGATCTCTACGGGGACAAGAAAAGTTGGCGAGCCATGTCGCAAGAATGACCAAAGTTAAAACGCAGCTCACTGGTTCGCGAAAAAGAATTGGCGCGCGCCAGCCGAGGGAGAAAATCGTACTTGCAATATCCTGCGGAGTTCTCACGTTAGAGCTATGACCGTGCAAAGAAAAAAAAATAAAAAAAAAGAAAAATAAAAAGAAATGCCTTTCTCTCGGAAGCGATTTTTTCCGTTCACCGAATTCTCGTCAAATTTCAACGGCCACTCGGCCAAATGCACAAATTTGAATGTACTTCGTGCGAACTCGTTGCAGTTTTTCATCGGATACTTTCCGATCGAATATCAATATTGAAACGCAGGAAAAAAAATTTTTTTCACTTTAATGTACACCTGTGCATCGAACTTTTTTTTTTGACTTTGTGGCAGTCGAAAATATTCGCGAAAAAAAAAACAACTTTCGAATACTTACTGCAAGTTCGCTGTGTTATCACATTACCATTAATATTTTTTCGTCGATAGTGGACTCACACGGCTAATTAAAAGCGGATACATCATTTGACAGCACTTCTACTGAATTATTTCATTATTTAATAGCGCTTCCTTTGCGAGTCAACTGATTTTTACGATCTTGGCGCAGACCAAACTAGCTGTAATGACGACTCTGGATCGGAAAAGGAGGAAGCCAGCATTCGAAACGACTGAAAAACCAATGGGTTATCGTTGCCCATTGTCGTTTTACGATGGACTATTGAGGTGCGCGGTCATTGAATTAGCCGAGTAGAAGATCAACAGCAAATGAGCATAGCGTAAGGCGAAAACTGCGCGTCGGGATCTGAATTGCAAATCCAGCCAAAGCCCGAGCAACAATTGGAGAGGAAATTGACTCGCAGCCGAGTGAGAGAGAGAGAGAGAGAAAACGCGCAGATTATAATGCGGGAATGAAGTGGGGCTACGCGAGCCGAGAGTGTGCACGGAGCAGAGCGAGAAAGATCCGATACACTGAGTTATTGTTTGCCGGGGAATTGGCCAGGCAAATGGATATTAGTGAGAGCCTCGAGACCTAACGTACGGCTGGCGGGATTAAGAATTAGACCTGGCTCGCGTTGGCAAGACCGACAAAAAAAAAAAGAAAAAGGGAAAAAAAATAAGCACGAGCTCCGTCCTCGTTTTTGCATCCTGCGCTAGCGAGAACTAATTAACGGATCGCGTATGCCGTCGTGTGTTTCATATACTCGATAACTGTACGTCGAGTTGCAGGATTGTAACAAACTTTCGCCAAACGAGCAATGCGCTCGAAAAAGTCGGCGTTCGTGTCCTTGTTCAACATTATCGCGACGAATTTCGCAGCCAAGCTTCGTACGGCCAAGACCGAGGGACTTTACGA